TATTTTGTTCTAATTATTTTGTGTTTTTTTAGTTTTCTATAAAAACTCCATACGTTTCAGTGCATTTCCGGAAATTCCAAAAACTATTTCGCTCTTATTTTGCTAACCAAAAGGCATAGACAAAAAAAAACCCAAAAAAAAAGAAAAACCCAAACAGTTTTGCATTTTAAAAAATGTTTAGTAATGTAAAATATTACCTAACTAAGCAATGTAGTAGGAAAAAACCAAATAAAAGTTTTCTTTCTTTTTATTAAAAATCGCCTTTGCTTTTCCATTTTGTTGAAGAAATTATGGACGGTCCTCAACCTACTAAACTACATAAAGTATTATTAACAAAATATAAATAGAATGCTTAAAATATTTTATTTTAAAAATTAATGTGTTTTAATGACACTGAACGTAATTCTTAAAATATTTTAAATCGCCGTCTAGAGCCCAACCCGTTTGATGCAATTTCTTTTTTAATTTTTATTTTTAGATCATGATTTTACTGAGTCGCTACGTGTATTAAAATATTATAATTACTTTTCACCCATTTAGAGTGTAGAGCATAAGACCCAGACTCAATTCTCAAATGCCTATTTTTAGAAAATGTTCTTGGTTTCGCCTCATTATTACTGCACTAAAAACTGTATCATGTTACTCGTTTGTTTCCTCATAGACTTTATTTTTCCTGGAGTTTTATTTTAGCTATTGATGGCGTTGCTCTGATCTTAATATCCCGTCTTACCATATCCACATCATTCTTTATAAACTTGGGTTTGCACTTCAATTAGTTCTGGTTGAATTATTTTAACTGTAGTAAGCTATTTAAGTTCTACGCGTTGGTAAACTCTTACCATCGTATAATAATTAATTTTCTTTTTTTTTTCTTACCAAAGTTTAAATTGTTATTTTTCATTCGTTTTCAAGGACTTTTGGTTGCACCTAGCAAAGATTGGCGCAAAACATTAACTATGTTTAAAATGTTTATTAATCTAGGAGTTCGATTAAACACGACAGTTAACACGAGCATACACACAAACACCCACACAAAAATGAAGAAAAAAGTTTTGTCTTATATTGTTTGCTTTGTTGTTCAGTTCATTAGTTTAAAGTTTGGGATCAAACTTTTCACTCCAACATTTTCAAATCAAAGATGATTTGACACAGAGTTAAAATAAAAGTCGGAAAAATTTGAAAATTATTTTAATCAACTTACCTAGTGAAACCGTTTACAAATAGTATAAATAAGATTATCTTGAGGTTATTTTAAAATATAAACGATTTTAATGTAAAGTTTAGATAATTTTTTGTTCTATAAAAGCTAGTGTTAAAAAGTTTGATCCCTAGCACAAGGAACGACTATTTTTATATGGAAATTCGTGATTCTCTTCAGAGGCGAAACCAACATACACGACAACGCACTAGCCATGATTGATGAAGTCCTGTCGTCGGCCGAGAGACATCGAGGCTTGGTCGTGTATACAACTCCTTGGTTTGACAAGGGAAAAACACAATTTTCATCCGGTGTAGCACTTGTAAGAACAAAATAAACAAAAAGTCCTCGACTTTATGACTTTGTATTTTTTTAATTTCACGTGTGGTTACAATGCTATGTTTTTAAAATTGTGGATGTGGTGTGTGTTTGTGTAAATTCCTAATTGTTTAATCACATGTTAAATATTCTTCATATCGTTAGCTCGCCCATTCAGATCAACAAATTGAAACATTATGTAACAATAAAGCAACAACAACAAAAATAGTTGTAGATAGTCAATGGTAGATCGTCACTGAAATAATTTATGTTCGTCCATGCTAGGGTGCTAATCAAAAGTTCCTTTAATTATATTTTTTTTGTTTCTTTTCAATTTATAGTTTTCTTCATTTATAAAAAAAAAGTCATCATAACGTATACGTTTGTCTAAAGTCATCATAACTTATACGTTTGTCTAAAGTCATCATAACTTATACGTTTGTCTAAAGTCATCATAACTTATACGTTTGTCTAAAGTCATCATAACTTATACGTTTGTCTAAAGTCATCATAACTTATACGTTTGTCTAAAGTCATCATAACTTATACGTTTGTCTAAAGTCATCATAACTTATACGTTTGTCTAAAGTCATCATAACTTATACGTTTGTCTAAAGCTATCATAACTTATACGTTTGTCTAAAGTCATCATAACTTATACGTTTGTCTAAAGTCATCATAACTTATACGTTTGTCTAAAGTCATCATAACTTATACGTTTGTCTAAAGTAAAATCATAACTTAAACGTTTGTCTAAAGCTATCATAACTTATACGTTTGTCTAAAGTCATTATAACTTATACGTTTGTCTAAAGTCATCATAACTTATACGTTTGACTTTTTTTTTATACGTTTGTCTAAAGTCATCATAACTTATACGTTTGACTTTTTTTTTATACGTTTGTCTAAAGTCATCATAACTTATACGTTTGACTTTTTTTTTATACGTTTGTCTAAAATCATCATAACTTATACGTTTGTCTAAAGTCATCATAATTTAAACGTTTGTCTAAAGTCATCATAACTTATACTTTTGTCTAAAGTCATCATAACTTAAACGTTTGTCTAAAGCTATCATTACTTATACGTTTGTCTAAAGTCATCATAACTTATACGTTTGTCTAAAGTCATCATAACTTATACGTTTGTCTAAAGTCATCATAACTTATACGTTTGTCTAAAGTCATCATAACTTATACGTTTGTCTAAAGTCATCGTAACTTATAGATTTGTCTAAAGCCATCATAACTTAAAGATTTGTCTAAATTCATCATAACTTATAGATTTGTCTAAAGTCATCATAGCTTTTACGTTTGTCTAAAGCAACTTATTAGCCTTCAACAAAAGAATTCCCGACTGAATGACTCCCAAACCAAATGATAACCAACGAAATAGCATTCGATGAATGGAAAAGTAGGGGAAGACAAAGGAGGTTGGGGTGGGGGGGGGGGGGGTTATGAGCTAAATATTTGAGTTGTCTCCTTAGAAGTAGATAAACATGCACGGTATTTCCTCCAACACAATTAAGTATTACCTGTCTATTTGTAATGCACCCTATAGGCGGTTGACTTCATTCCGATCACAGCAATACAAAAAATTATGCAAAGTAGTTTTATTTATACATTGTCTTATACAATTAAAAATCTATTTGCTGCTCATTTTACAAATCCAGGGAAACCTCCTCCATAAACCAACGACAATTAATACATAATAGGTCACATTTAATTCTTGACTCAACCAAAGCGACTAATTTTATAAGCAATGGAAAACTTACTTTTAACATCCATCGAGGTCTTTTTTTAAAAGGTTTTCATTACATATGAAGGATAAATGAAGTTCTGCATATATGACACACAACAATAGTGCCGTTCAGTGTGCCGTAACCCTCTTAACAAAAAAATGTCTTAACATTCATTAATTCTTAAATTCTTAATTTTTTATTTACATTCCTTAAAATAAACTTTTTATTTACTACGTTCTACTTTTAAAATTACACACACACACACACACACACGCACGCACACACACACACACACACACACACATATATATATATATTGTACAAGCCACTAAAAGATGATATATTAATAAATATTATTTCAAGATTTTAAAGGGAAAAAGTTACTAAGATTAGTTACCGCGTTTTGTGATTTTCAAAATCTTCCTAGTTTCTTATATTACTAGGCCTCTATCAAATTTATTTGCTTTTAAAAGTATCACAAGGATAACATTTAATGGAAACAGTATGAAGATATCAAGAAGAAGAAGATATAAATGATTATTAATATTTAACTTATGCCTGTCATTGATTAAGCGCTTCGACGTCAGAATTAAAATTGTTGAGCAAAAACATCCAGGATATAAAAATAGCTGATCTCTAACTACATACAAATAGGCGAACTGTTTGTAAAATAAAGGGAATCGTTTACAAATTCTTTTAAGGGGTCATCCATAAATGACGTCACGCTTTTTTTTTGACGATTTTTACCTCCCCCCTCCCCTTCCGTCACACTTCGTCACAAAAAGCCAGACCCCCCCCCTAAAATGACGTCACACCTCAACCTACAACCCCCCTCAAAATTGCAGTTGAATTTTTTTAAAACATTGATATTTTTCCAAAATCTTGTCTAAACTATTACAATGTATTAAAACAGTTATCTAAAACGCGAAATAACGTCTAAAATTCGTTTTCTAACATTGCTTTTTTATAATGCAAAAATGTGACGTCGCAACATCTGACCCCCCCCCCCCTCCCCCTCATCACACATCGTCACAAAATTACGGACCCCCTCCCCCCTACGAGTGTGACGTCATTTATTGATGACCCCTAATTATTAAAAATCAAACCGTTTCATGTAATTTGTTTTGTAAATTATTTTTACAAGGTTTTTTAAAAGCTTTTGTTTAGTTCGCAACGTCTGTTTGTATGTTTGTTTGTTTCCTTATTTGTGTTTTTGTGGTAAATTCTGTAACTCAATTTCGACCCACTTCTAATGAAGCGATTTCGTTCAAACTTTCCAGATACGTTCCAATTCGATGAAAATACAAGTCTATCTATTTTTTAAATTTAATTTGATGTTTAATTAGTCATTAAGATTAATTAAACGAGTTCGGTAGTAAGGGGAGATAACAAAAATTTAATAACTTGATAGGTTACTATATTCAATAACAGAAGGGAAGATTACTTGCTAGAGACGATCATCCTAATAGTCTGGTGAGCTGTGGTTCACGAGAATGTTTACAGTCATTGTGCCGATCGGTCTATTTTAGACAATTTAAGACTAAAGGGGGATTAAAAAAAGAACTTGTTGTCGTCTGTAAAATATGGTCACGTACGGTTGCTTTTCAAGGAGCAGATAATTGTCTTTTAGATATCACGCGGATGGTGTTTCAAAGCAAATATTTTAGATTCCTAATTTATGAAGTTGACACAACTTGATAAATTAGGAATCACAAAAAAGTAGAAAATAAAATAATTATAAAAACCTATAGCAAACCTATAGCCACAAGCTTATAAATGCACGGCAAAACTAAACAGATCTTTCACAAAAGGTTTAGTCGCTTATAAGATCTTTTTTAGCGCAATTTCCATTCTGGAGAATTGCGTTTATTAACCCGTCATTTCTGGACGGATGAATGGATGGATGAATGTGTGTCCGCAGCTTTAAGTCGTATCTCCTCCTCAACGAAGCAATATCGATGACTAGTTCCAAAGCAATTATGTTAAGCTACGAGGATGAAAATACAAATTCCGGGTTTCTTTCATGGATTTCCCGGAAAAGCCAAAAAACCTCAAAGAAATGCAGTTTTTGGCCCATATCTCGGCAACCAGACCACTTAGCGACTTGAAACATGTACCAATCGATTCCTGCCATAATTTAGAACAGTATTGCCGAAGAAAGTTTTCAAAAATATCCTTTCGTTCGGTCACAAAAATTCTTTTTAATTAATTAAAATTTGGACCCAATTAGTAGGCATTTTTATCCAACCACACCACATGCGTCATCACGTTCAATAGCTGCGCCATCACGTTCAATGGCTGCGTCATCACGTTCAGTAGCTAGGCGCGCAATTGTTTTTAGTCATGTAACTCTATTGTAAATAAAACATGTATTTTAACCAATGGTTTTACTAACCCTGCTCTTGATTTACGCTACGAAAGAGCTATTTTTAGATAACATAAGGAAATTGCGCTTAAATGTCACTAGACTTTTTAATTAACTTGTTTCAATAGAGTTCTGTTTTGCTTACAGATTTCTTACCATTGTAAATTTTTATCAGTCCACAAAATCGATGGGAAAAAAATAAATTAAATTAAAGACATATTTCTCCGAGGCAGGGACACTTAAAAACTATATATACTTAGTATAAATATATATATATATATATATATATATATATATATATATATATATATATATGTATATATATATATATATATTTATATATTTATATATACTTTTGCTGCAGAACCTGATATTTACGTCCATGCATGTGAATTGGAACCCGAACCATATCCTGAACCGGACCCTGAATACGAACAAGTACCCGAAGTCCCTGAGCCCGAAGAAGAATCAGAGCTTGAACCAGAACCAGAACCTGAACCAGAGCCTGAACCTGAACCAGAGCCTGAACCAGAGCCTGAACCTGAACCAGAGCCTGTAACCGAGGTCGATGATGGGTCATACGAGCCAGAACCTGAACCTGAACCTGAACCTGAACCTGAACCTGAACCTGAACCTGAACCTGAACCTGAACCTGAACCTGAACCGGAACCGGAACCTGAACCTGAACCTGAACCGGAACCTGAACCAGAGCCTGAGCCTGAGCCTGAGCCTGAGCCTGAGCCTGAACCGGAACCTGAACCAGAGCCTGAGCCTGAACCAGCGCCTGAACCTCAACCTGAACCCGAGCCTGAACCAGAACCTGAGCCTGAACCTATACCAACGCCGAAAGAGGACCCTAAGCAGGCCGTGCCACCAATAGATGAAGAGCCATTTGTGCCTGAACCTGAACCTGAACCTGAACCTGAACCTGAACCTGAACCTGAACCTGGACCTGAACCTGAACCTGAACCTGAACCTGAACCTGAACCTGAACCTGAACCTGAACCTGAACCTGAACCTGAACCTGAACCTGAACCTGAACCTGAACCTGAACCTGAACCTGAACCTGAACCTGAACCTGAGCCTGAGCCTGAGCCTGAACCTGAACCTGAGCCTGAACCGGAACCTGAGCCTGAACCGGAACCAGAACCCGAACCAGAACCAGAACCCGAACCGGAACCGGAACCCGAACCTGAGCCTGAACCTGAGCCTGAGCCTGAGCCTGAGCCTGAGCCTGAGCCTGAGCCTGAGCCTGAGCCTGAACCCGAGCCTGAGCCTGAACCTGAACCTGAACCTGAACCTGAACCTGAACCTGAACCCGAACCTGAACCCGAGCCTGAGCCTGAGCCTGAACCCGAACCCGAGCCTGAACCAGAACCAGAACCTGAGCCAGAGCCAGAACCAGAACCAGAACCAGAACCAGAACCAGAACCTGAGCCAGAGCCAGAACCAGAACCAGAACCAGAACCTGAGCCAGAGCCAGAGCCGGACCCAGAACCCGAGCCTGAGCCAGAGCCTGAGCCTGAGCCCGAACCCGAACCGGAACCGGAACCTGAGCCAGAGCCAGAGCCAGAGCCAGAACCAGAACCACAACCAGAACCAGAACCAGAACCAGCGCCCGAACCCGAACCTGAACCTGAACCTGAACCAGAACCAGAACCTGAACCTGAACCTGAACCTGAACCTGAACCTGAGCCTGAGCCTAAGCCTGAACCTGAACCTGAACCTGAACCTGAACCTGAACCTGAACCTGAACCTGAACCTGAACCTGAACCTGAACCTGAACCTGAACCTGAACCTGAACCTGAACCTGAACCTGAACCTGAACCTGAACCTGAACCTGAACCTGCACCTGCACCTGCGCCTGCGCCTGAGCCAGAGCCGGAGCCAGAGCCAAAGCCAGAACCAGAACCTGAACCCGAGCCGGAACCTGAGCCCGAGCCATTGCTTCCGCCAAAGCCTGAGCCTCCCAAACCGATTATTCCAAGACCAAGTAAGCAAAATATAAAACTGGTTATTATGTACTTTTTTTTTTACTTTCTCAAATATACGAATTAGGCACTATAGAGAAGGTCTTGTAATCGTGCAAAAAAAATCGAGATTTTTACAAATCTCGTCGTTTTACACCTTACTGATACGGAAAAACATAATTTTGCAATCTTGTCCGTATGTCTGTGTGTCTGACTGTGTATGTGTGTCTGTCTGTGTATAAACACGATAACTTGAGTACCGTTACAGCTAGGTTGATGAAATTTCATATATAAGTATTTTATCAAAATCGTAGATCCGTATTAACTTTTGAGCGATTTCCGATAACCGGAAGTGGTACTTTTTCTACTTTGAATTTTTCAAAAGCCTATAACTTGAGTACTATTTAGGATAGATAAATGAAAAATAACATGTACGTAAAAGATCTAATTCTCTACCTTCTGTCAAATTTTGAGTAATTTCCGTTGACCGGAAGTACTAATTTACGCTATTGCCTATTTCTCAAAAAACGCATGTAAATTTATAAAGTACTATTATGCACATTTTGTTTTGGCGTTCGCTTGGTGCGCAATTCTTTTTTCTATGAGATTCTATTCTAGTTTTAAAAGTTTAAGTAATTAAATATCATGTCTATATTCCAGGTTATATAAGAATATTCGAGATAGTTTTGGGGAGATCACTCCCGGTTTATTATAAGTATCTTATTTAGCCTCGCAAAAAGCATACTTATAATGAAATGAAATGTCTTGCTATTCTTTTATGCTGACTAAATAACAAATTTCGGACAGTGCAATTTGAGACAAATAGTCCTAGTTACATTTATGACACATTAACTGCCAATAAGACTTTTGTATTCTTTAAAAGAGCTACAATAAGTGGCATGGTGAGATGTGTGTGTTTTGGGATAAGAGAGAATTTGCTGCTTACCGGATTTTACACGGCAATAACACATTTTTTTTCATGAATTAAAATTTCTTAAAGGCTTTAGATTATGTTGGTTAACACACGTTTTGTTTTAACCTATAAATTAAAGTTGTATCAGTAACTGCTGTTTTCCATGAGAAGATTTAAAAACACGTACACGCTCAAGTTGTAACATCAGCTGTCATCACTCCTTGCTCAGCAACACCCCACCCGCACTTTTGATACATTTCTGACGAAAAAATCAATGGATTTTTTAAATATAATCGATATCTCACTGCAGGACAATTATAGTGATTTTGACACTGGTTTATTCTAACATGTGTTTATTCAGACTGACCACGCTAGCCTTTAATAACATGTTTAAAAAAAGGTCAATTAATACTTAATAGAGACAATAATATCTCGTGGTGAACCTACCAAAATTACCATCCTATGTCACACACTAAAAAGTTCGATTGATGCATATATATATATATATATATATATATATATATATATATATATATATATATATATATATATATATATATATATTATATTATAGCGTACCCTCCCCGCGCGTTGCCGCGGGAATAGAAGAAAGTCCGACGAAATATATAAGAAGGGTGTCATCCATGCGTTACCCAATCCTATATTCTTAGACTCGTGACCTTGTTTTCTAAAAGTGAGTTATTTAAATGTAAACAATGCCTGCGCGTGGATCATAAATATCGGGACACGGGTTTACCTACACTACCGCATGAAAACCATGAGTGTAGGCCTACATTAATCACTCAACGAAATAATGAGGTAGAACACACTTCGGTGACCGACCATGTGTCAGGGACGTAGAGGGGCGCTCTTTGGAGCCCCCCCCCCCCCCCCCGATTACACTACCGCATAGGCGCCGCGTACGGCCCCTGGCTCCTTAAAACTAACAGGCGCCGTCGTGCTCATAGGATAACCCAGAGTGCCAAATAGCTTCCTCCTAACAATGATGCAGATTGCGTCATTCGCATAAGTGACACAAATGAACAGGATTTTTTTAATTTAACACTTTAAAAATGTATTTGACATGTTTTAAACATCAGTGTGACTGATGCAATGTTAGCATTACTAATGGTGTAGTATTAGATGCTCGATCTCAACTTCTGATTGGATTGTCTAAAAATAGATGCTAATTGCATCATTCGCAAAGTGACGGGAGTGTTTGGATTTTTTTAGGGACAAAAAGAAACATCCCAGTTAATAAACTAACCTTGGTTAATTGTTCTGATTATTAAAATAAAACGTATTACATGGCCTTCAGCTGCCCAAGTATGCCTTTGGGGATGGAAAATGAAATTTTTGTTTGCAGCCAAATCGCATTCTACCAGGGTACCGGCGGACACGCCTGATTAAAATTAGTAAGCGTTTGTAATGCCCCATCCTATCCATTGTCTATCACACTGTTTGGACCAAACGTAGACGCCATAGCGCTCACGGGAAAGACCAGGGCGCCAAATCGCATCCTGCCGGGGGGCCGCCCATGCAATGTTAAATACCCCCGCCCCCACCACCCACCCACCCCTATTTCCCACTCACACCCCAGAAACCTTCTCGGGAGTATTCATCAACTCCCTAAAGTTTTATGGCACCGGGATAAATTGCGTCGAACCGCAATCGTCTTTTATTTTTATATACCCGTATATTGAGAAAAATCCCACCATTCCATGGCGCTGCCCTTGCGAAATTTAAATAAAAAGATTTTTTTTTACAGAAACCTTCCCTGGAGTATTCTAATCAACTCCCCAAAGTGTGATGACGATCGGATGAACGCCGTGAAACTGCAATCGAAGTTTATTTTTATATACAGTATATAGAGAAAATCGCACCCTCCCGTGGCGCCGCCCTTGCGAAATTAAAAATTAATTTTTTACAGAACCCTTCCCCGAATAGCTCTAATCAACTCCCCAAAGTTTGACGGCGATTGGACGAACAGTGTGAATCTGCAATCGACTCTTATTTTTATATACCGTATATAGAGAAAAAACAAATCGCGCCCTGCCGGGGCGCCACCCCTGCGAATTTGAATTTTTTTTTCACAGAAACCTCCCCAGGAATATTCTTAACAATTTCTTAACAACTTCCCAAAATAGTATTACTTAATTAATATTTCAGGAAACGCATTTAAACATAACCTTTGTTTCTGTCTTTTAGAAAAACCGAGAAGAACAATATGCTGGAGTGGGAAATTTTACGGTAAGTTGGGAAACGATGGGTCCAAAAGTTTTTGGCAGGATGGGATTGTGACATTCTTAAACTTCATAGTTCTGGTGTGGCTTGTTTATTTATTTATTTATAGTTTTAGTGGTGATTAAAAGTGAATGTTGATTTTAGTTTCCAGTTGAGACTGAAATTTTTTTTAATGAAGGGGCGGAATATTTTTGCGCCAGTATTTTCAAGTTTAAATTTAATTTAGTGATTATTGTAGTTTTGGTCCAGTTTTTTTTCTTTGTTGTTGTTGTTATTGTTGTCCAGATGAAGGTTTTGTACTGTATCCTTCGTTGCCGTTCTGCTTGGAGCCATTTCTTAAGCGTAATGTTTGTAGTGGGTATAGTGTACTTCGTCTGCAGGTTTGAATTCTTTTGTGAGCATGGTTTAGGGCAATGAGGGGCCCTCGGACGGAATATTAAAAAAAAAATAATTACTTAAATCTGATGGGGTGTTTAGTTTATGAATTGTTAGATATTGAATGTAAATTTTAGTGTTGTTAGTTCGTTTTTCTAAAATATTTGTTCATTATTTTCAATTTGATCTAGCTTTGATTAATTGATTATCTTTTAAAAAAAGATCTAAATTAAGATTACGAGTTATAACCACTGTTGCAATTACACATGATAGTTTATAGTCCACAAAGGAAGATTACCCCCCCCCCCCCCCCCGCCCCTCACGTCATAACATAACCTTTTTAAGGGCTTATATAGATCACAGATACAGCAATTCTGTTGGTTCAATTCACTCTCTATGATACACTTTTCTGCTTTTTTTCAGGGGAAGGCAAACGTAAAATCGCGAACTGGTTCATCTTCCTCTTCTTCGGCCGATATTGACCACAGTGTCATGTGACAGGAGCCTTGAACGAATGGTTACCTCGACAAACACACATCTTTACACAGGTTGCAGGTTTCCGCAACTCACAGCTTACCAAAGACTTTTTCACCATTTGCTTATTGTCAAACAGTTACGACTTTTATTTATTTGGCTATCTTTTGCTAATTTGTGGCTGTTGACAGTTCACTACGACATATTTTGTCCTCAATATTTGCCACTTTGTCCAACATGTTGCGAACACTGTTTAAAGTATATGTTCGTGAATACACACGATAAGACATTGAGTGTGTGGTGTATGTTGGATTCATGAAATTTTACAATTTCAAAAGTATAAATATTGTGTGTTTTAAACTTCAAGGTGTACATGACATCTATGACCATTACATAATAAAAAAAACGTAGATTTAAACTTGACAATGTCATCATTTGTTTCAAATTATATTCAATAAAAACTGAAAGAATATGAGTTTGATGTCATCTGTTTCAACTATCTTTAATAAAAATTATATATATATATATATATATATATATATATAAATAATTACATTATATATATTATTATATATATATTTTTTGTTTTTGTAAAGTTATAAATCAAGCTGCAGACCTTGATCTTGTAACCTGCATTTAAGTTGAATTTTTTTCAACGGGGACCCGGCTTTTCAACTCACGTTTAATGCATTGCTTCTTTGTTCTTGGTGTTGTTGTTGTTGTAGTTTTTTTTGTTTTTTTTTTTGTTTTTTTTGTTGTTTTTTTTTTTCGTTTTTTTTAAATTCAAAATTTGTTCCAGTTTATTTTTTTTATCAACCAACCACATGCTGTGCTATACGATTATTTTAAGACGTATTGTTTTGACTATCACAAATTTTAAGTACCAAAGATTAAGGTCGGTTCCTTTTGTTAAGTGAATTCTGAAATCAACTACTTTGATGTGTACATTAGGTAAACTAACTTCAAACCATCTCATGATTTTGACTTGTCAGTTTGCCATAAGAAACAAGTATACCAGTACATTCTGGACATTTTGTAACGTAACTTTTTTTCCGAAATCATATTTAGGTGTTGAGAAGTCAGTTCAAGTTTATAATCAGCATTTGACTGGCCTTAATGCTAAGTTATCTTACCTTGTTAAAATCATTCAATTAATCTTGCTTATTTACTATACAATTCGACTTCAAATAAGATTCTTTTTTTATCGAAGGTTCGCTTTTCCAATAAATTAAAAATAAATAGTTGTATTTAAAATTATCAAAATAATTGAGTCACAATTCGATAACAAAAACCACCCACACCTCGTATGTATTTTGTAGTAAAAAAAAAAAGCTTGTAGAAATATAAATCATTTTTTAGATAATCTTTAGAGATAATTAGAAAAGATTTGCATTTTGATTATCTTCAGCAAAATTATCTCACAAGTGTTATTTTCACAGTCACATACCCAGTGTTTCTTCCAGACTTTTTTCTCCGGGGGGGGGGGGGGGGGGCACTTGAAATTTTCGGGGGGGGGGGGCGGTAGACTTTCTTCGGGGAGGGGGCGGACACTGTTAAAAGAATATATTTTCTATATAAATTATATAAATTTCATTTCGTTCGGGGGGACGGTAAAAAATTTTCGGGGGGCTAAGCCCCCCCCCCCCCGAAGAGATGCCTGGAAGAAACTCTGCACATACCTAGTCTTAACGCTATCCTTTTGAATTACAAAAACTACAGTGAAATAAATTAATGGCTGACTACATTCCAAAAACAAAATTTATTTTAGAAATATTAGTATAACATCTGGAGTGAAAACACATAAGTGATAATTTCTTACAATAAGCTTTATGAGAATATGATACAAAACTCTAAAAGTTTTTAATCCGAACTCGAGCGAAATTATAAATCACTAACTTTCCACTCTATTAAACACATTTGAAATACAATAAAATCGCGTAGAAAAAAAAAGAATTTCGCAGTAACAGTTACTTAAATTTATAAAATTCTTCTTATTTTTTTTTGAGAAATCGGAAGCAAGAAAATAATATCTTAAAACTGTTTATATAATTTCGCTCACTTAACAGAAACGGTACTCAAGTTATATGTATTTTAGTAACAAGAAACAGAGTAAAATACCACTTCCGGTTATGGAAGGTCATTCAGAAAATAAAATGATCCATTTATAAGATCTTATCTTATACTTATATATGTAATTTTGTATACTAAATCTAAACAGTACTCAAGTTTTTGATTATGTTCCGAAATAAAAACGTTAAGTTCCACTTCCGGGTTCAGAAAATCGCTCAAAAGTTGAAAAAAAAACTGCACACATAATTTAATAATTATACGTGAAATTTCGACCGTGTAACTTACACAGTGTTCTAGTTTTGGTCCTTTGGGAAACCGGAAGTAGAGTAAGTACCACTTCTAAAAACCGAAATCGCTCAAAAGCTGACAGAAAACTACTAATTTATATAATACTTAAGTATGAAATTCCGTCAACCTAACTGAAACAAGATGGTGAAAATAATTTTTTCCGTTGAGATTTTTCAAAATTTCGAATTCAATTTTTGCAGTATTACAAAACGTTCTCTACATTTTGTATTCTCTAAATTTTGCGGATGTAAAAGTGCTAAAACTGTTAAAATAGTCTTTTGTGCATGGTAAAACTTCTATACTCTGCATACGAGAAAGTAAAAATATGAGAGAAAGAATGCACATTTTATCGGAAATTCCAGGAATTAGAACCTATTAGTCCTTTCGATCTTAAGTTGAACAATTTCTTCACCAAAGTAAAACAAAATGTAAATAGAAAAGACATATTCATCTAGATCTAGATCAAAACGTCATCTACCAACGTATACCATCTGTTGTCCAAGCTACCGTAAACCAAGTTATTCATCAGAACATCGTGATGAGCCACTAACATCAGTCCGTGTGTCCTATCATGGAGTGCCGAATGATCTGCCCGCCACAAGAAAGGGAACCATCTTCTCCTGCGCCCTGCCTGCCATGTTATTCGTCCCATTCAATCCAGCCATCCCATTTTTCCCATTCATGCCAGCTATCCCCTTCATGCCAGCCATCCTATTCTTTCCAGCCATCCCATTCATGTCAGCCATCCCATTCTTCCCATTCCTGCCAGCTATCCCATTCTTGCCAGCCATCCCATTCTTGCCAGCCATCCCATTCCTGCCAGCCATCCCATTCCTGCCAGCCATCCCATTCTTGCCAGCCATCCCATTTTTCCCATTCATGCCAGCCATCCCATTCATGGCAGCGATCCCATTCTTGCCAGCCATCCCATTCTAGCTATTCCTGCCACCGATCACTTTCCTGGCAGTCCTGCTCTTCGTGCTTTAGGCCGTGTACTCCATGTCAGACCAATTCGTGTCGGATCATCTTGCCCCCCGAACCGAAGCCGAGTGTTTTTGACGGTAAGTCCTTGTGCTTTCAGACTAGCCATTCCCTTATAATATGATATGGTCGACGTGGTTAGGTGTAATGTGTCTTGTTGCTATTATAAAAAGTTACAAGTTCGAACTACATGTTAGCTGGGTACGGTAACCCATTTAGGAGTCAAGACTCCGAAATCTAACAAGAAGAAGGCCCTTTGACGATAGAACTCTGGTTTTCTTTCAGCAGCTCGTACGACTGATGCCAAGTTGTAGGGGTAACAACATGTCCCTGGGGTGAATGTAAAGAGAGGGGGTCTTATATAACGACAACATAGGCTTCTAATCAACTGCTGTCCCGTCCTTGCGCCTTGGTTTCTTACGTCCATCAGATTTTGGGACATGTTTATTAACTAGCGCCTGTGATAGGTGTCATTGGTGTTAAGGTTAAAAGTAGAGTGAGGCTATGGCCCAAAGTTAGGGGTTATTTTAAATTAAAGTTACGAGTGTATGATACAGTTAGTTTGCATCGACTATATCGACAGTATAGAATCGGTTTTGGCGTTTGAGTGAATAAAACTATTGACAGCATTAAGCATGTCTTTTTTTAGCGTTATTGATAGTTTTTAAAATGATTTTTCTCCTCCCACTAGATCTAAGACGTCAAAATTTCTTTTGCTGCGTGGGCAATGTCCTGACATTCTTGGCAGCATTTTTCTTTTTTCTGTCTATATTAGGTGAGTACAGTTAAACGTGTTTTGGTGTTCCGTTTTCTCCATTTTGTCTATATTAGGTACAGTTTAAACTTTAAAAAAATAAAATTCCCGAGTAAATGTATATTTTTACTCTATGTTTTTTAATAAGGGTAATTTTTTTTAAATGTATGCCTCCTTGTATGTATGTTTTATCCTCCATTTTCTCGCTCTTTTTCGCTTATATTTGTCTAATCCAACGAACTTTTTTTTTCATCAAAACGTCCTTCTTTCATCAGAATATCTCACATGCCATGAAATAGGACCACACGCCAAAAAACGTGAGTAACATCTGTTCCATAAAGCTTTAAATATTTAGCACATGACGTAGCTTTCGATTTTCTATTTGTATTTTTTAACATAGATCAATTTAGTAATAATAATAATTGAATATTGTATTGTCATCGGAAACAAAGCTTCCCTGAAAATTTCAGCGCGCTAGCTAACTGGGAAGTGCCCGAAATTTCGATCGCAAGATTTGATTGGAAAAACAGACACGAAAGCAAGTGAAAGAAAACGTGGGAAAATAAATAACTTGATAGGTTACTATATTCAATAACAGAAGGGAAGATTACTTGCTAGAGGCGATCATCCTAACAGTCTGGTGATCTGTGGTTCACGAGAATATTTACAGTCATTGTGCCGGTCGTTCTATTTTAAACAATTTAAGACTAAAGAGGGAGAAAAAAAAAAGAACTTGCTGTCGTCTGTAAAATATGGTCACTTCCGGTTGCTTTTCAAGGAGGAGATAATTGTCTTTTATATATCACGTGAATGGTGTTTTAAAGCAAATATTTTTAGTCGTGTCAACTTCTTAAATTTTTAATAACTAAAAAGCAAGGAAAAAAAAACAATTATAAAAAAAACCTATAGCAAACCTATAGCAACAAGCTTATAAATGCACGGCAAAATAATCCACAACGTTTTTAAAAGATTTGGTCGCTCATAAGATCTATTCCATAGAGTTTTTTTTTTTTTTGCTTTCAGCTTTCTTACCATTGAAAATGTGTATCATTCCACAAAAGCGATGGGGAAAAATAAATAAAAAATTAAAGACATATTTCTCCGAGGAAGGGACACTTAAAAACTATATATACTTAGTATATATATATATATATATATATATATATATATATATATATATATATATATATATATATATATATACTTTTGCTGCAGAACCTGATATTTACGTCCATGGATCTAAATTGGAACCGGAGATATTTCATGAGCCAGAAAACCATTATTTTCCTAATGAACCCGAACCATATCCTGAACCGGACCCTGAATACGAGCAAGTGTCTGATCCTGAGCCCGAAGAAGAATCAGAGCTTGAACCTGAACCGGAGCCTGAGCCTGAACCAGAGTCTGAACCTGAACCAGAGCCTGTAACCGAGGTCGATGAAGGGTCATACGAGCCAGAACCTGAACCTGAGCCTGAGCCTGAACCGGAACCTGAACCAGAACCTGAGCCAGAACCTATTCCAACGCACAGAGAGGACCCTAAGCAGGCCGCCGTGCCACCAGTTGATGAAGAGTCATATGTGCCTGAACCTGAACCTGAGCCTGAGCCTGAACCTGAACCTGAACCTGAACCTGAACCTGAACCTGAGCTTGAACCTGAACCTGAACCTGAACCCGAACCCGAGCCTGAACCTGAACCTGAACCCGAGCCTGAGCCTGAACCCGAACCTGAACCCGAGCCTGAGCCTGAACCTGAACCAGAACCTGAACCAGAGCCAGAACCAGAACCTGAGCCAGAGCCAGAACCTGAACCTGAACCGGAACCGGAACCGGAACCTGAACCTGAACCGGAACCGGAACCTGAACCTGAACCCGAACCTGAACCAGAACCGGAACCAGAACCAGAACCTGAACCTGAACCTGAACCTGAGCCTGAACCTGAACCGGAACCGGAACCTGAACCTGAACCTGAACCTGAACCTGAACCTGAACCTGAACCTGAACCTGAACCTGAACCTGAACCTGAACCTGAACCTGAGCCTGAGCCTGAGCCTGAGCCTGAACCTGAACCTGAACCTGAACCTGAACCGGAACCTGAACCTGAACCTGAACCTGAACCTGAACCTGAACCTGAACCTGAACCTGAACCTGAACCTGAACCTGAACCTGAACCTGAACCTGAACCTGAACCTGAACCTGAACCTGAACCTGAACCTGAACCTGAACCTGAACCGGAACCGGAACCAGAACCTGAACCTGAACCTGAACCTGAACCTGAACCTGAACCTGAACCTGAACCTGAACCTGAACCTGAACCTGAACCTGAACCTGAACCTGAACCTGAACCTGAACCTGAACCTGAACCTGAACCTGAACCTGAACCTGAACCTGAACCTGAACCTGAACCTGAACCTGAACCCGAGCCGGAACCTGAGCCCGAGCCATTGCCTCCGCCTAAGCCTAAGATCCCGAATCCCAAACCGATTATTCCTAATACAAGTAAGCAAAATATAAAACTGGTTGGGGCATTAATATTATATTCTGTTTTTTTAAGTATCTTATTTAGCCTCGCCAAAAGCATTCTTATAATGAAATGAAATTTCTAGCTATTCTTTTTTGCTAACTAAATAACACATTTGGACAGTGCAATTTGAGACAAATAGTCCTAGTTACATTTATGACAAATTAACTGCCAATAAAACTTTTGTATTTTTTAAAAGAGCTACAATAAGTGGCATGGTGAGATTAGTGTGTGTTGGGATGAGGGGGAATTTGAATCGCTGCTTATCGGATTTTACACGGCAATAACACATTTTTTTCATGAATTTAAATTTCTTAAAGGCTTAAGGTTATGCTGGTTAACACACGTTTTGTTTTAAGCTATAAATTAAAGTTGTATCAGTAACTGCTGTTTTCCATGAGAAGATTTAAAAACACGTACACGCTCAAGTTGTAACATCAGCTGTCATCACTTCTTGCTCAGACATTGTGTCCAGTTACAGCAACACCCCACCCGCACCCTTGATACAATAGTTCATTTGTGACGAAAAAATCAATGGATTTTTAAAATGTAAACGAAATCTCACTACAGGACAAATATAGTTATTTTGACACTGGTTTATTCTAACATGTATTTATTCAGACTGACGGCGCTAGCCTTTAATAACATGTTAAAAAAAAGGTAAATTAATACTTTATAGAGACAAAAATATCCCGTTGTTTACGTACCAAAATTACCATCCTATGTCACACACTAAAAAGTTCCTTTGATGCATATATATATATATATATATATATATATATATATATATATATATATATATATATATATATATATATATATATATATATATATATATATATATATATATATATATATATATATATATATATATATATATATATATATATATATATATGTGTGTGTGTGTGTGTGTGTGTGTGTGTGTGTGTGTTTTTTTATTAATTTCTTTTTCAGTACTTTACATGTTCTAATTACAATAGAGTTACATGACTAAAAACCATTGCGCGCCTATTGAACGTGATGACGCGCTTTTGCCGTGACGACGCGTTTTATTGCCTTTCTCTGCCCTGTTTTATCGTAGAGCCCTCCTCGCTCGACGCCCAAAAGGGCCGTGATGACGCATGTGGATAGAACTGCTTACTAATTCGGTCCAAATTTTAATTATTTCATAAAAAATTAATTAAGCGACCAATTAAGTCAAATTGAATTTCACGATGCATTGTTTTCATGTCTTGACCCACGTACTAACTACGAATCGTATCTGTCAGTGAGAAAAGCCTGCAATTTCGCTCGGGTGTTTCGATCTAGACAGACAGACAAACTGACGACAGAGGAAGTGAGTTAAATGAAAGCTTGTAAAAATAGACCTACTTAATTAATATTTCTGGAAACGCATTTAAAACATAACCTTTGTTTCTGTCTTTTAGCAAAACCGAGAAAACCGAGAAAAGCAATATGCTGGAGTGAGAAATTTTACGGTAAGTTGGGAAACGATGGGTCCAAAAGTTTTTGGCAGGTTGGGATTGTGACATTCTTAAACTTCATAGTTCTGGTGTGGCTTGTGTATTTATTTATTTATTTATAGTTTAGTGGTGATTAAAAGCGAATGTTGATTTTAGTTTCCAGTTGAGACAGACATTTTTTTAATGTAGTTTAAACTTTATATAGTGATTTTTGTAGTTTTAATCAGGTTTTTTTTTCTTTGTTGTTATTGTTATTGTTGTCCAGATGAAGGTTTCGTACTGTATCCTTCATTGCCATTCTGCTTGGTGCCATTCCTTAAGCGTAATGTTTGTAGTGGGTATAGCATACTTTGTCTGCAGGTTTGAATTCTTTTGTGAGCATGGTTTAGGGCAATGAGGGGCCCTTGGACGGAAAGTCGGGGCTTAACTGCTGAGCTTGAAAGTTTCAATTATAGAAAAAAAAAATTTAAATAATTACTTAAATCTGATGGGGTGTTTAGTTTATGAATTGTTAGATATTGGATGTAAATTTTAGTGTTGTTAGTTCATTTTTCTAAAATGTTTGTTCCTTATTTTTAATTTGATCTAGCTTTGATTAATTGATTATCTTTTTAAAAAGATCTAAATTAAGATTACGAGTTATAACCACTGTTGCAATTACAAATGATAATTTATAGTCCACGAAAGAAGATTACCCCCCCCCCCCACGTCATAACATAACCTTTTTTAAGGGCTTACATAGATCACAGATACAGCAATTCTGTTGGCTCAATTCACGCTCTATAATACTCTTCACTGCTATTTTTCAGGGGAAGGCAAACGTAAAACCATGAACTGGTTCATCTTCCTCTTCTTCGGCCGATATTGACCACAGTGTCATGTGACAGGAGCCTTGAACGAATGGTTACCTCGACAAACACACATCTTTACACAGGTTGCAGGCAGAGTTTCTTCCAAGCATCTCTTCGGGAGGGGGGGGGGGGGGGCACCGCCCCCCGAAGAAAGTCTACTGCCCCCCCCCCCCGAACGAAATGGAATTTATATAGAAAATATATACTTTTGACAGTGTCCGCCCCCCCCCCCCCCGAAAATTGTTATTCCCCCCTCCCCAAAAAAATTTCAAGTGCACCCCCGGAGAAAAAAGTCTTTAAGAAACACTGGTTGCAGGTTTCCGCAACTCACAGCTTACCAAAGACTTTTTCACCATTTGCTTATCGTCAAACAGTTACTACTTTTATTTATTTGGCTATCTTTTGCTAATTTGTGACTGTTTACAGTTCACTACGACATATTCTGTCCTCAATATTTGCCACTTTGTCCAACATGTTGCGAACACTGTTTAAAGTATATGTTCGTGAATACACACGATAAGACATTGAATGTGTGGTGTATGTTGGATTCGGGAAATTTTACAATATTCAAAAGTATAAATCGTGTGTGTTTTAAACTTCAAGGTGTGCATGACATCTATGACAATTACATAGTAACAAAAAACGTAGGATTAAATTTGATAATGTCATCATTCGTTTTAAATTATATTCAATAAAAACTGAAAGAATATCTGTTTTAACTATCTTTAATTTTATATATATATATATATATATATATATATATATATATATATATATATATATATATATATATATATATATATATATATATATATATATATATACATATACATATATAGTTTTTTTTGTTATGCTATAAATCAGGCTGCCGTCCTTGATCTTGTAACTTGCATTTTAGTTTTTTTTTTGTTTTTTTTTTATCAAAGGGGACTCGGCTTTTCAACTTACATTTAATGCATTGCTTCTTTGTTCTTGGTTTTTTTTTTTTTTTTTTTTCGTTGGTGGTTTTTTTTCGTTTTTTTTTTTTTGTTTTTAAATTTAACATTTGCTCCAGTATATTTTTTTATCGGACTAGCCCTAGGCTGTGATACGATTATTTTAAGACGTATTGTTTGGACTATCACAAATTCTAAGTACCAAAGATTAAGTTCGGCTCATTTTGTCAAGTGAATTCTGAAATCAACTACTTAATGTGTACGTTAGGTAAACTAACTTCAAACCATCTCATCATTTTGACTTGTCAGTTTGCCTTAAGAAACAAGTCTTAGTATACCAGTACATTCTGGACATTTTGTAATGCAGCTTTTTTCCGAAATCATATTTAGGTGTTGAGAAGTCAGTTCCAGTTTGTAATCAGCATTTGACTGGCCTTAATACTAAGTTATCTCCCCTTGTTAAAATCATTCAATTAATCTTGCTTATTTACTATACAATTCGACTTCAAATAAGATATTCTTCTTTTAGTGGAGGTTCGCTTTTCCAATAAAGTAAAAATAAATAGTTGTATTTAAAATTATCAAAATAATTGAGTCACAATTCGATAACAAAAACCACCCACATATCGAATATATTTTGTGACAAAAAAAAAAAGCTTGTAAAAATATAAACCATTTTTTATAATCTTTTGAGATAATTAGAATAGGTTTGCATTTTGATTATCTTCATCAAAATTCTCGTACAAGAATTGTTCTTACAATCATATACCTAGTCTTAACACTATCCTTTTAACTACAAAAACTACAGTGAAATAAATTAAAGGATGACTGCATTCCAAGAACAAAATATTCCTTTAGCAATATTAGTAGTGAAAACACATCTGAAGTGAAAACACATAAGTGATAATTTCTTATGATAAGCTTTATGGGAATATGATACAAAATTCTAAAAGTTTTTAATCCAAACTCGAGCGAAATTATAAAGCCCTAACTTTCCACTCTATTAAACACATTTGAAAAACAATAAAATCGAGTAGAAAAAAAAAGGAAAAAAAACATACACATAATTTAATAATTATACGTAAAATTTCGACCATATAACTTACACGGTGCTCTAGCTTTTGTCCTTTGGGAAACCGGAAGTAGAGTAAGTACCACTTCTAAAAACCGGAAATCGCTCAAAAGCTGATAGAAAACTACTAATTTATATAATACTTAAGTATGAAATTCCGTCAACCTAACTGAAACGGTAGGCCCTACTCAACGGACTGTGTTTACAGACAGAAAAGATGGTGAAAACAATTTTTTCCGTTGAGATTTTTCAAAATTTCGAATTCAATTTTTTGCAGTATTACAATACGTTCTCTACATTTTGTATTCTCTAAATTTTGCAGATGTAAAAGTGCTTAAACTGTTAAAATAGTCTTTTGTGCAAGGTAAAACTTTTTCTGTACTCTGCATACGAGAAAGTAAAAATATGACATAAAGAATGCACATTTTATCGGAAATTCCAGCAATCAGAACCTATTAGTCCTTTCGATCTTAAGTTGAACAATTTCTGCACCAAACAAAAACAAAATGTAAATAGAAAAGACACATTCATCTAGATCTAGATCTAGATCTAAACGTCATCTACCAACGTATACCATCTGTTGTCCAAGCTACCGTACACCAAGTTATTCATCAGAACATCGTGATGAGCCACTAACATCAGTCCGTGTGTCCTATCATGGAGTGCCGAATGATCTGCCCGCCACAAGAAAGGGAACCATCTTCTCCTGCGCCCTGCCTGCCATGTTATTCGTTCCATTCCTGCCAGATATCCCATTCATGCCAGCCATCCCATTCATCCCATTCATGGCAGCCATCCCATTCCTGCCAGCCATCCCATTCATGGCAGCCATCCCATTCTTGCCAGCCATCCCATTCTTGCCATTCATGGCAGCCATCCCATTCTTGCCAGCCATCCCATTCTAGCTATTCCTGCCACCGATCAGTTTCCTGGCAGTCCTGCTCTTCGTGCTTTAGGCCGTGTACTCCATGTCAGACCAATTCGTGTCGGATCATCTTGCCATCCGAACCGAAGCCGAGTGTTTTTGACGGTAAGTCCTAGTGCTTTCAGACTAGCCATTCCCTTATAATATGATATGGTCGACGTGGTTAGGTGTGATGTGTCTTGTTGCTATTATAAAAAGTTACAAGTTCGAACTACATGTTAGCTGGGGACAGCAACATATTTAGGTGACAAGACTACAAAATCTAATCAACTGCTGCCCCGTCCTTGAGCCTTGGTTTTTAACGTCCATCAGATTATGGGACATTTTTTATTAACTAGCGCCAGGGATATGTGTCATTAGTGTTAAGGTTAAAAGTAGAGTGAGGCTATGGCCCAAGGTTAGGGGTTATTTTAAATTAAAGTTACGAGTGTATGATGCAGCTATTTCGAATCAGCCATAGCGACAGTATAGAATCGGTTATGGCGTTAGAGTGAATAAAACTATTGACACCATTATGCATGTCTTTTTTTAGCGTTATTGATAGTTTTTAAACTGCTTTTTCTCTTCCCACTAGATCTAATAGGTCAAAAAAAATTCAGCTGCGTTGGCAATGTCCTGACTTTCTTGGCAGCATTTTTCGTTTTTCTGTCTATATTAGGTGAGTTCAGTTGAACGTGTTTTGGTGTTCCATTTTTCTCCATTTTGTCTATATTAGGTACAGTTTAAACCTTTTGTTTAATTTTTTCAGTGTAAATACATATTTTTATTCTGTTTTTCAATAAGGATATTTTTTTCAAAATTATGTTTCCTTGGATGTATGTTTTATCCCCTCCATTTTCTCGCTCTTTTGCGCTTATATTTGTCTAATCCAACGATTTTTTTTTATCAAAACGTCAATTTTTTCATCAGAATATCTTACATACCATGAAATAGGATCACACGCCAAAAAACGTGAGTAACATCTGTTCCATAATGCTTTAAATATTTAGCACATGACGTAGCTTTCGATTTTCTATTTGTATTTTTTAACAAAGAACGTTTCCCTCCTTTCTGTCATTACTTGCCTATCCAATGGCTTCTACTGAGGGTGACCCCATCATTATAGTTGACGTGGATAGGAAACGCTTTTGTTCTTTTTTTTTACATTTCGTCTTCTGTGTGCCTTACACTAAGCTTCTAAAAAATTTAAATAAGCGTTTTTCACAATTTAATACTATAGCATTTTAAGAATTGAAGTATTAATATGTGTAAAAACAGAAACAAAATACTTTGAGGCTAGAATTTGAACACCCGACCGTAACCTTGCATTCGTATGCTCTTTAATACAAATTATAAAGACCAATTTTTTTAATATTCGTTGCTTTTGAAAGAGTGTGTTTAATTTCGATTTTAGAATGAAGTTGTTTTTTATTGAATATGGCACGATGCATTTGCGGTAATTTCCACTTTGTTTGATAAACAAATAACCGAAAGAATTTTTCTTTCCTTTTTTAAAAACAAATATTGTTTATTCATGACTTAACTTAAAATATTGGAAGAAAAAAAGAAAACAAAATTTTCTATTTTTTGGTCCTATTATCTATCTTCATTTGGTTGAACATATATAAAGAGCACTTGACCTATTGAAAGTAATCAAAGACAATATGCCAACTGAGGTCATAGATGAAGACGTACGAATCGTAAACCAAATACACAGAGTATTTAGCAAAACTTGTCGAAAGAAAACCTTCCTGCAGAATAGAAAAAGGCAACTGTTAAAATATCTTACCAGCTGGAACTTATCACATTTAGAAAAATGTCAATCTTTGTATAAAGCAAAGTTTTTAGCGAATTCTAACAGAATGTAAATAAACTAATGCAGGATTTAGAAAAGGACTTTAATATCCTGACTATGTAGAAATACTCAAGATTGTCGCAGAACAATGCGTTTATTTTCAATCCCCCAGCAAAAAAAAAACACTTCAAAATCATTGATGGAAAAATAAAATGGTCTAATAAAAGACATTACTTAATTGTAACGAAAGTATTAACAATCATCAAAACTATCCATGATGACTTGTCTGTTTTGCGGTATAGCATCAGATGCATTATTCCATCTTTTACCAGCCTGGAAACAAAACTAAGATTCTTTAACCTCAATCCGAAAACAGATCTACTTCACTGATCCAAAACATAGAAAACAAAAGGAACAACAAAAACCAGGATCGGCTTATTCCTAAGAAATATATTAAAAATGTAGACCCCACAATGCTGGGGTCTCATGTCGATTAGGGGGCTTAAAATCCAATCAAATATATTTTTATTCCTTGCACCTTGATAGTGGTTTTGTAAAAAAACAAAACCCATCTACTACAGCAGTGATTGTTTTAAATAAACACACACGCTGTTGCTTAGAATAAAACAAAAACCCAGAGTGTAGAGTACAGAACTGATAGTAGATTTCTCAAATGTCTATTTTTAGAAAATCTTCTTCGTATCGTCAAAATTGTTACTACACTAAAGACTGTGTTATAGTATTTGTTAACGTTTCCTCGTAGACTTGATTTTCCCTGGAGTTTTATTTTAGCTATTGATGGCGTTGTTCTGATTTTAATCCTCCGTCTTAAAGTATCCATATCATTGTTTATAAACATTGGTTTGCACTTCAGTTAGTTCTTGGTCTAATCATTATTATTTGAGTAAATTATTTAAACTCTTCGCCTTCTAAACTGTTTTTTCTTAACAAATTTTAAAAGTTTAAATTGTTCTTTTGTTTTAGTTTTGAAGGACTTTTGGTTGCACCTAGCAAAGATTGACGCAAAACATTAACTCTGTTAAAAATGTTTATTAATTTTATACATCGATAAAACTCGACAGTTAACACGAGCTAGTATACATAGACTAAACATCCACAAAAAGTGAATAAAAAAACGTTTTGTCTGATATTGTTTAGTTTGTTGTTCTGTTTAATGTCAAATTATTTTTTAATTTTAAGTATCTGCTACATTTAAAAATTAAAAAGTTCAAATAATCCTTGAAATATATGTGAAAAATAATTAAAAACAATCAATTTGACTGAAGCCAATCTGAACAAATGGTGACAATAAGCATATCATATCTTGTTGTTATTTAGAAACATCTATGGTACTTGGTTTCCGAGGAAACACGATAACTTGAGTACTGTTTCAGTTAAGTACACGGAATTCTATATATATACGTATAAGATCCTGTAGGTTACTTAAATAACATTAAATGTTGTGTGACCTTCTTTTTCGGTAAGTCGTAGTTTATTGTTTCGATAAGCTTGGTATACATGGGGATAGTTTGGTCAGCACGAGAGTCAGATACCCATCAGAGCTGGGCGGACACTCGGACATCCTACAGACTCTAACCTGAGATCCGAACTCGAGACTTTCAGACTAGCAGTCTTGAGCTCTACCCAGAGGCGTATCCAGGTTTTCGTTGTAGGGGGAGCGAAAAGAGCAAAAAAGGCGCCGAATTTTTAACACGTTCTATATACGTGTGTATATATATCAATATATATATATATCTATATATATATATATATATATATATATATATATATATATATATATATATATATATATATATATATATATATATATATATATATATATATATATATATATATATATATATATATATATATATATATATATATATATATATATATATATATATATATATATATGATGTAAAATAAATTGAAAGTAGCACTCTAAAGAAATAAGAAAAAACACGCAATGTAGGCCGACAAAACAAAAATTGTATCAATGTAAACATATATATATATATATATATATATATATATATATATATATATATATATATATATATATATATATATATATATATATATATATATATACTACAACCAAAAACAATGAACGTAACACAATCTGTTTTGTAGTTCTTGTAAAAGAAAAAATTCTTACATAATGATTCCTGGGAAATTATTTAAGACAAGTGAAATAGGGGAAATAATCACTTTCTTAATATAAATATGTATATAACTACACATTTAATTAAAAATGTCAAAACAAATAAATATTTACTTTAGAATATAATGAAATTGTTTAACACTATTCGTATTTACAAAATGTTTTTGTCTATAATCATAATTTAATATATCGTTATCATAAATGCTAAAGTATTACAGCATAATGAAAGTTTTTAAAATCAGAGTTTGTATAAAACCACGATTTTCGACATAATGGAAAAACACTCGGAATAACAGCCTACATTTAACTGAATATACGTCTTTTTAGTTCAGATCATATATTTTTAATTAAATACTGCTTCTTTGTGTTTTATAAAAATCATTTTTAACATAGTGATAGGTATGGGTTAGATCACGGTATTGATCACACACCTTTTTACTGGTAATTGCAAAAACAATATTCACAGAGTTTTACGTTTAACAAGCTAATGTTCTGGCGGCATGGTACTTTGGTACATCAATACGCGTTTTTCTACATGTACCTAACAGATCAGTTCGGGGTGGGTTGAGGGGGGGGGGGGGGGTTCAATTTCATTCACCACTGCCCGGTCACTTTAGGTAAATTATCCAACCCAGGTGTGACATTAATGCCGCTCTACACAATTGTAGTGGTGAGGTGTGTGTGGGGGGGGGGGGGGGAGATAACCAACTCAGAGTGAACATAGCGTCAGTTTTTAGATGACTGTTCTTAACACACATATATATTACACAAATATATATTACACAAATATATATTACAGAAATAGATTTAAATAAGTAGCAGTGGTATTATGACAATATTTTTTTTACAGAGGGTCCATGGGAGAGGGGGGTTGTAACTGTTTCATATAATTTGTAATCGTAATCACTATCGCCCAAACTGTAAGAATACTACTACTTCATTGTGATGACGCTCAGGGGCGGAACTACAGTGCCGCCAGACCCCGCAATGCGGGGGGGCCCAGACCAATTGGGGGCCCAAAAATCCTGGCTAAATTATTAAAAAAAAAAAAAAAAAAAATTAGGTGGAGGTCGAGTTATCTTTCTTCTACAGTTACAAACAAACACGATAGTCGGCAAACGTCTTTGAGAAAAATGCACTGACTATAGCTCGAGAGACCGCCAGACATATAGACAACTTCAAAGACGAAGCATCTGAAATTTGACTGTGCCGGTACGCTTTGAAATCGGGCTGGGGAAATGTTGCGGCGAGGCGACTATCCTGGTCTTCTAGACTACGATCGGAAAAAGTCGGCACTATTGATGTAGATGTTTATCGGCGCTTTCTTGTCCCCTTCCCTTCCCAACTCTCCCCCCCCCCCCTCCCCCTCACTTCTACCCCTCACCACACCCTTACTCTTACAATAAGATGTAATGCATAGATTAACGAACCGTCTATGAACTGTAAACTGACCACTTCTGCACATTTTGTTAAAGACACTAGTCAGTAGTTGTTCATTTACCTGATGAACAGGGGCGGAACTACAGTCCCGCCAGACCCCGCAATGCGCGGGGGGGGGGGGGGGGAGGCCGTTTAGGGGCCCACGGCTGACCAAATTTTTTTTTTTTTAAATTTTGAATTTAATTTTTGCCTTAATATTTGGTTTGTAAAAGAAAAACACTGTAGCTGCGGTACGATTATCTTTATTTTACAGTCACTATACCACGCTCTTCCGCAAAAGATAAAATCCATTACACAAACTACAGTGTAAAATTTAATGTGATTTTTGTGCACGATTACAAGACTTTCTCTATACTTCGTATATACGAGAAAGTAAAAACATTGTTATATTGTTTACATTATTAAAACACATATCTATGATTATGTGTTTAAACTACTGGCCTGAATTCTACAAAAAATATAATTATTTATTTCGATCTCATACATTTATAATTGCGTTCATTTTTACTTTAACAACTGTATCAATAAACTTGTAAAAGTATAAGTTATTTCCCTTCAGCGAAGCATTTGAAATTTGACTTTGCCGGCACGCTTTGAAATCGGGCTGGGGAAATGTTGCGGCGACCGGCGAGTCGGCGACTATCCTGGTCTTCTAGACTAATCTAGACGACCGGATAAAGTCGGCACTATTGATGTAGATGTTTATCGGCACTTTCTTGTCCCCTTCCAATGAACCTTCCCAACTCTCTCCTCTCCCCTACCCCTCACCTCTACCCCTCACCACACCCTTACTCTTACAGTAAGATGTAATGCGTAGATTAACAAACCGTCTATGAACTACTGTACTGTACCACGCTCTTCCGCAAAAGATAAAATCCATTACATTACTCTTCAAATTTTGAATGACTTCTTTGACTCGTTGCCCCCCCCCCCCCTTTGATAGCTAAATAGAGGACACGTAACTGTTTGACCGATCCTCCAAAGTGTACTGTGGCGGATGGGGCAGGGGATGGGGACCAAAAGGGGGTTAAAAAATTGTCGACAAATTCTTTACATATTTAAAACAGTTATTTATAGTTGTATTTTTTAACCATCGTCAAGGCCGAGTTCTATTTCCCTACAATCAAACACACGCTGTCGCCGGCAAAATTCTTTTTTAAAAAAAAACAACAAAGTCCATAGCACGAAAAGCCGCTACATATGAAGTGGGCTTTCAATACTTTCATGATGCGCGGTTCTTATTCGCGGCATTGGTAGGGGACCCGAAATCCATTGTACATTTTTCAATGTTAATATATGTTTGTGATAGTGGTTGAATTTGTATCCTGTACTATCTTGTATCGTACAAATAATTTAAAAAAAAATAATATAATACTAGAAACTTCAGTTTTATATACGTTTACTTGTTTTTTATTTTACAAGAAATATAGTAAACTTTTAAGGCCTATACTTCAAATTATCTCCCCTGAGTAAGTTTTACAATGGGCGATGCTGACGTACATAGATCAAGGCGTTTTGTTGTCCCTTTCAAGTTTTTTCCCCGAGCCGACCCCTATCCCATCCCTCTTTCTCAACCTCACAAGTATCGAGGAGATAAATGTATCGTTTATGAACTACTTCCTAACCGTACGATTCACCACTTGAGCACATTTTGTCAGACACTAGACAGCACTAGATCTAGTCAACACATATTAATTTACTTTCATAGTATTAGGCAAATCTAATTCACAAAACAGGGCAGGTAAGATTATTTTTTATATAATTATTTAGAAATTAATTAGAACGTTTAGAATTAATTGAACATTATTAATAGTCATTGAGGTGGGGGTGTGTGAGGGTCTGGCTTTTTGTTAATCCCCCCCCCCCCTCCCCTAAATCAGAAGGTTATCCAACGCGTGACCTGGCCACATACAGTTGTACATGTGAAAAACATTTTTCTCTCTAATATTATTATGCATTACTGCATCATTCACCCAATCGCCATGAAAACTTGGGAAGCTGTTGAGTACAGCCCCGCAAAGGTTTCTGTCATAGGCCTAACATTTGTACATATTTGAGTGGGGACTCCTAACGGAAATATGTGATTTAGCGCCCCGTGATACTGCATAAGCGGATGAGGTTACTACTTGAATACAACCGGCCTCAGTGTCATCCTGAGCGCATCACATATGAGCAAGTTGGCCCCCACAGACAGTCGTTTAAAAGTTCCCACAACACTAGGAATAAGTCTCGCTACAACACTCGATGACTAAATCTAATTAGGTGTCGCACCAATGTTTCTTCCAGGGTAGACTGTTTTCGGGGGAGGGGAGGGGGGGGGAGCTCTGCCGGAAGAAACAATGTGTCACACCCATCACCCGTGCAGTAATGTAACCGGTAGCTCCAAGAGCCCCGTGACTCCCCTGACACCTGGGCCGTCGCAGAGGGATTTACAGCATGCCTTGGCGTGTCTAGTTGGTAGTGTGGACAAACCCGCGCCCTAAGATCCAAGAAATGAACTGCCGACATTGTTAACATTTAATTCAACTTCTGGAAAACAGGGCACACGGTTAGTAACGTTTTGATAAAAGCCTCAGTTTGGTGTGTTGGACTAGATTTAGAAAGGTGCCAGCTCGTGTGTTGGAAAACCTCTGATTTATTCGTGTACCAGATGTAATTTTTTTTAAATTGAGAGCGAACCTTGTTTTATATATATATATATATATATATATATATATATATATATATATATATATATATATATATATATATATATATATATATATATATATATATATATATATATATGGGGGGCCCAAAAAATTTTTTTGCGGGGTGGCCCATTTTTTCTAGTTCCGCCACTGATGACGCTGTTGAGCTTGTCAAAATTTCCCCACCATTACGCAGTTTGCTCATAAGTAAATTTAAATAGAGGTGCCACATCAGTTGTATTTGTTTCTGTATTGTAATTTTTTTTTAAAATTAATCACACGATTCAAACTGTATATATAAAGTAATTATGTGTGAAGTTTCATGCATAACTTTTTTTAATTCAATTATTCGTAAGCAAATACATTATTCAGTTGCCTTAAACGTAACAGCCCTCTTGCCAAGTAGTACTACCCGTAGAGGTTTTTTAAACATTGCAAAGCATCGTAATGGTTATTTTTAGAATGGCAAACTGATGCAGCTGTTAATACGTGTTGTAAACGTAGACACTACTAGACTAGTACAATAATGCTTAATTGCTGCATGAAAAGAAATCTTGTGATTTACATAGATGTGCCGACCAAAAATATTTTTTTAACAAATATAATTATTTAAAACTTTGAGTTTAAAAAGTTTCCAAAAAGGCGCCACTTTGATGAAAATGGTCAGAGGGGGAGCGGCCGCTCCCCCTGCTCCCCCCCCCCCCCCCCCCCCCTGCGTACGCTACTGGCTCTACCATCCGATTATATGATTAGGTGAAGGTTTTAAGGTTCCGATTTCGGTTACGGTCCAGGTTTAGGTTAAATTTCGCGTTTCTGTTCAGTTTAAAGTTCAGGTTCCAGTTCAAGCCCATGTTCCTGATTACATTCTAGCTCCTGTTAAATTTCCAAGGTTTTGGTCTAGATTCAAATTTAGATTTAGCTTTAGGATTTGGATTATAGAACAAAAACGATTTCCCCCTCAACTGGCTAAATGCCTAGTAAAATAACAATTGCAGAATTTGGAAAAATAATTTAAAACAACTTACTTGATGAAAACGTTTATGAATAGTATAAGTAAGATTATCTTGAGGTTATTTTAAAATATAGATGACGTTAATATTAAGTATAGACAATTTTTTGTACTATAAAAGCTAGTGTTAAAAAGTTTGATCCCTAGCACAAGGAACGACTATTTTTATATGGAAATTCGTGATTCTCTTCAGAGGCGAAACCAACATACACAACAACGCACTAGCCATGATTGATGAAGTCCTGTCGGCGGCCGAGAGACATCGAGGCTTGGTCGTGTATACAACTCCTTGGTTTGACAAGGGAAAAAAAACTTGTCGCTGGTTTAACAGCTGCAAGGGAAAAAAATTTCATAAATCTCCGTATTTTATTTATTTAACAAGTAACTTCAGAACCAAAATACCTAATTTAGTGTGGCCCTATTTTAGATTCTGGTGTGAATATTTGTATGTGCGTTTGTACGGTGAAAATCCCTATCCGTTTTATATGTTGGATCAAAAGTTTTTTTTAAAAAGTTAAATTATAATCCTCTAAGCTAAGGTGCTAATCAAAAGTTCCTAAATTAATTTATTTATTGTTCATGTTCAATTTTTGTGTTCTTTCTTTACATGAAATAATTCACTTATCACACAAAAAACCCACAATTTATACGTTTGAATAAAGCCAAAATGTATACGTTTAAGTAAAGCCAAAATTTATATGTTTGACTAAAATCAACTAAACATTCGTTTGACTAAAGCCGTCCGTAAGTTATTTCGCCTGGGGTATATTTGTTTCTTTGACAATTTGTATTGAGAATATTGGTAATGGAACCTTATATATATATATATATATATATATATATATATATATATATATATATATATATATATATATATATATATATATATATATATATATATTGTTATTTCTTTATTTAACCGCAGAACCTGAACTTTACGTGCAAGGAGCCGAATTTGAACCAGAGCCATATCATGAACCAGATTACCATTATTTTGAAGATGAACCTGAACCATGTCCTAAAAGAGACCCTAAATACGAACCAGACCCTGAATATGAGCCAGATCTTGGATATGAGCCAGATAATGAATATGAGCCAGAGCCTGAACCAGAGCCTATATATGAGCCATGGTCTGAACCGGAATTTGAATATGAGCCAGGGTCTAATCCATACGAGATAGAAACGTATCCTGATAGTCGATACGAGTCGAATCAAGATGAGCGTGAACCCGACACTGAATTTGACCCTGATAATGAAAAACAAGCCGTGCCAGAAACCGAAGAACCATATGTAGAAGCGGAGCCAGAACCAGAGCCGGAGCCGGAGCCCGAGTCAGAGCCGGAGCCGGAGCCGGAGCCAGAACCCGAGCCGGAGCCCGAACCGGTGCCTCAACCCGAGCCCAAACCAGAGCCTGAACCCAAGCCAGAGCCGGAGCCTGAGCCAGAGCTTGAACCGGAGCCGGAGCCTGAGCCCGTACCTAAACCGGAGCACGAACCTGAACCGGAGCCTGAACCTGAGCCAGAGTCCAAACCAGAGTCCGAGCCGGAGCTGGAGTCTGAACCTGAGCCAGGGCCCAAACCTAAGCCAGGGCCCAAACCTAAGCCAGGGCCCAAACCTAAGCCAGGGCCCAAACCTAAGCAAGGGCCCAAACCAGAGTCCGAGCCTGAACCGGAGACCGAACCAGAACCGGAGCCTGAGCCAGATCCTGAATGCGAGCCATTGCCTAAGAGCAAACTTAAACCCCCGCTTAGCGTACCGTTTTTTCAACCTCCAAGTAAGCAAAACTTTGTGCTGCTAACAGTGTTAAGTCCTTTTTAAACAGCAACTACTACCATCTCGCTTATGATAAAATGTCTAACCTTCTGACTAATAACCATGCGCATCTATTCCTTGTTTACGTTTTCTAGGATTATCAAGAAGAAGAAAGTGCTGGAGAGATAAATTTTACGGTAAGAGTAGCCAGGATAATGTTTAGTCTAAAACTTATTGTTAAGATGGGACTGGTAGAAAATTTTAAAATTTAAATCTCACATTCAGCAATTTATTTGGTTCTGTTTACGTACATGTACGCTCTTAGATGTGAGACACGACTTCACTGCTATTTTTCAGGGGAATGGAGACGTAAATCACTGAACTGGTACAGGTTCCTCCTGTTCGGCCCCTTTTGACAACAGTGTCATGCGACAGGAACCTGGACCGAATGGTTACCTCGACAAACACGCATCTTTACACAGGTCTCCGCAACCTTTGCACACTCACAGCTTACCAAAGACTTTCTTCACTCGGTATCATGTTTTCTATTGGGTTACTAAGACTTACCAAGTCTTTCATTTTCCGTGGCTTTTGCTGTTTGTGAACGTCTGACGATTTACGATGACCTTTTCTGCGGTTAACATTTGTCAGTCGTTTACCTAATAATAGTAGCCACAGATCTTTTTTATGCGGCTAACATTTACCAGTCGTTTACCAAATAACAGTTCTTTTTTATGCCGCTAACATCGTTCATTTTGTGAAGGCGCAATAGGTTTCGGAGCTCTGTTTGAAGTATGTTCGTAAATATATATGATAAAAATTGAATGAATTGTCTGGTGGATTAAGAAAATGGTCCAATTTTCAAAAGTGTAAAACTTTTGGTTTAACAATCAAGGTGTACATGACATCTATAGCAAATAGATAGTAACAAAGAAACGTAAAATTAAATTTTAAAATGTCATCATTCGTTTTAAATTGTATTCTACGAAAATATAAAGAATAACATTGAATCTTTGTTTGTTTGTTATTTTTTATTTAACGTCTGCTTCAAGGCATTCTTAATAAGACTAAGCCTAGATCTTGGTATTAGATTAGTTAAGATGTATTGTTTTAACTATCACAAATTTTAAGTACCAAAGAACTAGTATATTAATGTAACGTTCACTCGCAAAACCGATTCAGTTCGGCTTATTTTGCCACATGAATTCTGAAATCAACAGCTTGCATGTGTACATTAGGTAGACTTACTTCAAACCATCTCATGATTTTCACTTGTCAGTTGAATTAAGAAACAAGTATACCTTTACATTCTGGACAATTTGTAACGTAACTTTTTCCCGAAGTCATATTGTTACAATTAGGGTGTTGAGAAGTCAGTCCAAGTAAAAATTAAACCACTTCATAATCTTTTTCTGTAAAATGTGAGTCATGGAATTAAAAACAAGTTAATTAAAAAAGTCTAGTGACATTTGTGCGCAATTTCCTTATGTTATCTAAAAATAGCTCTGACGTATAATGTTGGGGTGCGTTCAAGCTAGAAGAACAATCGGTTTGTAGGTGTTTATGTAATTTTAAAATTTGTGACCGAACGAGAGAATATTTTTGAAAACTTTCTTCGGCAATATTGTTCTAAATTATGACAGGAATCGATTGGTACATGTTTCAAGTCGCTAAGTGGTCTGGTTGCCGAGATATGGGCCAAAAACTGCATTTTTTCGAGGTTTTTTGGCTTTTCCGGGAAATACATGAAAGAAACCCGGAATTTTTATGGCCTATGCTCATTCTCGTAACTTGCTTAACATAATTGCTTTTGGAACTATTCATCGATATTGCTTCGTTGAGGAGGAGATACGACTTAAAGCCCGGACACACATTCATCCATCCATCCATCCATTCCCAGAAATGACGAGTTAATAAACGCAATTCTCCAGAATGGAAATTGCGCTAAAAAATATGCAGTAAAGATAAGAGGAAACAAAAAGCGAAAACAAAAAGCAAGAAGATAAAGCAGTTTAAAGCTTTATAAATGTGTCAGGAGTAGAGCACTCTGGTGCAATTTCAAGCATGTCTCCACTTGGTTTAGTCGCCCTTTTACTGGGGCTCCGTTCTGTGTTTGGTGGACCAGAACTGCTGCTAAACCCGGGCTTTGAGAATGGAATCAACGGTTGGCACAGCAGTGGGTTCCTAATGACGACCGACACCACACACGTTCACGGGGGTGTGGCTGCTGTCAGGTGCTTGGGCAGGTGAGATGGAATTTTACATTTGGGTTTGGTCAGTAGGTCTAAGATCGTTTACACGTTACTTAAATAGTATACATGGTAATCTAGCTATCGTGTGACCTAGGGCAACAATGAACTGTCCACATGGTAATCTTGTGACCTAGGGCAACAATGAACGGTCCAAATATTCATCTATCATGCGACCTAGGGCATCAATGAACTGTCCACATGTTAATCTTGTGACCTAGGGCAACAATGAACGGTCTACAAAGAAAGTTAAACCACTAACAAAAAAGTACCACGAAAACCGAAAACAGTTGTCCCTTATCAGTAATTAACGCAGTTTTTAATGAATCATCAGTAATTAACTCATTTTCATAATGAGTCATTAGTAATTCACGCATTTTCATACTGAATCGTCAGTTATTGACGCATTGTCATACTGAATCATCAGTAATTAACGCATCTGTTTATGAATCATCAGTAATTAACGCATCTTTTAATGAATCATCAGTAATTAACGCATCTTTTAATGAATCATCAGTAATTAACGCATCTAATAATTAATCACATCAGAACCAACGTCAACCAGGGACCGTCGCAGAACTTCCAGGCCCATCCCGACACCCGCTACACCTTCCACGTTTTCTTGAGACTGGCAGCGGGGTCCCCCACACAAGAGGCTAAAGTTACTGTTGCCCTCAAACGGTCAGACAACGGTAAATAACCTCTTGTTTCACTCACACCACTTTCATCAACTCGTGCAACTGACCGTAGGGTATTCTAGAAACAGACCAAATTCTAACATAGTTTGACTAGCAATTATGATACGATAATTGTTAAACGTTGAATGTGTTAGTGCCGGTGTACGAGTATGATTTTTATCTATTGACACTAGGCCAAGACGAATACATCAGAGTGGCCAACCATCCTTACATTACCCCTGCTGATGGGTGGGTTAACGTTGGAGGAAATTTTCACATACCAAATCATGGTGAGTCTCTCTATTCACAGGTTTCACACACTCAATGTTAAATACGTTTTTAAGTTACTATTTAATTTAAAAAAATTTAAATGTAAAAAAATGTTTATATATATATATATATATATATATATATATATATATATATATATATATATATATATATATATATATATATATAATAGTTATGCATACTACAAAGAGTTAGTGATGTCACGCAATTTTAGAAGACTTTGCCACTTACTACCTATTTGTCACACACATCTCAAAAAATCCAACCCTGTTCTCCATTTAAAAGAAAATTCCGCCCCTCCCCCCACCCCCCCCCCCCCACACACACACACTTGAAAATTAACAATTTTCATTACTTTAATTGCAAGAAATTTTACATAATAAGTGCTTCGCTACTTGTCTTAAACCAACCCTCCCCCATATAGTTTATAGTCACATAATCCAGACTTCCCCTAGATAAATTACGTAATCTATTGAACACCCGTTATAATCTGATGAAAATGTAGCGTGTAACATACATAATGTCATATGTTATTTATCTGGCAATGGTTTAACATTCGTATGTTAACTCCATTTCCTTGTTGCTCTTCACGATAGTATCGTGTTTTAATGTTGTAGCTTACAGCCAGGCCAGGGTGTACCTAGAGGGTATCGCTACCAGTGTTGAGTTCTACGTAGACGACGCGTCTTTAAAGGAACTGGAGTACAACTCAGGGTGGAAGGCGGCTGCTAACGCCAAGATTGAAGAGTTGAGAAAGAGTAACATACATTTCAAGTAAGTCGCCTCATGGGAAGCTTTTAGGTGTTTTTGTAGTAAGAGATGTGACAATCCCAGTATTCTAATTGTTGCTTACGTATGTGTAAATAGTTTTTTTTTTTTTTTTTATAATTTATAGATAGAATAGCACGCTTATTTTACCTTTAAATAAACACCGGTTGCATATTTTAAATGTGATGTTACATAAAGGGTGTAAATAGAATAATTTTATTTCAACATTATATCAGTTTTAGCTTTAGCGCTAATGCGATAAAATTTAAAGATTTTAACAAAACACATTAATATTCAACTTTATTATATTGTACAATTTTATATATAAAAATAATTAAAATAAAAATAATAATAATAATAAAATCGTAATATCCTCAACAGTTTTCACGTTGACCCTAAGTTTAGTGCCAGTGATATCAAAGTTAAGGTAAATATTCGTGAGTGGATGGTTAGAGGTATGATTTGATCAGCTGAGTGAATGGTTATATGTAAGATTTGATCAGGTCAGTGGATGGTTAGAGGTAAGATTTCACCAGGTGAGTGGATGGTTAGAGCTAAGATTTGACCCGGTGAGTGAATGGTTATATGTAAGATTTGATCAGGTCAGTGGATGGTTAGAGGTAAGATTTCACCAGGTGAGTGGATGGTTAGAGCTAAGATTTGACCAGGTGAGTGGATGGTTAGAGGTAAGATTTGATCAGGTGAGTGGATGGTTAGAGGTAAGATTTGATCAGGTGAGTGGATGGTTAGAGGTAAGATTTGACCAGGTGAGTGGATGGTTAGAGGTAAGATTTGACCAGGTGAGAGAATGGTTAGAGGTAAGATTTGACAGGACTCATCAAGACGCAGCTAAAGACATTAGTAAGAAAACACTTCCTTAAGCTGCGCTGAGATGGGAAATCAATGAATTCAATGTGGAGTGAGCCAGATTAGATGAAAACCTATTTAATAGATTTGTACCCATTAACAAATCGATCATCACAAGAGCCAGACAAAGACAAAAAAAAGTAATCTATTCGTGTAGTTGTTCTTATAAAAGTTAAATTATCATAAAATGATTTTTTTTAAATGATAATTAATTTAACATAAGAATAATACAAAAACAAGTTAATAAAAAGTCTAGTGACAATTTAAGCGCAATTTCATTAATTAATTTTTTGTTACCGAACGAAAGGATATATTTGAAAACTTTCTTCGGCAATATTGTTCTAAATTATGGCAGGAATCGATTGGTAAATGTTTTAAGTTGCTAAGTGGTTTGGTTGCCAAGATATGGGCCAAAAACTGCATTTTTTCGAGGTTTTTTGGCTTTTCCGGGAAATCCAGGAAGGAATTCCGGGAATTGTTTTGGCCTATGTTCATCCTCGGTACTTGCTTAACATATTTGCTTTGGAACTAGTCCTCGATATTGCTGAACCTGAACTAGAACCTGAACCCGAGCCGGAACCTGAGCCCGATGATGTGATTAATTAATAGATGCGTTAATTACTTATGAGCCCGAGCCATTGCTTCCGCCTAAGCCTAAGCCCCCGAATCCCAAACCGATTATTCCTAAATCAAGTAAGCAAAATATAAAGCTGGTTGGGGCATTAATATTATATTCTGTTTTTTTAAGATCTTTTTTAGCCTCGCCAAAAGCATTCTTATAATGAAATGAAATTTCTAGCTATTCTTTTATGCTTACTAAATAACACATTTTGGAGACAAATAGTCCTAGTTACATTTATGACAAATTAACTGCCAATAAAACTTTTGTATTTTTTTAAAAGAGCTACAATAAGTGGCATGGTGAGATTAGTGTGTTGGGATGAGGGGGAATTTGCATCGCTGCTTATCGGATTTTACACGGCAATAACACATTTTTTTCATGAATTTAAATTTCTTAAAGGCTTTCGGTTATGCTGGTTAACACACGTTTTGTTTTAAGCTATAAATTAAAGTTGTATCAGTAACTGCTGTTTTCCATGAGAAGATTTAAAAACACGTACACGCTCAAGTTGTAACATCAGCTGTCATCACTTCTTGCTCAGACATATTGTCCAGTTACAGCAACACCCCACCCGCACCCTTGATACAATAGTTCATTTCTAACGAAAAAAATCAATGGATTTTTAAAATGTAAACGAAATCTCACTACAGGGCAAATATAGTTATTTTGACACTGGTTTATTCTAACATGTGTTTATTCAGACTGACCGCGCTAGCCTTTAATAACATGTTAAAAAAAGGTCAATTAATACTTAATAGAGACAATAATATCCCGTGGTTTACGTACCAAAATTACCATCCTATGTCACACACTAAATAGTTCGATTCATGCATATATATATATATATATATATATATATATATATATATATATATATATATATATATATATATATATATATATATATATATATATATATGTATGTATATATATGTATATATATAAATGTGAGCGGGTGAATGGATTATTTTGTATTATTTTATTTGGTGCGAATCTGCCAGTGGATGATCCAATGGGGAGCGGCCATGGGGTCCCCCTTCCGCCCGAAGCGGTCAGTATATAAATTGACCGCTCGGATAATTTTCTTTTTTTTTACCCGAGGCAAGATATAGATAGGGTCGGTTTCTGCGTGGGTGCGTGGCGCACCTCACGCGTGAAGTGAGGTTGCTTGGGCAACTTGGCTGGGTGTTTTGTTTGGTGTAAAAAGTTTGTTTGGTATTTATTGTTTTCTACGTAATGTCTTTTGTGTGTGCTGAAGCGATGAGGTGAGGGCGAAGGCGTTCCTCTTTCCATCAAGTATAAATCTGTTTTGTTTTGTTTAGTCGTGTTTTGTCCAGTTGAGTTTTTAGTCGTGTTTTGTGTATTCTGTAGTTTATCATCTTTCTTATTTTGATTGGTTCCATGAAATAAATTTTATTAATTTGTTAAAGTTTTTTTTTGTTTTTTTTTAATTTAGACTAAGATTAAGGTATTAACCAATCTGGGTTTAGCCGGGCTTGCACTGACGGGACGGTAATAAAATAAGCCTAGGGAAGGGTAGATAGATTTTAAGGTATCCCCCCCTAGCAGGGCTTACATATGTGACGAAAAAATCAATGGATTTTTAAAATGTAAACGAAATCTCACTACAGGACAAATATAGTTATTTTGACACTGGTTTATTCTAACATGTATTTATTCAGACTGACGGCGCTAGCCTTTAATAACATGTTTTAAAAAAAGGTCAATTAATACTTTATAGAGACAAAAATATCCCGTTGTTTACGTACCAAAATTACCATCCTATGTCACACACTAAAAAGTTCCTTTGATGCATATATATATATATATATATATATATATATATATATATATATATATATATATATATATATATATATATATATATATATATATACATATATATATATATATATATATATATATATATGTATATATATATATATATATATATATATATATATATATATATATATATATATATATATATATATATATATATATATATATATATATATATATATATATATATATATATATATATATATATATATGTGTGTGTGTGTGTTTGTGTGTGTGTGTGTGTTTATTAATTTCTTTTTCAGTACTTTACATGTTCTATTTACAATAGAGTTACATGACTAAAAACCATTGCGCGCCTATTGAACGTGATGACGCGCTTTTGCCGTGATGACGCGTTTTATTGCCTTTCTCTGCCCTGTTTTATCGTAGAGCCCTCCTCGCTCGACGCCTAAAAGGGCCGTGATGACGCATGTGGATAGAACTGCTTACTAATTCGGTCCAAATTTTAATTATTTCATAAAAAAATTAATTAAGCGACCAATTAAGTCAAATTGAATTTCACGATGCATTGTTTTCATGTCTTGACCCACGTACTAACTACGAATCGTATCTGTCAGTGAGAAAAGCCTTCAATTTCACTCGGGCGTTTCTATCTAGACAGACAGACAAACTGACGACAGAGGAAGTGAGTTAAATAAAAGCTTGTAAAAATAGACCTACTTAATTAATATTTCTGGAAACGCATTTAAAACATAACCTTTGTTTCTGTCTTTTAGCAAAACCGAGAAAACCGAGAAAAGCAATATGCTGGAGTGAGAAATTTTACGGTAAGTTGGACCTGGGAAACAATTGGCAGGATGGGATTGTGACATTCTTAAACTTCATAGTTCTGATGTGGCTTGTGTATTTATTTATTTATAGTTTAGTGGTGATTAAAAGCGAATGTTGATTTTAGTTTCCAGTTGAGACATTTTTTTAATGTAGTTTAAACTTTATATAGTGATTTTTGTAGTTTTAATCAGTTTTTTTTCTTTGCTGTTATTGTTATTGTTGTCCAGATGAAGGTTTTGTACTGTATCCTTCGTTGCCGTTCTGCTTGGTGCCATTCCTTAAGCGTATTGTGTTTAGTGGGTATAGTGTACTTCGTCTGCAGGTTTGAATTCTTTTGTGAGCATGGTTTAGGGCAATGAGGGGCCCTCGGACGGAAAGTCGGGGCTTAACTGCTGAGCTTGAAAGTTTCAATTATAAAAAAAAAATTTAAATAATTACTTAAATCTGATGGGGTGTTTAGTTTATGAATTGTTAGATATTGGATGTAAATTTTAGTGTTGTTAGTTCATTTTTCGAAAATATTTGTTCCTTATTTTTAATTTGATCTAGCTTTGATTAATTGATTATCTTTTTAAAAAGATCTAAATTAAGATTACGAGTTATAACCACTGTTGCAATTACAAATGATAGTTTATATTCCACGAAAGAAGATTACCCCCCCCCCCCCCCCCCCACGTCATAACATAACCTTTTTTAAGGGCTTACATAGATCACAGATACAGCAATTCTTTTGGCTCAATTCACGCTCTATAATACACTTCACTGCTATTTTTCAGGGGAAGGCAAACGTAAAACCATGAACTGGTTCATCTTCCTCTTCTTCGGCCGATATTGACCACAGTGTCATGTGACAGGAGCCTTGAACGAATGGTTACCTCGACAAACACACATCTTTACACAGGTTGCAGGTTTCCGCAACTCACAGCTTACCAAAGACTTTTTCACCATTTGCTTATTGTCAAACAGTTACTACTTTTATTTATTTGGCTATCTTTTGCTAATTTGTGGCTGTTTACAGTTCACTACGACATATTCTGTCCTCAATATTTGCCACTTTGTCCCACATTTTGCGAACGCTGTTTAAAGTATATGTTCGTGAATACACACGATAAGACATTGAATGTGTGGTGTATGTTGGATTCGGGAAATTTTACAATATTCAAAAGTATAAATCGTGTGTGTTTTAAACTTCAAGGTGTGCATGACATCTATGACAATTACATAGTAACAAAAAACGTAGGATTAAATTTGATAATGTCATCATTCGTTTTAAATTATATTCAATAAAAACTGAAAGAATATCTGTTTTAACTATCTTTAATTATATATATATATATATATATATATATATATATATATATATATATATATATATATATATATATATATATATTTATATATATTTATATATATATATTATATATAGTTTTTTTTGTTATGCTATAAATCAAGCTGCCGTCCTTGATCTTGTAACTTGCATTTTATTTTATTTTTGTTTTTTTATCAACGGGGACTCGGCTTTTCAACTTACATTTAATGCATTGCTTCTTTGTTCTTGGTTGTTGTTTTTTTTTCCGTTGGTGGTTTTTTTTCGTTTTTTTTTTGTTTTTAAATTTAACATTTGCTCCAGTATATTTTTTATCGGACTAGCCCTAGGCTGTGATACGATTATTTTAAGACGTATTGTTTGGACTATCACAAATTCTAAGTACCAAAGATAAAGTTCGGCTCATTTTGTCAAGTGAATTCTGAAATCAACTACTTAATGTGTACGTTAGGTAAACTAACTTCAAACCATCTCATCATTTTGACTTGTCTGTTTGCCTTAAGAAACAAGTATACCAGTACATTCTGGACATTTTGTAATGCAGTTTTTTTCAGAAATCATATTTAGGTGTTGAGAAGTCAGTTCCAGTTTGTAATCAGCATTTGACTGGCCTTAATACTAAGTTATCTCCCCTTGCTAAAATCATTCAATTAATCTTGCTTATTTTCTATACAATTCGACTTCAAATAAGATATTCTTCTTTTAGCGAAGGTTCGCTTTTCCAATAAAGTAAAAATAGTTGTATTTAAAATTATCAAAATAATTGAGTCACAATTCGATAACAAAAACCACCCACATATCGTATATATTTTGTGGCCAAAAAAAATGCTTGTAAAAATATAAACCATTTTTTATAATCTTTTGAGATAATTAGAATAGGTTTGCATTTTGATTATCTTCATCAAAATTCTCGTACAAGAATTGTTCTTACAATCATATACCTAGTCTTAACACTATCCTTTTAACTACAAAAACTACAGTGAAATAAATTTAAGGATGACTGCATTCCAAGAACAAACTATTTCTTTAGCAGTATTAGTATAACATCTGGAGTGAAAACACATAAGTGATAATTTCTTAGGATAAGCTTTATGGGAATATGATACAAAATTCTAAAAGTTTTTAATCCAAACTCGAGCGAAATTATAAAGCCCTAACTTTCCACTCGATTAAACACATTTGAAAAACAATAAAATCGAGTAGAAAAAAAAAGAAAAAAAAACATACACATAATTTATTAATTATACGTAAAATTTCGACCATATAACTTACACGGTGCTCTAGTTTTTGTCCTTTGGGAAACCGGAAGTAGAGTAAGTACCACTTCTAAAAACCGGAAATCGCTCAAAAGCTGATAGAAAACTACTAATTTATATAATATTTAAGTATGAAATTCCGTCAACCTAACTGAAACGGTAGGCCCTACTCAACGGACTGTGTTTACAGACAGAAAAGATGGTGGAAAATAATTTTTTCCGTTGAGATTTTTCAAAATTTCGAATTCAATTTTTTGCAGTATTACAATACGTTCTCTACATTTTGTATTCTCTAAATTTTGCAGATGTAAAAGTGCTTAATAAACTGTTAAAATAGTGTTTTGTGCATGGTAAAACTTTTTCTGTACTCTGCATACGAGAAAGTAAAAATATGACATAAAGAATGCACATTTTATCGGAAATTCCAGCAATCAGAACCTATTAGTCCTTTCGATCTTAAGTTGAACAATTTCTGCACCAAACAAAAACAAAATGTAAATAGAAAAGACACATTCATCTAGATCTAGATCTAAACGTCATCTACCAACGTATACCATCTGTTGTCCAAGCTACCGTACACCAAGTTATTCATCAGAACATCGTGATGAGCCACTAACATCAGTCCGTGTGTCCTATCATGGAGTGCCAAATGATCTGCCCGCCACAAGAAAGGGAACCATCTTCTCCTGCGCCCTGCCTGCCATGTTATTCGTTCCATTCCTGCCAGATATCCCATTCATGCCAGCCATCCCATTCATCCCATTCATGGCAGCCATCCCATTCCTGCCAGCCATCCCATTCATGGCAGCCATCCCATTCTTGTCAGCCATCCCATTCTTGTCAGCCATCGTATTCTTCCCATTCCTGCCAGCCATCCCATTCTTCCCATTCATGGCAGCCATCCCATTCTTGCCAGCCATCCCATTCTAGCTATTCCTGCCACCGATCAGTTTCCTGGCAGTCCTGCTCTTCGTGCTTTAGGCCGTGTACTCCATGTCAGACCAATTCGTGTCGGATCTTCTTGCCCCTCGAACCGAATCCGAGTGATTTTGACGGTAAGTCCTTGTGCTTTCAGACTAGCCATTCCCTTATAATATGATATGGTCGACGTTGCTATTATAAAAAGTTACAAGTTCGAACTACATGTTAGCTGGGGACAGCAACATATTTAGGTGACAAGACTACAAAATCTAATCAACTGCTGCCCCGTCCTTGAGCCTTGGTTTTTAACGTCCATCAGATTATGGGACATTTTTTTATTAACTAGCGCCGGATAGGTGTCATTAGTGTTAAGGTTAAAAGTAGAGTGAGGCTATGGCCCAAAGTTAGGGGTTATTTTAAATTAAAATTATGAGTGTATGATACAGCTAGTTTGTATCGACTATAGCGACAGTATAGAATCAGTTATGGCGTTAGAGTTAATAAAACTATTGACACCATTATGCATGTCTTTTTTTAGCGTTATTGATAGTTTTTAAACTGCTTTTTCTCTTTCCACTAGATCTAAGACGTCAAAAAATTTTCAGCTGCGTTGGCAATGTCCTGACTTTCTTGGCAGCATTTTTCGTTTTTCTGTCTATATTAGGTGAGTTCAGTTAAACGTGTTTTGGTGTTCCATTTTTCTCCATTTTGTCTATATTAGGTACAGTTTAAACCTTTTGTTTAATTTTTTCAGTGTAAAATACATATTTTTATTCTGTTTTTCAATAAGGATAATTTTTTTAAAAATTATGTTTCCTTGGATGTATGTTTTATCCCCTCCATTTTCTCGCTCTTTTTCGCTTATATTTGTCTAATCCAACGAATTTTTTTTTTATCAAAACGTCCATTTTTTCTTTAGAATATCTTACATACCATGAAATAGGATCACACGCCAAAAAACGTAAGTAACATCTGTTCCATAATGCTTTAAATATTTAGCACATGACGTAGCTTTCGATTTTCTATTTGTATTTTTAACAAAGAACGTTTCCCTCCTTTCTGTCATTACTTGCCTATCCAATGGCTTCTACTGAGGGTGACCCCATCATTATAGTTGACGTGGATAGGAAACGCTTTTGTTCTTTTTTTTTACATTTCGTCTTCTGTGTGCCTTACACTAAGCTTCTAAAAAATTTAAATAAGCGTTTTTCACAATTTAATACTATAGCATTTTAAGAATTGAAGTATTAATATGTGTAAAAACAGAAACAAAATACTTTGAGGCTAGAATTTGAACACCCGACCGTAACCTTGCATTCGTATGCTCTTTAATACAAATTATAAAGACCAATTTTTTGAATATTCGTTGCTTTTGAAAGAGTGTGTTTAATTTCGATTTTAGAATGAAGTTGTTTTTTATTGAATATGGCACGATGCATTTGCGGTAATTTCCACTTTGTTTGATAAACAAATAACCGAAAGAATTTTTCTTTCCTTTTTTAAAAACAAATATTGTTTATTCATGACTTAACTTAAAATATTGGAAGAAAAAAAGAAAACAAAATTTTCTATTTTTTGGTCCTATTAACTATCTTCATTTGGTTGAACATATATAAAGAGCACTTGACCTATTGAAAGTAATCAAAGACAATATGCCAACTGAGGTCATAGATGAAGACGTACGAATCGTAAACCAAATACACAGAGTATTTAGCAAAACCTTGTCAAGAGAAAACCTTCCTGCAGAATAGAAAAAGGCAACTGTTAAAATATCTTACCAGCTGGAACTTATCACAGTTAGAAAAATGTCAATCTTTGTATAAAGCAAAGTTTTTAGCGAATTCTAACAGAATGTAAATAAACTAATGCAGGATTTAGAAAAGGACTTTAATATCCTGACTATGTAGAAATACTCAAGATTGTCGCAGAACAATGCGTTTATTTTCAATCCCCCAGCAAAAAAAAAACACTTCAAAATCATTGATGGAAAAATAAAATGGTCTAATAAAAGACATTACTTAATTGTAACGAAAGTATTAACAATCATCAAAACTATCCATGATGACTTGTCTGTTTTGCGGTATAGCATCAGATGCATTATTCCATCTTTTACCAGCCTGGAAACAAAACTAAGATTCTTTAACCTCAATCCGAAAACAGATCTACTTCACTGATCCAAAACATAGAAAACAAAAGGAACAACAAAAACCAGGATCGGCTTATTCCTAAGAAATATATTAAAAATGTAGACCCCACAATGCTGGGGTCTCATGTCGATTAGGGGGCTTAAAATCCAATCAAATATATTTTTTTTCCTTGCACCTTGATAGTGGTTTTGTAAAAAAACAAAACCCATCTACTACAGCAGTGATTGTTTTAAATAAACACACACGCTGTTGCTTAGAATAAAACAAAAACCCAGAGTGTAGAGTACAGAACTGATAGTAGATTTCTCAAATGTCTATTTTTAGAAAATCTTCTTCGTATCGTCAAAATTGTTACTACACTAAAGACTGTGTTATAGTATTTGTTAACGTTTCCTCGTAGACTTGATTTTCCCTGGAGTTTTATTTTAGCTATTGATGGCGTTGTTCTGATTTTAATCCTCCGTCTTAAAGTATCCATATCATTGTTTATAAACATTGGTTTGCACTTCAGTTAGTTCTTGGTCTAATCATTATTATTTGAGTAAATTATTTAAACTCTTCGCCTTCTAAACTGTTTTTTCTTAACAAATTTTAAAAGTTTAAATTGTTCTTTTGTTTTAGTTTTGAAGGACTTTTGGTTGCACCTAGCAAAGATTGACGCAAAACATTAACTCTGTTAAAAATGTTTATTAATTTTATACATCGATAAAACTCGACAGTTAACACGAGCTAGTATACATAGACTAAACATCCACAAAAAGTGAATAAAAAAACGTTTTGTCTGATATTGTTTAGTTTGTTGTTCTGTTTAATGTCAAATTTTTTTTTAATTTTAAGTACCTGCTACATTTAAAAATTAAAAAGTTCAAATAATCCTTGAAATATATGTGAAAAATAATTAAAAACAATCAATTAGACTGATGCCAATCTGAACAAATGGTGACAATAAGCATATCATATCTTGTTGTTATTTAGAAACATCTATGGTACTTGGTTTCCGAGGAAACACGATAACTTGAGTACTGTTTCAGTTAAGTACACGGAATTCTATATATATATAAGTATAAGATCCTGTAGGTTACTTAAATTACATTAAATGTTGTGTGAGACCTTCCTTTTCGGTAAGTCGTAGTTTATTGTTTCGATAAGCTTGGTATACATGGGGATAGTTTGGTCAGCACGAGAGTCAGATACCCATCAGAGCTGGGCGGACACTCGGACATCCTACAGACTCTAACCTGAGATCCGAACTCGAGACTTTCAGATTAGCAGTCTTGAGCTCTACCATCCGACTATATGATTAGGTGAAGGTTTTAAGGTTCCAATTTCGGTTACGGTCCAGGTTTAGGTTAAATTTCGCGTTTCTGTTCAGTTTAAAGTTCAGGTTCCAGTTCAAGCCCATGTTCCTGATTACATTCTAGCTCCTGTTAAATTTCCAAGGTTTTGGTCTAGATTCAAATTTAGATTTAGCTTTAGGATTTGGATTATAGAACAAAAACGATTTCCCCCTCAACTGGCTAAATGCCTAGTAAAATAACAATTGGAGAATTTGGAAAAATAATTTAAAACAACTTACTTGATGAAAACGTTTATGAATAGTATAAGTAAGATTATCTTGAGGTTATTTTAAAATATAGATGACGTTAATATTAAGTATAGATAATTTTTTGTACTATAAAAGCTAGTGTTAAAAAGTTTGATCCCTAGCACAAGGAACGACTATTTTTATATGGAAATTCGTGATTCTCTTCAGAGGCGAAACCAACATACACAACAACGCACTAGCCATGATTGATGAAGTCCTGTCGGCGGCCGAGAGACATCGAGGCTTGGTCGTGTATACAACTCCTTGGTTTGACAAGGGGAAAAACAACTTGTCGCTGGTTTAACAGCTGCAAGGGGAAAAAATTTCATAAATCTCCGTATTTTATTTATTTAACAAGTAACTTCAGAACCAAAATACCTAATTTAGTGTGGCCCTATTTTAGATTCTGGTGTGAATATTTGTATGTGCGTTTGTACGGTGAAAATCCCTATCCGTTTTATATGTTGGATCAAAAGTTTTTTTTAAAAAGTTAAATTATAATCCTCTAAGCTAAGGTGCTAATCAAACGTTCCTAAATTAATTTATTTATTGTTCATTTTCAATTTTTGTGTTCTTTCTTTACATCAAATAATTCACTTATCACACAAAAAACCCACAATTTATACGTTTGAATAAAGCCAAAATGTATACGTTTAAGTAAATCCAAAATTTATATGTTTGACTAAAATAAACTAAACATTCGTTTGACTAAAGCCGTCCGTAAGTTATTTCGCCTGGGGTATTTTTGTTTCTTTGACAATTTGTATTGAGAATATTGGTAATGGAACCTTATATATATATATATATATATATATATATATATATATATATATATATATATATATATATATATATATATATATATTGTTATTTCTTTATTTAACCGCAGAACCTGAACTTTACGTGCAAGGAGCCGAATTTGAACCAGAGCCATATCATGAACCAGATTACCATTATTTTGAAGATGAACCTGAACCATGTCCTAAAAGAGACCCTAAATACGAACCAGACCCTGAATATGAGCCAGATCTTGAATATGAGCCAGATAATGAATATGAGCCAGAGCCTGAACCAGAGCCTATATATGAGCCATGGTCAGAACCGGAATTTGAATATGAGCCAGGGTCTAATCCATACGACATAGAAACGTATCCTGATAGTCGATACGAGTCGAATCAAGATGAGCGTGAACCCGACACTGAATTTGACCCTGATAATGAAAAACAAGCCGTGCCAGAAACCGAAGAACCATATGTAGAAGCGGAGCCAGAACCAGAGCCGGAGCCGGAGCCCGAGTCAGAGCCGGAGCCGGAGCCAGAACCCGAGCCGGAGCCCGAACCGGTGCCTCAACCCGAGCCCAAACCAGAGCCTGAACCCAAGCCAGAGCCGGAGCCTGAGCCAGAGCTTGAACCTGAACCGGAGCCTGAACCTGAGCCAGGGCCCAAACCTAAGCCAGGGCCCAAACCTAAGCCAGGGCCCAAACCTAAGCCAGGGCCCAAACCTAAGCCAGGGCCCAAACCAGAGTCCGAGCCTGAACCGGAGACTGAACCAGAACCGGAGCCTGAGCCAGATCCTGAATGCGAGCCATTGCCTAAGAGCAAACTTAAACCCCCGCTTAGCGTACCGTTTTTTCAACCTCCAAGTAAGCAAAACTTTGTGCTGCTAACAGTGTTAAGTCCTTTTTAAACAGCAACTACTACCATCTCGCTTATGATAAAATGTCTAACCTTCTGACTAATAACCATGCGCATCTATTCCTTGTTTACGTTTTCTAGGATTATCAAGAAGAAGAAAGTGCTGGAGAGATAAATTTTACGGTAAGAGTAGCCAGGATAATTTTTAGTCTAAAACTTATTGTTAAGATGGGACTGGTAGAAAATTTTAAAATTTAAATCTCACATTCAGCAATTTATTTGGTTCTGTTTACGTACATGTACGCTCTTAGATGTGAGACACGACTTCACTGCTATTTTTCAGGGGAATGGAGACGTAAATCACTGAACTGGTACAGGTTCCTCCTGTTCGGCCCCTTTTGACAACAGTGTCATGTAACAGGAACCTGGACCGAATGGTTACCTCGACAAACACGCATCCTTACACAGGTCTCCGCAACCTTTGCACACTCACAGCTTGTTTGCTTTTGGGTTACTAAGACTTACCAAGTCTTTCATTTTCCATGGCTTTTGCTGTTTGTGAACGTCTGACGATTTACAACGACCTTTTCTGCGGTTAATATTTGCCAGTCGTTTACCTAATAATAGTTGCCACAGATCTTTTTTTTATGCGGCTAACATTTACCAGTCGTTTACCAAATAACAGTTCTTTTTTATGCCGCTAACATCGTTCATTTTGTGAAGGCGCAATAGGTTTCGGAGCTCTGTTTGAAGTATGTTCGTAAATATATATGATAAAAATTGAATGAATTGTCTGGTGGATTAAGAAAATGGTCCAATTTTCAAAAGTGTAAAACTTTTGGTTTAAAAATCAAGGTGTACATGACATCTATAGCAAATAGATAGTAACAAAGAAACGTCAAATTAAATTTTAAAATGTCATCATTCGTTTTAAATTGTATTCAACGAAAATATAAAGAATAACATTGAATCTTTGTTTGTTTGTTATTTTTTATTTAACGTCTGCTTCAAGGCATTCTTAATAAGACTAAGCCTAGATCTTGTTATTAGATTAGTTAAGATGTATTGTTTTAACTATCACAAATTTTAAGTACCAAAGAACTAGTATATTAATGTAGCGTTCACTCGCAAAACCGATTCAGTTCGGCTTATTTTGCCACATGAATTCTGAAATCAACAGCTTCCATGTGTACATTAGGTAGACTTACTTCAAACCATCTCATGATTTTCACTTGTGAGTTGCTTTAAGAAACAAGTATACCTTTACATTCTGGACAATTTGTAACGTAACTTTTTCCCGAAGTCATATTGTTACAATTAGGGTGTTGAGAAGTCAGTCCAAGTAAAAATTAAACCACTTCATAATCTTTTTCTGTAAAATGTGTGTCATGGAATAAAAAAAAATATGCAGTAAAGATAAGAGGAAACAAAAAGCGAAAACAAAAAGCAAGAAGATAAAGCAGTTTAAAGCTTTATAAATGTGTCAGGAGTAGAGCACTCTGGTACAATTTCAAGCATGTCTCCACTTGGTTTAGTCGCCCTTTTACTGGGGCTCCGTTCTGTGTTTGGTGGGCCAGAACTGCTGCTAAACCCGGGCTTTGAGAATGGAATCAACGGTTGGCACAGCAGTGGGTTCCTAATGACGACCGACACCACACACGTTCACGGGGGTGTGGCTTCTGTCAGGTGCTTGGGCAGGTGAGATGGAATTTTACATTTGGGTTTGGTCAGTAGGTCTAAGATCGTTTACACGTTACTTAAATAGTATACATGGTAATCTAGCTATCGTGTGACCTAGGGCAACAATGAACTGTCCACATGGTAATCTTGTGACCTAGGGCAACAATGAACGGTCCAAATATTCATCTATCATGCGACCCAGGGCATCAATGAACTGTCCACATGTTAATCTTGTGACCTAGGGCAACAATGAACGGTCTACAAAGAAAGTTAAACCACTAACAAAAAAGTACCACGAAAACCGAAAACAGCTGTCCCTTATCAGTAATTAACGCAGTTTTTAATGAATCATTAGTAATTAACTCATTTTCATAATGAGTCATTAGTAATTCACGCATTTTCATACTGAATCGTCAGTTTTTGACGCATTGTCATACTGAATCATCAGTAATTAACGCATCTGTTTATGAATCATCAGTAATTAACGCATATTTTAATGAATCATCAGTAATTAACGCATCTATTAATTAATCACATCAGAACCAACGTCAACCAGGGACCGTCGCAGAACTTCCAGGCCCACCCCGACACCCGTTACACCTTCCACGTTTTCTTGAGACTGGCCACGGGGTCCCCCACACAAGAGGCTAAAGTTACTGTTGCCCTCAAACGGTCAGACAACGGTAAACAACATCTTGTTTCACTCACACCACTTTCATCAACTCGTGCAACTGACCGTAGGGTATTCTAGAAACAGACCAAATTCTAACATAGTTTGACTAGCAATTATGATACGATAATTGTTAAACGTTGAATGTGTTAGTGCCGGTGTACGAGTATGATTTTTATCTATTGACACTAGGCCAAGACGAATACATCAGAGTGGCCAACCATCCTTACATTACCCCTGCCGATGGATGGGTTAACGTTGGAGGAAATTTTCACATACCAAATCATGGTGAGTCTCTCTATTCACAGGTTTCACACACTCAATGTTAAATACGTTTTTAAGTTACTATTTAATTTAAAAAAATTTAAATGTAAAAAAATGTTTATATATATATATATATATATATATATATATATATATATATATATATATATATATATATATATATATATATATATATATAATAGTTTTGCATACTACAAAGAGTTAGTGATGTCAAAAAATTTTAGACGACTTTGCCACTTACTACCTATTTGCCACACACATCTCAAAAAATCCAACCCTGTTCTCCATTTAAAAGAAAATTCCGCCCCTCCCCCCCCCCCCCCCCACACACACACTTGAAAATTAACAATTTTTCATTACTTTAATTGCAAGAAATTTTACATAATAAGTGCTTCGCTACTTGTCTTAAACCAACCCTCCCCATATAGTTTATCGTCACATAATCCAGACTTCCCCTAGATAAATTACGTAATATATTGAACACCCGTTATTATCTTATGAAAATGTAGCGTGTAACATACATAATGTCATATGTTATTTATCTGGCAATGGTTTAACATTCGTATGTTAACACCATTTCCTTTGTTGTTCTTCATGATAGTATCGTGTTTTAATGTTGTAGCTTACAGCCAGGCCAGGGTGTACCTAGAGGGTATCGCTACCAGTGTTGAGTTCTACATAGACGACGCATCTTTAAAGGAATTGGAGTACAACTCAGGGTGGAAGGCGACTGCTAACGCCAAGATTGAAGAGTTGAGAAAGAGTAACATATATTTCAAGTAAGTCGCCTTATGGGAAGCTTTTAGGTGTTTTTGTAGTAAGAGATGTGACAATCCCAGTATTCTTATTGTTGCTTACGTATGTGTAAATAGTTGGTTTTTTTTTTTGGATAATTTATAGATAGAATAGCACGCTTATTTTACCTTTAAATAAACACCGGTTGCATATTTTAAATGTGATGTTACATAAAGGGTGTAAATAGAATAATTTTATTTCAACATTATATCAGTTTTAGCTTTAGCGCTAACGCGATAAAATTTAAAGATTTTAACAAAACACATTAATATTCAACTTTATTATATTGTACAATTTTATATATAAAAATAATTAAAATAATAATAATAATAATAATAAAATCGTAATATCCTCAACAGTTTTCACGTTGACCCTAAGTTTAGTACCAGTGATATCAAAGTTAAGGTAAATATTCGTGAGTGGATGGTTAGAGGTAAGATTTGATCAGGTGAGTGGATGGTTATAGGTAAGATTTGATCAGGTCAGTGGATGGTTAGAGGTAAGATTTCACCAGGTGAGTGGATGGTTAGAGCTAAGATTTGATCAGGTGAGTGGATGGTTAGAGGTAAGATTTGATCAGGTGAGTGGATGGTTAGAGGTAAGATTTGATCAGGTGAGTGGATGGTTAGAGGTAAGATTTGACCAGGTGAGTGAATGGTTAGAGGTAAGATTTGACCCGGTGAGTGGATGGTTAGAGGTAAGATTTGATCAGGTGAGTGGATGGTTAGAGGTAAGATTTGACCAGGTGAGTGGATGGTTAGAGGTAAGATTTGACCAGGTGAGTGGATGGTTAGAGGTAAGATTTGACCAGGTGAGTGGATGGTTAGAGGTAAGATTTGACCAGGTGAGTGGATGGTTGAGGTAAGATTTGACCAGGTGAGAGAATGGTTAGAGGTAAGATTTGACAGGACTCATCAAGACGCAGCTAAAGACATTAGTAAGAAAACACTTCCTTAAGCTGCGCTGAGATGGAAAATCAATGAATTCAATGTGGAGTGAGCCAGATTAGATGAAAACCTATTTAATAGATTTGTACCCATTAACAAATCGATCATCACAAGAGCCAGACAAAGACAAAAAAAAAGTAATCTATTCGTGTAGTTGTTCTTATAAAAGTTAAATTATCATAAAATGATTTTTTTTTAAAATGATAATCAATTTAACATAAGAATAATACAAAAACAAGTTAATAAAAAGTCTAGTGACAATTTAAGCGCAATTTCCTAAATTAATTTTTTGTGACCGAACGAAAGGATATTTTTGAAAACTTTCTTCGGCAATATTGTTCTAAATTATGGCAGGAATCGATTGGTAAATGTTTTAAGTTGCTAAGTGGTTTGGTTGCCGAGATATGGGCCAAAAACTGCATTTTTTCGAGGTTTTTTGGCTTTTCCGGGAAATCCAGGAAGGAATTCCGGGAATTTTTTTGGCCTATGTTCATCCTCGGTACTTGCTTAACATATTTGCTTTGGAACTAGTCCTCGATATTGCTGAACCTGAACTAGAACCTGAACCCGAGCCGGAACCTGAGCCCGATGATGTGATTAATTAATAGATGCGTTAATTACTTATGAGCCCGAGCCATTGCTTCCGCCTAAGCCTAAGCCCCCGAATCCCAAACCGATTATTCCTAAATCAAGTAAGCAAAATATAAAGCTGGTTGGGGCATTAATATTATATTCTGTTTTTTTAAGATCCTTTTAGCCTCGCCAAAAGCATTCTTATAATGAAATGAAATTTCTAACTATTCTTTTATGCTTACTAAATAACACATTTTGGAGACAAATAGTCCTAGTTACATTTATGACAAATTAACTGCCAATAAAACTTTTGTATTTTTTAAAAGAGCTACAATAAGTGGCATGGTTAGATTAGTGTGTGTTGGGATGAGGGAGAATTTGCATCGCTGCTTATCGGATTTTACACGGCAATAACACATTTTTTTCATGAATTAAAATTTCTTAAAGGCTTTTGGTTATGCTGGGTAACACACGTTTTGTTTTAAGCTATAAATTAAAGTTGTATCAGTAACAGTTGTTTTCTATGAGAAGATTTAAAAACACGTACACGCTCAAGTTGTAACATAAGCTGTCATCACTTCTTGCTCAGACATTGTGTCCAGTTACAGCAACACCCCACCCGCACCCTTGATACAATAGTTCATTTCTAACGAAAAAAATCAATGGATTTTTAAAATGTAAACGAAATCTCACTACAGGGCAAATATAGTTATTATGACACTGGTTTATTCTAACATGTGTTTATTCAGACTGACCGCGCTAGCCTTTAATAACATGTTAAAAAAAGGTCAATTAATACTTAATAGAGACAATAATATCCCGTGGTTTACGTACCAAATTTACCATCCTATGTCACACACTAAAAAGTTCGATTCATGCATATATATATATATATATATATATATATATATATATATATATATATATATATATATATATATATATATATATATATATATATATATATATATGTGTGTGTGTGTGTGTGTGTATATATGTATATATATGTATATATATAAATGTGAGCGGGTGAATGGATTATTTTGTATTATTTTATTTGGTGCGAATCTGCCAGTGGATGATCCAATGGGGAGCGGCCATGGGGTCATCTTCCGCCCGAAGCGGTCAGTATATAAATTGACCGCTCGGATAATTTTCTTTTTTTTTACCCGAGGCAAGATATAGATAGAGTCGGTTTCTGCGTGGGCGCGTGGCGCACCTCACGCGTGAAGTGAGGTTGCTTGGGCAACTTGGCTGGGTGTTTTGTTTGGTGTAAAAAGTTTGTTTGGTATTTATTGTTTTCTACGTAATGTCTTTTGTGTGTGCTGAAGCGATGAGGTGAGGGCGAAGGCGTTCCTCTTTCCATCAAGTATAAATCTGTTTTGTTTTGTTTAGTCGTGTTTTGTCCCGTTGAGTTTTTAGTCGTGTTTTGTGTATTCTGTAGTTTATCATCTTTCTTATTTTGATTGGTTCCATGAAATAAATTTTATTAATTTGTTAAAGTTTTTTTTTGTTTTTTTAATTTAGACTAAGATTAAGGTATTAACCAATCTGGGTTTAGCCGGGCTTGCACTGACCGGACGGTAATAAAATAAGCCTAGGGAAGGGTAGATAGATTTTAAGGTATCCCCCCCCCCCCTAGCAGGGCTTACATATGTGACGAAAAAATCAATGGATTTTTAAAATGTAAACGAAATCTCACTACAGGACAAATATAGTTATTTTGACACTGGTTTATTCTAACATGTATTTATTCAGACTGACGGCGCTACCCTTTAATAACATGTTAAAAAAAAGGTCAATTAATTCTTCATAGAGACAAAAATATCCCGTTGTTTACGTACCAAAATTACCATCCTATGTCACACACTAAAAAGTTTCTTTGATGCATATATATATATATATATATATATATATATATATATATATATATATATATATATATATATATATATATATATATATATATATATATATATATATATACATATATATATATATATATATATATACATATATATATATATATACATATATATATATATACATATATATATATATATATATATATATATATATATATATATATATATATATATATATATATATATATATGTGTGTGTGTGTGTGTGTGTGTGTGTGTGTGTGTGTGTGTTTGTGTGTGTGTGTGTGTGTTTATTAATTTCTTTTTCAGTACTTTACATGTTCTATTTACAATAGAGTTACATGACTAAAAACCATTGCTCGCCTATTGAACGTGATGACGCGCTTTTGCCGTGATGACGCGTTTTATTGCCTTTCTCTGCCCTGTTTTATCGTAGAGCCCTCCTCGCTCGACGCCTAAAAGGGCCGTGATGACGCATGTGGATAGAACTGCTTACTAATTCGGTCCAAATTTTAATTATTTCATAAAAAAAGTAATTAAGCGACCAATTAAGTCAAATTGAATTTCACGATGCATTGTTTTCATGTCTTGACCCACGTACTAACTACGAATCGTATCTGTCAGTGAGAAAAGCCTTCAATTTCACTCGGGCGTTTCTATCTAGACAGACAGACAGACTGACGACATAGGAAGTGAGTTAAATAAAAGCTTATAAAAATAGACCTACTTGATTAATATTTCTGGAAACGCATTTAAAACATAACCTTTGTTTCTGTCTTTTAGCAAAACCGAGAAAACCGAGAAAAGCAATATGCTGGAGTTAAAAGCGAATGTTGATTTTAGTTTCCAGTTGAGACAGACATTTTTAAATGTAGTTTAAACTTCATATAGTGATTTTTGTAGTTTTAATCAGGTTTTTTTTTCTTTGTTGTTATTGTTATTGTTGTCCAGATGAAGGTTTCGTACTGTATCCTTCGTTGCCATTCTGCTTGGTGCCATTCCTTAAGCGTAATGTTTGTAGTGGGTATAGCATACTTTGTCTGCAGGTTTGAATTCTTTTGTGAGCATGGTTTAGGGCAATGAGGGGCCCTTGGACGGAAAGTCGGGGCTTAACTGCTGAGCTTGAAAGTTTCAATTATAGAAAAAAAAATTTAAATAATTACTTAAATCTGATGGGGTGTTTAGTTTATGAATTGTTAGATATTGGATGTAAATTTTAGTGTTGTTAGTTCATTTTTCTAAAATGTTTGTTCCTTATTTTTAATTTGATCTAGCTTTGATTAATTGATTATCTTTTTAAAAAGATCTAAATTAAGATTACGAGTTATAACCACTGTTGCAATTACAAATGATAGTTTATAGTCCATGAAAGAAGATAACCCCCCACCCCCCCACCCCCCCCCCCACACACACACGCCATTACATAACCTTTTTTAAGGGCTTACGTGGATCACAGATACAGCAATTCTGTTGGTTCAATTCACGCTCTATAATACACTTCACTGCTTTTTTTCAGGGGAAGGCATACGTAAAACCATGAACTGATTCATCTTCCTCTTCTTCGGCCGATATTGACCACAGTGTCATGTGACAGGAGCCTTGAACGAATGGTTACCTCGACAAACACACATCTTTACACAGGTTGCAGGCAGAGTTTCTTCCAAGCATCTCTTCGGGAGGGGGGGGGCACCGCCCCCCCCGAAGAAAGTCTACTGCCCCCCCCCCCCGAACGAAATGGAATTTATATAGAAAATATATACTTTTGACAGTGTCCGCCCACCCCCCCCCCCCCCGAAAATTGTTATTCCCCCCCCCCCCCCCCCATAAAAAAAATTTCAAGTGCACCCCCGGAGAAAAAAGTCTGGAAGAAACACTGGTTGCAGGTTTCCGCAACTCACAGCTTACCAAAGACTTTTTCACCATTTGCTTATTGTCAAACAGTTACGACTTTTATTTATTTGGCTATCTTTTGCTAATTTGTGGCTGTTGACAGTTCACTACGAAATATTCTGTCCTCAATATTTGCCACTTTGTCCAACATGTTGCGAACGCTGTTTAAAGTATATGTTCGTGAATACACACGATAAGACATTGAATGTGTGGTGTATGTTGGTTTCATGAAATTTTTCAATTTCAAAAGTATAAATATTGTGTGTTTTAAACTTCAAGGTGTACATGATATCTATGACCATTCCATAATTTAAGAAAACGTAGATTTAAACTTGACAATGTCATCATTCGTTTTAAATTATATTCAATAAAAACTGAAAGAATATCAGTTTGATGCCATCTGTTTCAACTATCTTTTTTTTATAGTTTTTTTGTTATGTTATAAATCAAGCTGCCGTCCTTGATCTTGTAACTTGCATTTTAGTTGTTTTTTTTTAATCAACGGGGACTTGGCTTTTCAACTTACATTTAATGCATTGCTTCTTTGTTCTTTGTTGTTGTTTTTTTCCGTTGGGTTTTTTTTTTTTTTTTTTTTTTTAAATTTATCATTTGCTCCAGTATATTTTTTATCGGACTAGCCCTAGGCTGTGATACGATTATTTTAAGACGTATTGTTTTGACTATCACAAATTCTAAGTACCAATGATTAAGTTCGGCTCATTTTGCCACGTGAATTCTGAAATCAACTACTTCATTTGTACATTAGGTAAACTAACTTCAAACCATCTCATGATTTTGACTTATCAGTTTGCCTTAAGAAACAAGTATACCAGTACATTCTGGACATTTTGTAAAGTAGCTTTTTTTCCGAAATCATATCTAAGTTTTAAGAAGTCAGTTCAAGTTTGTAATCAGCATTTGACTGGCCTTAATACTAAGTTATCTCCCCTTGCTAAAATCATTCCATTAAATGTTGCATATTTTCTATACAATTCGACTTCAAATAAGATATTCTTCTTTTAGCGGAGGTTCGCTTTTCCAATAAAGTAAAAATAAATAGTTGTATTTAAAATTATCAAAATAATTGAGTCACAATTCGATAACAAAAACCACCCACATATCGAATATATTTTGTGACCAAAATAAATTATAAACCATTTTTTTAATAATCTTTTGAGATAATTAGAAAAGCTTTGCATTTTGATTATCTTCAGCAAAATTCTCGTACAAGAGTTGTTCTTACAATCATATACATAGTCTTAACACTATCCTTTTGAATAACAAAAGCTACAGTGAAATAAATTAAAGGATGACTGCATTTCAAGAACAAACTATTTCTTTAGCAATATTAGTATAACATCTGGAGTGAAAACACATAAGTGATAATTTCTTAGGTTAAGCTTTATGAGAATATGATACAAAATTCATAAAGTTTTAATCCGAACTCGAGCGAAATTATGAATCACTAATTTTCCACTCTATTAAACACATTTGAAATACAATAAAATCGCGTAGAAAAAAAAAAGAATTTTGCAGTAACAGTTACTTAAATTTATAAAATTCTTATGATATTTCTTTTTTTGAGAAATCGGAAGCAAGAAAATAATATCCTAAAACTGTTTATGTAATTTCGCTCACTAAACAGAAACGGTACTCAATTTATATGTATTTTAGAAACCAGAAATAGAGTAAAATACCACTTCCCGTTATGGAAGGTCACTCAAAAAATAAAATTATCTATTTATAAGACCTTATCTTTTGTTTATATATGAAATTGTGTATACTAAATCGAAACAGTACGCAAGTTATTAATTATGTTCCAATATAAAAAAAGTTAAGTTCCACTTCCAATTTCAGAAAATTGCTCAAAAGTTGAAAAAAAAACTGCACACATAATTTAATAATTATACGTAAAATTTCGACCATGTAACTTAAACTTGGCGTTTGTCCTTTGGGAAACCGGAAGTAGAGTAAGTACCACTTCTAAAAACCGGAAATCGCTCAAAAGCTGATAGAAAACTACAAATTTATATAATACTTAAATATGAAATTCCGTCAACCTAACTGAAACGGTAGGCCCTACTCAACTGACTGTGTTTACAGACAGACAAGATGGTGAACATAAATTTTTCCGTTGAGATTTTTCAAAATTTCGAATTCAATTTTTTGCAGTATAACAATACGTTTTCTACATTTTGTATTCTCTAAATTTTGCAGATGTAAAAGTGCTTAAACTGTTAAAATAGTCTTTTGTGCATGGTAAAACTTTTTCTGTACTCTGCATACGAGAAAGTAAAAATATGACAGAAAGAATGCACATTTTATCGGAAATTCCAGCAATCAGAACCTATTAGTCCTTTCGATCTTAAGTTGAACAATTTCTGCACCAAACAAAAACAAAATGTAAATAGAAAAGACACATTCATCTAGATCTAGATCTAGATCTAAACCTCATCTACCAACGTATACCATCTGTTGTCCAAGCTACCGTACACCAAGTTATTCATCAGAACATCGTGATGAGCCACTAACATCAGTCCGTGTGTCCTATCATGCAGTGTCAAATGATCTGCCCGCCACAAGAAAGGGAACCATCTTCTCCTGCGCCCTGCCTACCATGTTATTCCTCCCATTCATGGCAGCCATCCCATTCTTGCCAGCCATCCCATTCTTGCCAGCCATCCCATTCTTGCCAGCCATCCCATTTATGCCAGCCATCCCATTCCTCCCATTCATGCCAGCCATCCCATTCTTGCCAGCCATCCCTTTCTTGCCAGCCATCCCATTCTTGCCAGCCATCCCATTTATGCCAGCCATCCCATTCCTCCCATTCATGGCAGCCATCCCATTCCTTACATTCATGGCAGCCATCCCATTCTAGCTATTCCTGCCACCGATCACTTTCCTGGCAGTCCTGCTCTTCGTGCTTTAGGCCGTGTACTCCATGTCAGACCAATTCGTGTCGGATCATCTTGCCATCCGAACCGAAGCCGAGTGTTTTTGACGGTAAGTCCTAGTGCTTTCAGACTAGCCATTCCCTTATAATATGATATGGTCGACGTGATTAGGTGTGATGTGTCTTGTTGCTATTATAAAAAGTTACAAGTTCGAACTACATGTTAGCTGGGGACAGCAACCTATTTAGGTGACAAGACTCCAAAATCTAACAAGATGAAGGCCCTTTGACGATAGAACTATGGTTTTCTTTCAGCAGCTTGTAGGGGTAACAACATGTCCCAGGGGTCATTGTAAAGAGAGGGGGTCTTATATAACGACAACATAGGCTTCTAATCAACTGCTGCCCCGTCCCTGCGCCTTGGTTTCTAACGTCCATCAAATTATGGGACATTTTTATTAACTAGCGCCAGTGATATGTGTCATTAGTGTTAAGGTTTAAAGTAGAGTGAGGCTATGGTCCAAAGTTAGGGGTTATTTTAAATTAAAGTTACGAGTGTATGATGCAGCTATTTCGAATCAGCCATAGCGACAGTATAGAATCGGTTATGGCGTTAGAGTGAATAAAACTATTGACACCATTATGCATGTCTTTTTTTAGCGTTATTGATAGTTTTTAAACTGCTTTTTCTCTTCCCACTAGATCTAATAGGTCAAAAAAATTTCAGCTGCGTTGGCAATGTCCTGACTTTCTTGGCAGCATTTTTCGTTTTTCTTTCTATATTAGGTGAGTTCAGTTGAACGTGTTTTGGTGTTCCATTTTTCTCCATTTTGTCTATATTAGGTACAGTTTAAACCTTTTGTTTAATTTTTTCAGTGTAAATACATATTTTTATTCTGTTTTTCAATAAGGATATTTTTTTTAAAATTATGTTTCCTTGGATGTATGTTTTATCCCCTCCATTTTCTCGCTCTTTTGCGCTTATATTTGTCTAATCCAACGAATTTTTTTTTATCAAAACGTCATTTTTTTCATCAGAATATCTTACATACCATGAAATAGGATCACACGCCAAAAAACGTGAGTAACATCTGTTCCATAATGCTTTAAATATTTAGCACATGACGAAGCTTACGATTTTCTATTTGTATTTTTTAACAAAGAACTTTTCCCTCCTTTCTGTCATTACTTGCCCTTCCAATGGCTTCTGCTGAGGGTGACCCCATCATTATAGTTGACGTGGATAGAAAACGCTTTTATTCTTTTTTTTTACATTTCGTCTTCTGGGTGCCTTTCATTTAAAGCTTCTAACAAAATTTAAATAATCGTTTTTCACAATTTAATACTATAGCATTTTAAGAATTGAAGTATTAATATGTGTAAAAACAGAAACAAAATAACAGAATTTGATAATCCGACCGTAACCTTGCATTTGTATGCTCTTTAATACAAATTAAAAAGACCAATTTTTAAAATATTCGTTGCTTATGAAAGAGTGTGTTTAATTTCGATTTTAGAATGAAGTTGTTTTTTATTGAATATGGCACGATGCATTTGCGGTAATTCCCACTTTGTTTGATAAACAAATAACCAAAAGAATTTTTCTTTCCTTTTTTAAAAAAAAATATTGTTTATTCGGGACTTAACTTAAAATATTGGAAGAAAAAAAAGAAAAGAAAATTTTCTATTTTTTTTAGTCCCTATTAACTATCTTCATTTGGTTGAACATATATAAAGAGCACTTAAAACCTATTGAATGTAATCAAAGACAATATGCCATACACAGAGTATTTAGCAAAACCTTGTCAAGAGAAAACCTTCCTGCAGAATAGAAAAAGGCAACTGTTAAAATATCTTACCAGCTGGAACTTATGACAGTTAGAAAAATGTCAATCTTTGTATAAAGCAAAATTTTTAGCGAATTCTAACAGAATGTAAATAAAGTAATGCAGGATTTAGAAAAGGACTTTAATATCCTGACTATGTAGAAATACTCAAGATTGTCGCAGAACAATGCGTTTATTTTTAATCCCCCCGCAAAAAAAAACACTTCAAAATCATTGATGGAAAAATAAAATGGTCTAATAAAAGACACTACTTAATTGTAACGAAAGTATTAACAATCATCAAAACTATCCATGATGACTTGTCTGTTTTGCGGTATAGCATCAGATGCATTATTCCATCTTTTACCAGCCTGGAAACAAAACTAAGATTCTTTAGCCTCAATGTGAAAACAGATCTACTTCACTGATCCAAAACATAGAAAACAAAAGGAACAACAAAATCAGGATCGGCTTATTCCTAGGAAATACATTAAAAATGTAGACCCCACAATGCTGGGGTCTCAGGTCGATTAGGGGGCTTAAAATCCAATCAAATAAATATTTTTTCCTTGTACCTTGATAGTGGTTTTGTAAAAAAAAAAACCCCCATCTACTACAGCAGTGATTGTTTTAAATAAACACACACGCTGTTGTTTTCTTAACAAATTTTAAATGTTTAAATTGTTCTTTTGTTTAAGTTTTGAAGGACTTTTGGTTGCACCTAGCAAAGATTGACGCAAAACATTAACTCTGTTAAAAATGTTTATTAATTTTATACATCGATAAAACTCGACAGTTAACACGAGCTAGTATACATAGACTAAACATCCACAAAAAGTGAATAAAAAAACGTTTTGTCTGATATTGTTTAGTTTGTTGTTCTGTTTAATGTCAAATTATTTTTTAATTTTAAGTATCTGCTACATTTAAAAATTAAAAAGTTCAAATAATCCTTGAAATATATGTGAAAAATAATTAAAAACAATCAATTTGACTGAAGCCAATCTGAACAGATGGTGACAATAAGCATATCATATCTTGTTGTTATTTAGAAACATCTATGGTACTTGGTTTCCGAGGAAACACGATAACTTGAGTACTGTTTCAGTTAAGTACACGGAATTCTATATATATATACGTATAAGATCCTGTAGGTTACTTAAATTACATTAAATGTTGTGTGACCTTCCTTTTCGTTAAGTCGTAGTTTATTGTTTCGATAAGCTTGGTATACATGGGGATAGTTTGGTCAGCACGAGAGTCAGATACCCATCAGAGCTGGGCGGACACTTGGACATCCTACAGACTCTAACCTGAGATCCGAACTCGAGACTTTCAGATTAGCAGTCTTGAGCTCTACCATCCGACTATATGATTAGGTGAAGGTTTTAAGGTTCCGATTTCGGTTACGGTCCAGGTTTAGGTTAAATTTCGCGTTTCTGTTCAGTTTAAAGTTCAGGTTCCAGTTCAAGCCCATGTTCCTGATAACATTCTAGCTCCTGTTAAATTTCCAAGGTTTTGGTCTAGATTCAAATTTAGATTTAGCTTTAGGATTTGGATTATAGAACAAAAACGATTTCCCCCTCAACTGGCTAAATGCCTAGTAAAATAACAATTAAAGAATTTGGAAAAATAATTTAAATCAACTAACTTGATGAAAACGTTTATGAATAGTATAAGTAAGATTATCTTGAGGTTATTTTAAAATATAGATGTCGTTAATATTAAGTATAGACAATTTTTGTACTATAAAAGCTCGTGTTAAAAAGTTTGATCCCTAGCACAAGGAACGACTATTTTTATATGGAAATTCGTGATTCTCTTCAAAGGCGAAACCAACATACACGACAACGCACTAGCCATGATTGATGAAGTCCTGTCGTCGCCCCAGAGACATCGAGGCTTGGTCGTGTATACAACTCCTTGGTTTGACAAGGGGAAAAAAACTTGTCGCTTGTTTAACAGCTACAAGGGAAACAAATGTCATAAGTCTATGTATTTTATTTATTTAACAAGTAACTTCAGAACCAAAATACCTAATTTAGTGTGGCCCTATTTTAGATTCTGGTGTGAATATTTGTATGTGCGTTTGTACGGTGAAAATCCCTATCTTTTTTATATGTTTGATCAAAAGTTTTTTTAAAAAAAGTTAAATTATAATACTCTAAGCTAAGGTGCTAATCAAAAGTTCCTAAATTTATTTATTTATTGTTCATTTTCAATTTTTGTGTTCTTTCTTTACATCAAATAATTCACTTATCACACAAAAGTCACAATTTATACGTTTGAATAAAGCCAAAATGTATACGTTTAAGTAAAGCCAAAATTTATATGTTTGACTAAAATCAACAAAACATACGTTTGACTAAACCCGTCCGTAAGTTATTTCGCCTGGGGTATTTTTTTTCTTTGACAATTTGTATTGAGAATATCGGTAATGAAACCTTATATATATATATATATATATATATATATATATATATATATATATATATATATATATATATATATATATATATATATATAGTTATTTCTTTATTTAACCGCAGTACCTGAACTTTACGTGCAAGGAGCCGAATTTGAACCAGAGCCATATCATGAACCAGATTACCATTATTTTGAAGATGAACCTGGACCATGTCCTGAACCAGAACCTAAATACGAACCAGACCCTGAATATGATCCAGACGCTGAATATGAGCCACGTTTGACTAAAGCCGTCCGTAAGTTATTTCGCCAGGGGTATTTTTTTCTTTGACATTTTGTACTGAGAATATTGGTAATGGAACCTTATATATATATATATATATATATATATATATATATATATATATATATATATATATATATATATATATATATATATATAGATATATATATATACTAGCGTACCCGACCTCCGCGCGTTGCCGCGGGGATAGAAGAAAGTTTGACGAAATATATTAGAAGGATTTCACCAACGCGTTATCAATTATATGTTCTTAGACGCGTGACCTTCTTTTCTAAAAATGAGTTATTTACATGTTAACAATGCCTGCGCTTGGATCATAAATATCAGGACACGGGTTTACCTACACTACCGCATGAAAACCTTGAGTGTATATTAATCACTCACCGAAATAATATGGTAGAATACACTTCGGTGACCGCCCCTGTGTCAGAGACGTAGAGGGGCGCTCTCAGGGCCCGCACCCCCCGATTACACTACCGCATAGGCGCGGCGTACGACCCCTGGCTCCTTAAAACTAACAGGCGCCATCGTGCCAAATAGCATCCTGTTAATAATGATGCAGATTTCGTCATTCGCTAAAGTGACACAAATGAACAGGATTTTTTTCTTTAACACGTAAAAAAAGTATTTGACGTGTTTCTGACTGGATTGTCTAATAATAGATGCTTATTGCATCATTCGCAAAGTGACGAAACTCTACACTAGGCTCCTCATATTCAAAAAGTTATTTTTTCATCTTTGGCAAGGTGACAAAACTGTACAGAAGGATTTCCTCGCGTTACAAAGTTAGTTTTAGACGCCTGTTGTAGTTTTACCGCTGATTATAGTAGTACCCCTTACTCGCTATGCAGGACGCTCGATTAACGGATGCCAAGTGCCAACATAGTCGCTCTAAAACTCTGGGCGCCAAACCGTGTATTGACCGTGTATATGGCGCCGCCCATAAGAAACTTTAGTTTTCTTTTTCGCAGAAATATTCTCGGGAGTATTCTCATCTACTCCCTAAAGTTTCATGGCACTCGGATGAACGCATCCGAGTTTTATTTTTTATATACCGTGTATAGAGAAAAAAAAACGTCCCCCCCCCCCCCTGAGGGCGCCGCCCTTGCAATATTAAACAATATTTTGTTTACAGAACTCTATTATTGAGTGATCTAATCATCTCCCCAAAGTTTCATGGTACACGGATGAACGGTGTGAAATCGAAATAGACTTTTATTTTTTATACCGTATATAGAGAAAAATCGCACCCTCCCGTGGCGCCGCCCTTGCGAAATTAAAAATGATTTTTTACAGAACTTTTTTCTAGAGTTTTATAATGAACTCCCCAAAGTTTCATGCCTATCGGATGAACGGTGTCACTGCAATTTACTTTTATTATTTTTATATACCGTATATAGAGAAAAATTGGAGCAGATTTTTTTTTTGTTTTCTTTTGTATGCGTAAGGATCATGAAATTAAGTCTTTATTGATCATTAATTAAAGTAAATGACAGAAACATTCACATTTTTTATTGTACTATAGTCTCAATCAATCCATATTATCATTTGTTACAACAAGTTAAACTTTTATGGCATTTAGAAATACATAGCAGCTTGCTATTTTTACACTTGCAGCGATTTGTTGTGCACTTAGTTGTGCAATTGTAGCGAGTGTAGCCTTGGCCCACAGTCAATGATTGTGAAGATGCGATGGTTCGTAGTGATTTTTCCTCAGTGCCAACTGACGACAATAAGAGCAGTTTTTCGTGAAGAATTGAAAACTCACTTCTAGCATACAGTTGTTTTAGAACACCATATTCCGTTCCTAATTTGTAGAAACCGCCATCGACGCTCATGACAACTGCAATCATGCTTCGGGGATCACCGCGACCTCTGTCAACATCTGGAACACGGATGCGTACATTGTCACCCACTTCACCATCTTTAAATTTTGTATTTGATGTTTTAAGCATCTTAGCACCTTGAGTTTGCAAGCTAGTATAAGCTGCTGACCTGTGTTCCATGATGTCTTGTTTGTTATGACACAATCTGCTGGTAATGTTCCCTACGTACCCTTCGTCTGGTTCATTGGGTATTCCACAAATATCATGGACATCGTTGCCACAGGATCCACAAGAATGAGCTGCACTACAATGTTTTTCACAAACTATACAGAATATGTTGGCCACATTATTATCACGCAACTGGTCTGGACGTTCCGCCACGGCAGCAGATGTGTTAGCTGAGGATGTCGTTGCATTTATGGCAACCTCCATTTCTTATTTAATGTTCTCAAAATCTTCATCAATAACTATTTTATCGAGAGCCTCTCTTAGTAGATTTGAAGTGCTAAGTCCCACTTTTGCTTTGCATCCAAACAAGGCTTCGTATGGCGATTGTTGAATTCCTTGATGAAAAGAACGATTTTTCATAAATTGAATAAATTCGAGACTCTCAGCCCAATGAGCTGATTCATTTGTTTGCATCCATGTCATCATCATGTTTTGAACATCTTGGTTGGCACGTTCGACTGAACCTTGGCTTTGGCTATGCCTTGGTTTTCCGTGAACTAGTTTAAGTTCAGGCCACATGTTCTTTAGTTCAGAAATAACTGCATTCACAAATTCTCTTCCATTATCTGATTGAAGCACACTTGGGGCACCAATAGTCGTGAAGATATCCAGCAGCTGGTAAGCAACTTCTTCTGCTCTTTTGGTTTCCAAAGCTCGCAACAATATGAACTTGGTTAAATGATCCTGGTAACTGAGTATAAACTTGTATTTGCCGTCTGGGTTACTTTGCATATCAATAAGATCTACTTGGCATATTGAGTTAAATTCTTTAAATATCAAGGGTTTGGAAACAAGACCTTTCTTGATGATTGTCTCACCTCGTCATCACGGAGGAGGCTGTCACATACAGTTGTAGCCCATATATGGAAACTAACATGGATTTACATTTTTTTCTTTTGACAGCCATCTGCTGTCTGTCTCATGGTCTGACTGCCCTTTTGATCCATGTCGCCTTGCATATAGAATGCTATACAAACAAGAGCTAAACAATACGTTACTCTCAATGAAACCGCACCCAGAATAATGAAAACGCGATCACAACTTTGTCTAGATAAACATTGGCCAGGACATCCCGGCCAGTGTACGAAATACGATCTTAGTGCTAAGTTTTTCGGGCTTTGGCCAAGAGAGCCGGCCAATCCGTGCATTGGCCGCACTTCGGGCTTTGACCGTAACATATATATATATATATATATATATATATATATATATATATATATATATATATATATATATATATATATATATATATAGTTTTTTCTTTATTTAACCGCAGAACCTGAACTTTACGTGCAAGAATCCAAATTTGAACCAGAGCCATATCATGAACCAGATTACCATTATTTTGAAGATGAACCTGAACCATGTCCTAACCCAGACCCTAAATACGAACCAGACTCTGAATATGAGCCAGATCTTGAATATGAGCCAGATAATGAATATGAGCCAGAGCCTGAACCAGAGCCTATATATGAGCCATGGTCTGAACCGGAATTTGAATATGAGCCAGGGTCTTATCCATACGACATAGAAACGTATCCTGATAGTCGATACGAGTCGAATCAAGATGAGCGTGAACCCGACACTGAATTTGACCCTGATAATGAAAAACAAGCCGTGCCAGAAATCGAAGAACCATATGTAGAAGCGGAGCCAGAACCAGAACCGGAGCCGGAGCCCGAGTCAGAGCCGGAGCCAGAACCCGAGCCGGAGCCCGAACCGGAGCCTCAACCCGAGCCTAAACCGGAGCCTGAATCTGAACCCGAGCCGGAGCCTGAACCCAAGCCAGAGCCAGAGCCTGAACCCGAGCCCAAACCTGAACTTGAGCCTAAACCTGAGCCTGAACCCGAGCCTGAACCCGAGCCAGAGCCTGAGCCAGAGCCTGAACCGGAGCCTGAACCGGAGCCCGAACCTGAACCGGAGCCTGAACCTGAGCCAGGGCCCAAACCTAAGCCAGGGCCCAAACCTAAGCCAGGGCCCAAACCAGAGTCCGAGCCGGAGCCGGAGCCTGAACCTGAGCCAGGGCCCAAACCTAAGCCAGGGCCCAAACCTAAGCCAGGGCCCAAACCTAAGCCAGGGCCCAAACCAGAGTCCGAGCCGGAGCTGGAGCCTGAACCTGAGCCAGGGCCCAAACCTGAGCCAGGGCCCAAACCTAAGCCAGGGCCCAAACCTAAGCCAGGACCCAAACCTAAACCAGGGCCCAAACCTAAGCCAGGGCCCAAACCTAAGCCAGGGCCCAAACCAGAGTCCGAGCCGGAGCCTGAACCCGAGCAGGAGCATGAGCCAGATCCTGAATCCGAGCCATTGCCTAAGACCAAACTTAAACCCCCGCCTAGCATACCGTTTATTCAACCTCCAAGTAAGCAAAACTTTGTGCTGCTAACAGTGTTAAGTCCTTTTTAAACAGCAACTACTACCATCTCGCTTATGATAAAATGTCTAACCTTCTGACTAATAATCATGCGCATCTATTCCTTGTTTACGTTTTCTAGGGTTACCGAGTAGAACAATATGCTGGAGCGATACATTTTACGGTAAGAGTAGCCAGGATAATTTTTAGTCTAAAACTTATTGTTAAGATGGGACTGGTAGAAAATTTTAAAATTTAAATCTCACATTCAGCAATTTATTTGGTTCTGTTTACGTACATGTACGCTCTTAGATGTGAGACACGACTTCACTGCTATTTTTCAGGGGAATGGAGACGTAAATCACTGAACTGGTTCATGTTCCTCCTGTTCGGCCGCTTTTGACAACAGTGTCATGTAACAGGAACCTGGACCGAATGGTTACCTCGACAAACACGCATCCTTACACAGGTCTCCGCAACCTTTGCACACTCACAGCTTACCAAAGACTTTCTTCACTCGGTATCATGTTTTCTTTGGGGTTACTAAGACTTACCAAGTCTTTCATTTTCCGTGGCTTTTGCTGTTTGTGAACGTCTGACGATTTACAATGACCTTTTCTGCGGTTAATATTTGCCAGTCGTTTACCTAATAATAGTTGCCACAGATCTTTTTTTTATGCGGCTAACATTTACCAGTCGTTTACCAAATAACAGTTCTTTTTTATTCCGCTAACATCGTTCATTTTGTGTCAGCGCAATAGGTTGCGGAGCTCTGTTTGAAGTATGTTCGTAAATATATATGATAAAAATTGAATGAATTGTCTGGTGGATTAAGAAAATGGTCCAATTTTCAAAAGTTTAAAACTTGTGGTTTAAAAATCAAGGTGTACATGACATCTATAGCAAATAGATAGTAACAAAGAAACGTAAAATTAAATTTTAAAATGTCATCATTCGTTTTAAATTGTATTCAACGAAAATATAAAGAATAACATTGAATCTTTGTTTGTTTGTTATTTTTTATTTAACGTATGCTTCAAGGCATTCTTAATCGGACTAAGCCTAGATCTTGTTATTAGATTAGTTAAGATGTATTGTTTTAACTATCACGAATTTTAAGTACCAAAGAACTAGTATATTAATGTAGCGTTCACTCGCAAAACCGATTCAGTTCGGCTTATTTTGCCACATGAATTCTGAAATCAACAACTTCCATGTGTACATTAGGTAGACTTACTTCAAACCATCTCATGATTTTCACTTGTCAGTTGCTTTAAAAAACAAGTATACCTTTACATTCTGGACAATTTGTAACGTAAATTTTTCCCGAAGTCATATTGTTACAATTTGGGTGTTGAGAAGTCAGTCCAAGTAAAAATTAAACCACTTCATAATCTTTTTCTGTTAAATGTGTGTCATGGAATAAAAAAAAAATATGCAGTAAAGATAAGAGGAAACAAAAAGCGAAAACAAAAAGCAAGAAGATAAAGCAGTTTAAAGCTTTATAAATGTGTCAGGAGTAGAGCACTCTAGTACAATTTCAAGCATGTCTCCACTTGGTTTAGTCGCCCTTTTACTGGGGCTCCGTTCTGTGTTTGGTGGGCCAGAACTGCTGCTAAACCCGGGCTTTGAGAATGGAATCAACGGTTGGCACAGCAGTGGGTTCCTAATGACGACCGACACCACCCACGTTCACGGGGGTGTGGCCGCTGTCAGGTGCTCGGGCAGGTGAGATGGAATTTTACATTTGGGTTTGGTCAGTAGGTCTAAGATCGTTTACACGTTACTTAAATGGTATACATGGTAATCTAGCTATCGTGTGACCTAGGGCAACAATGAACTGTCCACATGGTAATCTTGTGACCTAAGTAGTATATTAGGTCCCTTTTGGTTAGCATTTTTGGCGGAGCAGGAGGGGGAGATGTACAATGACATATAGCAAAATACTCGGGAGCAGGGAAGGGTGAAGGGACAATGACATATAGTAAAATACTCCCAGCCTGGCGCATCGCAGGGTGAGGTGGAGGGGGAGCCTGGGACAACGACATATAGTAAAATACTACGACAACTGGCGTTGGCGGAGCAGGAGGGTGGCGCAGCCTGGGACAATGAGATATAGTAAAATACTCACCCGCCTGGGTGAGCCTGGCGCAGAGGCTGGGTGAGGGTGGGTGCAGCCTGGGACAATGAGATATAGTAAAATACTCCCCTACCCTAGGGTGGCGGAGCAGGAGGGGTGACGTAATCTCCGTTGACCTTGTGACGTAATCAGTGACATTATGACGTAATCATTGACCTAGTTACGTAATCATTGACCTAGTTACGTAATTTTAACGAGTTTTTTAAATTAGTTTTAATGAGTTTTTAAAATTTTAATTAATTTTTGACCTAGTTACGTAATTTTAATGTGTTTTTTAATTAGTTTTAATGAGTTTTAAAAATTTTAATTAATTTTTTATTAACGATTTACGTAATTTTAATGCGTTTTTAATTAGTTTTAATGAGTTTTTAAATTTTTAATTAATTTTTATTATCGAGTTACGTAATTTAATTACTTTGATTGTATTTTTATTTTGTTTAATTTGTTTGTTTACTTGTTGTTTAATTTAATTACTTTGTTTATATTGTGTAATTTTTATTAACGAGTTACGTAATTTGATTATTTGTTTACTTTTTAATTATTTTTATTTTGTTTATTTTTAATTTAATTTTATTTTATAATTAGTTAAATTATTATTAACTAGTTACGTAATTTGATTTTAATTACTTTTGTTTATTTATTTATTTGATATATTTCTTTTCTTTGATGTATGGTATTTAAAATAAAAGACACTGTTCATTTGATTGTATGTATGTTTAATAGTAAACGGATAGGGGTGTTGGTGGATGAGAGGGGGAGTAATGATGGGGTTTGAGGGTAGGGGTGCGTTAGCGTGTACTTTGTGAATAACATCCATTAACCAGACATGTAACACCTGTTACGTATTGATCGCACCCACTGGGCCATCACAGCATGATGTCCCACCTAATTAAATTTTTGTTATGCTTCACCGAGTTTCCCCCGAGCGGTTTGATAGGTCATGATGATTAACGACGTACATTAAGTCCCTCTACGCGTTAAGTGTGGGAACATCTGTTACCACTTTAATTGATTTTTCCCCGATCGATATGTCAGCTCTGCGAAGCCAGCAGGTAACAGCTGGTGCTGTAATTACGCTGAGTAAGGACATTGGTTGTAACTATTCGCTTATAGCGAGGGTCAGCGAAAACAAAATATATTTAAGGGTTGGAATTTTCTTTCAACCACCGTTAAGTCAGGTTTGAGACGAAACAAAGTCTCGGTAGGTTCGTGTTTTTTAATTGGCGACAGGGCGACTTGGTGCGTTGGTACGTGAGGTATGCGGGGTAGACATGTTTTTTACAAGTCTGGAAAAGTAATTACGTTTTTGTATGACCGTTCCGATTTTCTTTTGATCTGACCACCATTTGACCACACTGAGCCAGATAAATTTAACAAATGTTCAATACATAGTCGCTTATAGTAACATGGGTGAGGGGTGTAAGCAGGCGGGTGGTGGTAAGGTGGTGGTGGTAAGGTGGTAGTGGTAAGGTGGTGGTAAGGTGGTGGTAAGGTGGTGGTAAGGTGGTGGTGGTAAGGTGGTGGTAAGGTGGTGGTAAGGTGGTGGTAAGGTGGTGGTGGTAAGGTGGTGGTAAGGTGGTGGTAAGGTGGTGGTAAGGTGGTGGTAAGGTGGTGGTGGTAAGGTGGTGGTAAGGTGGTGGTAAGGTGGTGGTAAGGTGGTGGTGGTGGTAAGGTGGTGGTAAGGTGGTGGTAAGGTGGTGGTAAGGTGGTGGTAAGGTGGTGGTAAGGTGGTGCTAAATTTGTTTGGAGTAAAGGATATATAGTAAAAGATTCCACCACCTAAGTGAGGTGGATTTTAATTTTAATTTTTTTATTTTTTTTTTTTTTCATCATCTGTTAACTTTAAGGTTCTATAACTCTATATATTTTAATACGTTTTTTTATTCAAATGAGTTTACTCCCCCTAACGTAAGTACATGTAAAGAGGGATTTCCTATAGATCTGTAATGAATTAGGTCTTTTTGACTATGACTTGTTGCCCAGGTGTTGACATGATACACTTTTTTGAGATACATGTACACACACACACACACACACACACATACACACGTACACACACACACATACACACACACACACACACACACACACACATGCGCGCGCGCGCGAAATTCATACTAGGTCGGTAAAGGCGGAGAGAACTTATAGGTATACATTATCATGGTGACAACAAAAGCGATCCTTATTTTATTTACATGAAAGCGTGTTTTCCAAAAAGTGTCGCCATGCCGTTGTCATTTTCGCAGCGGGGTTTATTTTAAGTGCACCTCGTGCACGTTTGTTTACATTTTAAAAGACGTGTCGCGTGTCTTCCCCACATGTCTTCCCTAATAGAGAAACGAGAGGAAAGACAACTGTTCTAAAATTAGAACAGCCTTGTTTACAGCCACGAGTAGCGTCCCTTGTGAAAAAACTCGCGTCAGAATCCTTAACTAAACATTCAATTTCTTTAACAAGTTAAAAAATAATTTAGGAAGACAAGGGTTAACAACATTAGACGCCACCGTTTTTTGTTTCCTGTGACGACAAGGCACAATACACTTTTGTATTTTATGTCTCAAGTAGAGGGGTGGGATATTTTTTCTTTGTAAGCGTGTTGTAAACAATAGGTAGAGGAAGCGATTACTAGGTAAGAGGGGAGAGAACGTGACGTCCATCGCGATATTTGAAAACATGGCGATGTTTAACCTCAACCAAAAAAGGCAATGAACCTAGAAGGAAGACGAATATATATCTTAGTCTTGCAGCAGATTACCTTCCCATGTTCGCTTTAGTATTACAGTTTTCATCAAACTTCTTTTTGACTTGAACTTCTTTAATTTTTAAGAAAGTTTACTTATACATAATTCATTACATAACAAAAATTTAATTAGGTGGGACATCATGCTGTGATGGCCCAGTGGGTGCGATCAATACGTAACAGGTGTTACATGTCTGGTTAATGGATGTTATTCACAAAGTACACGCTAACGCACCCCTACCCTCAAACCCCATCATTACTCCCCCTCTCATCCACCAACACCCCTATCCGTTTACTATTAAACATACATACAATCAAATAAACAAACCAACAAATTAAACAACAAAGAAAAGAAATATATCAAATAAATAAATAAACAAAAGTAATTAAAATCAAATTACGTAACTAGTTAATAATAATTTAACTAATTATAAAATAAAATAAAATTAAAAATAAACAAAATAAAAATAATTAAAAAGTAAACAAATAATCAAATTACGTAACTCGTTAATAAAAATTACACAATATAAACAAAGTAATTAAATTAAACAACAAGTAAACAAACAAATTAAACAAAATAAAAATACAATCAAAGTAATTAAATTACGTAACTCGATAATAAAAATTAATTAAAAATTTAAAAACTCATTAAAACTAATTAAAAAACGCATTAAAATTACGTAACTCGTTAATAAAAAATTAATTAAAAATTTTTAAAACTCATTAAAACTAATTAAAAAACACATTAAAATTACGTAACTAGGTCAAAAATTAATTAAAATTTTAAAAACTCATTAAAACTAATTTTAAAAAAACTCGTTAAAATTACGTAACTAGGTCAATGATTACGTAACTAGGTCAATGATTACGTAACTAGGTCAATGATTACGTCATAATGTCACTGATTACGTCACAAGGTCAACGGAGATTACGTCACCCCTCCTGCTCCGCCACCCTAGGGTGGGGGAGTATTTTACTATATCTCATTGTCCCAGGCTGCACCCACCCTCACCCAGCCTCTGCGCCAGGCTCACCCAGGCGGGTGAGTATTTTACTATATCTCATTGTCCCAGGCTGCGCCACCCTCCTGCTCCGCCAACGCCAGTTGTCGTAGTATTTTACTATATGTCGTTGTCCCAGGCTCCCCCTCCACCTCACCCTGCGATGCGCCAGGCTGGGAGTATTTTACTATATGTCATTGTCCCTTCACCCTTCCCTGCTCCCGAGTATTTTGCTATATGTCATTGTACATCTCCCCCTCCTGCTCCGCCAAAAATGCTAACCAAAAGGGACCTAATATACTACTGACCTAGGGCAACAATGAACGGTCCACATATTCATCTATCATGCGACCTAGGGCATCAATGAACTGTCCACATGTTAATCTTGTGACCTAGGGCAACAATGAACGGTCTACAAAGAAAGTTAAACCACTAACAAAAAAGTACCACGAAAACCGAAAACAGTTGTACCTTATCAGTAATTAACGCAGTTTTTAATGAATCATTAGTAATTAACTCATTTTCATAATGAGTCATTAGTAATTCACGCATTTTCATACTGAATCGTCAGTTATTGACGCATTGTCATACTCAATCATCAGTAATTAACGCATCTGTTAATGAATCATCAGTAATTAACGCAGTGTCATACTGAATCATCAGTAATTAACGCATCTGTTAATGAATCATCAGTAATTAACGCATCTTTTAATGAATCAGCAGTAATTAGCGCAGCGTCGCACTGAATCATCAGTAATTAACGTATCTTTTAATGAATCATCAGTAATAGGGCTGGTAAGTAGGTCACTAACCAGTTCTTCGGCTCAATAAAACCTGAATGAGCCATAGAACTGGTTGGTGACCTACTTACCAGTCCTATTAACGCATCTTTTAATAAATCAGAACCAACGTCAACCAGGGACCGTCGCAGAACTTCCAGGCCCACCCCGACACCCGCTACACCTTCCACGTTTTCTTGAGACTGGCCACGGGGTCCCCCACACAAGAGGCTAAAGTTACTGTTGCCCTCAAACGGTCAGACAACGGTAAACAACATCTTGTTTCACTCACACCACTTTCATCAACTCGTGCAACTGACCGTAGGGTATTCTAGAAACAGACCAAATTCTAACATAGTTTGACTAGCAATTGTGATACGATAATTGTTAAACGTTGAATGTGTTAGTGCCGGTGTACGAGTATGATTTTTATCTATTGACACTAGGCCAAGACGAATACATCAGAGTGGCCAACCATCCTTACATTACCCCTGCCGATGGATGGGTTAACGTTGGAGGAAATTTTCACATACCAAATCATGGTGAGTCTCTCTATTCACGGGTTTCACACACTCAATGTTAAATACGTTTTTAAGTTACTAATTAATTAAAAAAAAATTAAATGTTACAAAAAATGTATATATATATATATATATATATATATATATATATATATATATATATATATATATATATATATATATATATATATATACAATATATATATATACAATATATATATATACAATATATATATATATATATATATATATATATATATATATATATATATATATATATATATATATATATATATATATATATATATATATATATAATATAGATCATCGTAACATAATCCAGACTTTCCTTCCCCCAGATAAGTTACGTAATCTATTGAACACCCGTTATAATCTGATGAACATGTACCGTGTAACATACATGATGTCATATGTTATTTATCTGGCAATGGTTTAACATTTGTATGTTAACGCCATTTCCTTTGTTACTCATCATGATAGTATCGTGTTTTAATGTTGTAGCTTATAGTCAGGCCAGGGTGTACCTAGAAGGTATCGCTACCAGTGTTGAGTTCTACATAGACGACGCGTCTTTAAAGGAACTGGAGTACAACTCGGGGTGGAAGGCGGCCGCTAACGCCAAGATTGAAGAATTCAGAAAGAGTAACATACATTTCAAGTAAGTCGCCTCATGGCAAGCTTGTGGGTGTTTTTGTAATAAGAGATGTGGCAGTATTCTAATTGTTGCTTCCGTAAGTGTAAATCGTTATTTATTTATGTATTTATTTATTGCGTAATTTATGGATAAAATAGCACGCATATTTTACCTTTAAATAAACATCGGTTGCATTGTTGTATAATTTAAATGTGATGTTACATAAAGGGTGTAAATAGAATAATTTCAACATTTTATTAGTTTTAGCATTAGCGATAAAATTTAAAGATATTAACAAAACACGTCATTAACCCTCAGAGTTATTATATTGTACAATTATATATATATATATATATATATATATATATATATATATATATATATATATATATATATATATATATATATATATATATATATATATAATAATAATAATAATAATAATAATAATAATAATAATAAAATCGTAATTTCCTCAACAGTTTTCACGTTGACCCTAAGTTTAGTGCCAGTGATATCAAAGTTAAGGTAAATATTCGTGAGTGGATGGTTAGAGGTAAGATTTGATCAGGTGAGTGGATGGTTAGGGGTAAGATTTGACAGGATACAACAGCCAACAGCAGACAGCAAGACGCAGCTAAGGACATTTCTAAAAAAAAACACTTCCTTAAGCTGCACGGAGATGGAAAATACAAGAACACAATGCTGAATTAAATGTGGAGAGAGCTAGATTCGATGAAAAACTATTTAATAGATTTGTACACAACAACAAATCGTTCCTCATATATATGTAAGAAGTTACTTATCTGATCGTAAATCAGGATAAACCCCTCACCATTGGTGAAATACTAATAAGGGTTCGGTAAATGCGGATATGAAACTGGTGGGGTTCAGTACCTCCAAAAATGTTGAGAACCACTGCATTAGTCGAAGTGTATGTTTGTCATTTTTAGGCATTAATTGAGTCTGTTAGTCGACTGTAATACTAAATGTAAGCGTATCTTCGTCCTTTTAAATTTAAGTAATTGTACGCGTGTTTTAGTAAGGGATAGTCACGTAATAAGAGCCGGACGATAAACACAACAAATTGATTTATTTGTATAGTTGTTCCTATAAAAGTTAAATGACCATAACAGGATTTAAAAAAAAAACGATAATGAATTTAACATAATATCAATACAAAAAAAATTAGTTTCTCGCCATGACGTAATAGTTGTAGAAGTTAGTGGAGAATAAAGAGAATTGAATTTCACAGATTGATCACAGAAAACATTTGTTCGGGTTCGGATCCTTGCTACGCCCAGACCACCTTCTAAGCAGCACTCACCAGCGCTATCGTGATATCGCCTACTACATGTTTAACTGGGCTGTCCTTCAGGACTACAAGTGGACATTTAACAGGGGAACTCCGGTAAGTGTAGAGATACAAGTGGACATTTAACAGGGGAACTCCGGTAAGTGTAGAGATACAAGTGGACATTTAACAGGGGAACTCCGGTAAGTGATTAGATACAAGTGGACATTTAACAGGGGAACTCCGGTAAGTGTAGAGATACAAGTGGACATTTAACAGGGGAACTCCGGTAAGTGTAGAGATACAAGTGGACATTTAACAGGGGAACTCCGGTAAGTGATTAGATACAAGTGGACATTTAACAGGGGAACTCCGGTAAGTGTAGAGATACAAGTGGACATTTAACAGGGGAACTCCGGTAAGTGTAGAGATACAAGTGGACATTTGACAGGGGAACTCCGGTAAGTGTAGAGATACAAGTGGACATTTGACAGGGGAACTCCGGTAAGTGTAGAGATACAAGTGGACATTTGACAGGGGAACTCCGGTAAGTGTAGAGATACAAGTGGACATTTAACAGGGGAACTCCGGTAAGTGATTAGATACAAGTGGACATTTGACAGGGGAACTCCGGTAAGTGTAGAGATACAAGTGGACATTTAATAGGGGAACTCTGGTAAGTGTAGAGATACAAGTGGACATTTAACAGGGGAACTCCGGTAAGTGATTAGATACAAGTGGACATTTAACAGGGGAACTCCGGTAAGTGTAGAGATACAAGTGGACATTTAACAGGGGAACTCCGGTAAGTGATTAGATACAAGTGGACATTTAACAGGGGAACTCCGGTAAGTGTCTAGATACACGTGGACATTTAACAGGGGAACTCCGGTAAGTGATTAGATACAAGTGGACATTTAACAGGGGAACTCCGGTAAGTGTCTAGATACAAGTGGACATTTAACAGGGGAACTCCGGTAAGTGATTAGATACAAGTGGACATTTAACAGGGGAACTCCGGTAAGTGTCTAGATACAAGTGGACATTTAACAGGCGAACTCCGGTAAGTGTCTAGATACAAGTGGACATTTAACAGGGGAACTCCGGTAAGTGTCTAGATACAAGTGGACATTTAACAGGGGAACTCCGGTAAGTGTCTAGATACAAGTGGACATTTAACAGGGGAACTCCGGTAAGTGATTAGATACAAGTGGACATTTAACAGGGGAACTCCGGTAAGTGTCTAGATACAAGTGGACATTTAACAGGGGAACTCCGGTAAGTGTCTAGATACAAGTGAACATTTAACAGGGGAACTCCGGTAAGTGTCTAGATTTTTAAAAACTGGGGATTATAATACGATTTTAAAAAGTGTGTACAAAGAGGTGTTACGGGTGAGGTGAGACATGTTGAGATATTGAAAGACCAAATTAGAGAGCCGGGTCAATGTAAAGAAAATGATATGTCAATGTTATGTCGATCATCTGTCAATGTAGTGGCAATATTAAGTCAATGCTCTGTGAATATTGTATCAATGTTGTGTCAATGTTGTATCAATGTTGATTCTATGCCCTGTCAATGTTGTGTCAATGTTGATTCTATGCCCTGTCAATGTTGCGTCAATGTTGATTCTATGCCCTGTCAATGTTGTGTCAATGTTGTGTCAATGTTGATTCTATGCCCTGTCAATGTTGTGCCAATGTTGATTCTATGCCCTGTCAATGTTGTGTCAATGTTGATTCTATGCCTGTCAATGTTGTGTCAATGTTGATTCTATGCCCTGTCAATGTTGTTTAAATGTTGAGTCTTTGATCTGTAAATGTTGTATCAATGTTGATTCTACGCCTTGTCCCTGTCAATGTCGTATCAATGCTGCCATATTGTTGTTCCACTATGACCCCAAGTAAAACCTAACTACCAACACATCTGTGTACAGGATCACCCCGATTATTCTCGTGCTCTTGCTGCAACTGACGAACTCGCTAAAAATGGGTTGGTTTTTTTTTTTTTAAATAAATTACTTTAGTATTCATTGCTATTTTAAAAATTGTTGTTATTATAGGCTTATTTTATATGCATTACAATCTTTTTCGTTTTTTTTTTCGATATTGCTCATATAAAATCAATGATATATAAAATTCAGCCTGTTTTTTTAATATTACAGTATTCAAGTCAGAGGTCATTGCATGTTTTGGGACGTGCCAGATAAAGAACCGAGTTGGGTTAAGCCGTTGAGTGGACAGGCGTTGAAGGACGCAGTTGATGAGCGTATTCGTTACATGACCAGCATAACCAAAGGGAAGTAAGTCATGAATTATATCTAGTATTTACTAGTAAAGTTAGAGTTACTTCTAATTGATTTTTCAAGCTAAAACAGCCACACAAAAATGGTTTCGATTTTTTTAAGGTTTTGTACTAATGATTCTAAAAATGTAGATACCAATATTAATTTTGCAGGGCTATTAGGAAGTCATGGGATTTTTTGTTTATCTTCTAAGGACAAAACTTGCACACAATTTATCTCAAACACAAAAAGTTATCCTCATACTTTAACTTTATTCCGAATTCCGATAAGACTCCGATATATTGTAGACCCAAGAAGAACATGCCATCTAATCAGCCTAAATGTTTAGATATTAACAGGCTGAATAGGGGAAAAAATGACACCCGTCGATGATAAAGGAGTTTAACGTGGGCGCTTTTCTATAAGTGGGTGTAACCACGCCTCCTTTTCTCTATAGAAAAATTAAAAAGCTTATTTTAATTGAGGCAAAATAACGTCCCCACACCCACCCACTGCCTGTGTAACTTCATCTCTCTGTCCCACAGACTCGCCCACTGGGATATCAACAATGAAATACTGCACGGCAATTTTTTCGAAGCAAAAACCGGCGACCCGGCATACAGTCAGCACATGTACAGGGCTGTCCATGCAGCTGACCCTTCACCCAAGCTGTTCCTCAACGACTATAACGTCGTGGCACAGGGGAGCCACACACTGGTTTGTTCGACTTCAATGTTGATATTACTTACAGCAGTATCGTGCTAGTGACTAGACTATTAAACATTATTACCTCCCTTGACAACCAACTAACGTTTGAAGACGCGTATTTTAGTGAGCGGCTCGAGTACTAGCACGTCCCTGAGCACACACAGCTCTAATGGGTACTTGGCTCATGGTAGGGAAGGTAATCCCCTGTAGGCATAGAACGGATCACACTACGCGTTTTTATGTCGATGCCACAGAAGAAGTTGGAAGGGGTAACAGATATTAGTGCGTAAACCAAATTTTTTAGTTGCCTCCCCTAGTTTGTCTGATTGAATTGGCTTGGGAAAATCTTTACTAAGTTACAGATCTTTCTTATATTTTTTAAATCGTTAAACATTAGATAGTTTTTTGTTCTTATAAAAATGTTCTAATTAGGCAAATCTTAGAAGTGAGAAAAATCGGTTCAAAAAATTAAAATGGGAAGCGATGATTGATTGTTAGAGTAAATTTGAAGCCTCAAAATGGTTTAGAATTGTTTTGTCGGGTAAAACAGCTGCAGTAGAGTACATCACGAGGTCCCTCCGGTGAACGTGACAACAGGCGTGCTCTGCTTCACCTACATCACTGGGCGTCGGGTGGCGATCAAATAACCTTTGATAACAACAATCATGTGATGTCAACTGATGACCGATACTGTCATGTCATATAGTGAAGTTATCTAATGACATATACTGTCATGTCATCCTGTGATGTCAACTAATGACCGATACTGTCATGTCATATAGTGATGTCATCTAGTGACATATACCGTCGTGTCATACTTTCATGTCAGCTAATGACCTATAATGTACTTTAGCACGTGGTGTTTTAAGATAATAAATCAAGTGATTATAAGCTCCATACATATCAACAGTATTGTATTCCAATATCAACAATGTTATATAATATATAAGCTCCATGTATATTCTGGTAAAACCTTAGTTTAGCGTCGTAAATTCTGTCAAAACTAGTAATGTGAGGGAGAGAGAATTAATGAATATATCTTTAAATATGAGTATATTTTCGTATACTTTAATAAAATATTATAGATAATTGAATAATAGATCACCATTGATGGTTAAATCAATTTAAATATCCTGAAATTAGTTTTTATCAACCCTGTTCGAGATAGTAAATTTGCTATTATAAAACAGCAGCCATCTTAATAATATAAGGTTTTACCGTATAATATTTCAACAGTATTGTGATCATTAACATCGTGTACATATTTTATACCAGGCCTATTTGACGATGATACAAAAATTTAAGTCAGCGAACATTGGCTTGGGTGGGGTAGGCGTTCAAAGTCATTTCAGTAACTACACAGCACCGGATGTGACGTTGATGAAGGTAAACACGTTAACTGACATTGTTAATGTCAGTGTTTCTTCCAGACTTTTTTTCTCCGGGGGTGCACATGATATTTTCGGGGGGCGGGGGGACTACATTTTCCGGGGGGGGGAGGTTGGACACTGTTAAAAGTATATGTTTTCTATATAAATTCCATTTCGTTCGGGAAGGCGGTAGGCTTTCTTGGGGGGGGGGGGGGGGAGGGCGGGGCGGCGAAGAGATGACTGGAAGAAATTTTAATTTATTGTTTTATTTTAAGAACATCATGTCAAAATTAAAATGTGGATTCTCTGGTTCCACCAAATCAATGTAGCATTAGTGCATTAATTAAATGTTAATGAGTGACGAAGATGGTGTGTCGTGTGTTGTTTCAGCACAGACTGGATGTGCTCGGCATTGCTGGACTCCCCATCTGGATTACAGAGCTGGATCTGTCCGCACATGATGAAAACACGCGCGCTGATTGGTTAGTTTGGGATTATTTTTAGCGCTATTTCCATTCTTTAGCGCAATTTCCATTCTGGAGAATTGAGTTTATTAACCCGTCATTTCTGGATGGATGAAGGAATGGATGAATGAATTGTGTCCGCAGCTTTAAGTCGTATCTCCTCCTCAACGAAGCAATATCGAGGACTAGTTCCAAAAGCAATTATGTTAAGCAAGTTACGAGGATGAACATAGGCCATAAAAATTCCGGGTTTCTTTCATGGATTTCCCGGAAAAGCCAAAAAAACTCGAAAAAATGCAGTTTTTGGCCCATATTTCGGCAACCAGACCACTTAGCAACTTGAAACATGTACCAATCGATTCCTGCCATAATTTAGAACAATATTGCCGAAGAAAGTTTTCAAAAATATCCTTTCGTTCGGTCACAAAAAAAATTTTGAATTAATTAAAATTTGGACCGAATTAGTAGGCATTTTTATCCAACCACATCACACGCGTCATCACGTTCAATAGCTGCGCCATCACGTTCAATGGCTGCGACATCACGTTCGGTAGCTAGGCGCGCAATGGTTTTTAGTCATGTAACTCTATTGTAAATAAAACATGTAAAATACTGAAAAAAATTTAATAAAAAACGTTTTAATAACTAACCAATGGTTTTACTAACCCTGCTCTTGACAGAGCTATTTTTAGATAACATAAGGAAATTGCGCTAAAATTGTCACTAGACTTTTTAATTACCTTGTTTTATATTGACTGCGTATTTTTCCCAACAGATTTCTGTTATATCTTTTTATTATTGTTACCAAAATATTACAAAAATATGACATTTCGACACACAATGATCCCGTATAACGTTAAATAACATTTCCATTTTAGGGGTCCTGACCCCTTTCCGCCATCCCTCCGCAAAAAAAAAAATCCAATACAATTCAGGATTATTTATTTTGCTAAATATATAAATTACATTGAAGTTCCTACAAACCATTTCAGCGCATCGAATACATGAAATGCATCTTGCTCACACAGTTTCGCTGTTTAGAAATGATTACACCCTACCCATTAGATAGAAATGAGAACCCACCCCTAACACGTTTTTCAGACAATATAATCCACGCACGATCCCAAAGCAAACCCAACATAACTTCCTTGCTATGTTGTAGGTACGAAAACGCTTTGCGGGTGTACTTCAGTCATCCATCAGTTGAGGGGGTTTTGTTCTGGGGCTTCTGGGACGATGACGTTGTATACGATCGTGCTCTGGTTCACGGATCATCTTTTACGGTAACTCGTCTCTATCGTTTGTGTCATCTCCTTCATTAATTGCAAGTATTCATTACTCGAATCTATATTATAATTACTGCTTGAATTCATTCTTAACTGACAACGCGCGAATTTTGATGATGGGAGGTAATCAAGAAAGTCGTGGAGTAATTGGTTTTGTTTGGTTATTCCCCTTACATTGTACTTTTCAGCTGGATAAAGCCGGTGAGCGTTATTTACATCTGATCAAAGAAGAATGGAGCACTCATGTCAACCGGTCTTTGTCGGCTGGAACATCCTTCAATGTCAAGGGCTTTCAAGGAACTTACGACCTGACGGTGTTATATCATGATAAACCAATCCAAACGCAAACCTTTACTCTAGGAAAAACAGACAAGACTCTAAACATCACGATATCCGGTGATGGCCGTAAGTACACACGTTTTTCGACTGATATCGGTTGTTTGGTGGCTCTTCGATGTATGTATTTTTAACCTATGAGCTATTATGGTACTCGTTGAGAATAACTAAATTTTATTATATTTTTTTTTTCTCTACAGATCAAATCAACGTCCCTGCACATCCAAACCCATTTGGTTAAAAATATTTTGGGTGTTTATTAATAAAAAAATCATGTTCTGTTTTGTTTAACTGCAGTTGAGTTTAAAAGCCTACATCTGTTGTCTACTAAGTAATATCATAGAGTGGCGTAGGCAGGGGGGGGGGGGTCATAACCCCCCCCCCCCATAGACCCCTCGGTATATATATATCAAGTATGAGGGGGGGGGGTGCAAATGAAAAGTTTGAGGGGAGGGGGTTGCAAATCGAAAGTTTGTCCCCGGGTAAAAATTGGAACCCCCCCCCCCCCCCTTGAGACGATCCTGGCTACGCCACTGGGCGTACTCATTAGTGGGAGAGGATGTATATGTTCACCTTTAATAATTACATTATCATACAAAGGCCTTTCCATGATTTATTAACTAGTTGAACAGAAATTCCAATTTACAAAAATATAAAAATGTGTGCTTGTCTTAAATAGATGTTACATCTATTGACTTCTCATGTGTCACTTAGGTAAGTCTTCAAATCTTTACCATTGTTAGGCGCTAGTACTTCAGATAGCTGATCTACTCTGACGTTAAGTTAAACTGTCCATAGTGATGATTGACTTACAAATATTACTGGTAAGAAAAACAACTCTAAATTATTGTATTAAAAATGTGAATTTTAATGAGGAAATTATTTCAAGAACTGCAATAAAAAGAAAAAACTACAAGTCCTAAAATAATTTCCACAATTACAGCAAGATGAAATTTTAAATGATTCCTCTGTGGTCCAGTAACATGTCTACAAAATATACATTTTAATTAGCTTTATTTCATAGAACTTAAAAAAAAAAAACAAGTTTTTTTTTTTTACATGAGCTTAATAAATCAAATATTTATAATTATTAACTCTCCATTGCCCTAATTACAAGCATGATTTGAAACCATTTTCATTTGTTAAATGTAAAATAATATAGTGCCAATAATCATAAGTAAAAATGTATGAAGTTTTTAAGCAGATCTTTGTTTTCTAGATTTGAAATATTCATAATGGCACTTTTTTAACAAAAAACATCAATTTGAAAATTAATTTAGTATTACAGAATAAAATAATTCAGCTCCTAAATAATAATTTAATTCATCAACTGTCCATAATTCGAGCAAGAGCATTGAAACTTGGATGTTTTAACCAGTGTTGAAACAGAAAATAGACAATAATTTGAAATGTATATAAAAACAGTATGTTATACAGGATTGATTTTTTGTATCCAGTGTGCAAAACATGATTAAAATGACAATTTCATTTCCAAACATAAAACAAATCATCAAAGAACTGTTAGTTGTTTCCCCCTCTTCCTGTCTGAAGCTTAGCAATTATTCTTTCTAGTTGTCTCTTTGCCTCACACATTGGAAAGTTTGCCATATCGTAGTACTGTGGTGCAATTTTCACCAGCCTAAACAGAACAAACAAAACAACTCAAAATGTTTAGAAATCTAAATTTAACAACCAAGATTTCTTTGGCTAACTGTGATGACGCAAGATTACGTCAGACATGTTTAGCAGATATAGGTTAGCAGAAACAGACTATAGGCCTAGTTGGTTGGGTAGAGAGGCCAATGGGCGCACAGGGCTGACCGGTCACGTGGGACGGTCAGCTGACCACTGAGGCGTGGGCCACTGTGAGGCCGGGAGATCATGATTAGCTAGCGAGGGCAGAAGGTTAGGAAGCGGTCAGAGACGGTCGTAATATGTAGAGCTGGAGAACGGTAGTTAGTGTTAGGATTGATCATGGGAGTGCGTAGTAGTAGGTAGCATGTGGTATGAACAGTCAGTAGTAGAAGTAAATAGTACAGTGTAGATCAGTTAGGTAGAAACTTGAACATATATATCATTTTAATAAAGAACAATTATAGTTGAACTTGAACTGTGTGTTATTGCACTCATTCGTTTCGTACCATCACAACTGGTGGGTGGTAACCATCATCAAAACACCTGTACCCTCACAACTGGCGGAGCGCGGGACGAACCGCGGGTCGAGGACAGGAAAGACTGTATATCGGGTTACTCATGACGGAGTACATCTGGTGTACAGCTTCCTATAACTCAACACAACAGCGGGTTTCTTCAACCAGAACGAGTGGATTACCAATACAAGGGAACAGTCACCATGTTCAAAAAGATAAGTACCTTCCATCATTTTTTTTAAACGTTTGGGTTTATACCCGTGCTGGATAGTTTGTGCCAGCGGTTTTTCTGCCTTACACATTCTATTGTTACGCACTGTTGCCTTAGTTTTGTTAACTTACCTCAACACACACACACACATACACAACCATGGAGGCAGAGTTTCAATGCTATAAACAGGGCATACCATTAGACAAAACAGGAGAAGAAGTTGAAACATTTGTAGAGAAGAAGTTAGAAAACAAGATAGTCAAGATAGTAAAACATGTCAAGAACAAAAGCATAGTTAGCGATAGAATTAGTGAAACTGAAAGTACAGCAAATAGATAACACGCAACTGCCCCAGAACATCAACCCCATGACCAAGAATGTGACCCGGACCGTCTCCATAAATGAATTTGAATAATGAACATAATTGTGAAGTCAAGTCGAGGTATTTTTGTGTGAATCTAAGTCGCCGAGAAATCGGCGTGAAGTCAAAGAAGTCATTTGAAGTTAGTCAGGTCAGTCAATAAGTCGTTGAAGTCATAGTGAAGAAGTGAAATCGTCGAAATTATAGTGAAGTCTTTGAAATCAAAGTGATGTCGTTGAAATCTTTGAAGTCGAAGTAAGGTTAATCTAAGTCAGACGTTGAAGTATTTGAAGTCATATTGAAGTCGTTGAAGTCAAGGAAAAGTCTTTGAAGTCAAAGTGAAGACGTTTAAGTCGTCGAAGTTTAAGTCGGTCAGTGAAGTTACTGAAGTCAGTTAAAGTGAAATAAGTCAAGCTACTGAAGTCAAAAGTGAAGTCAGTCAAATTACTGAAGTCATAAGTGAAGTCAGTCATTAAGTCAAGCCAGCCAGTTTAAGTTGTCAGAAGTCAGATAGTGAGAGCTGCTCCACCATTTGATCACGTGTTGAAATGTTGATTTGAATGACACGTTATTATTGATACACACATGTCTATTCTTTTTGTGAAACTATTTCTAAGCTCTAGTAGTGTTTACGTCTATTGAGTTTATTAGGCTTTACAGATTGTTGTTAGATTAGAGTGTACTCTTTTTTATCTGGTTAATTTTGTAATGTTATTTTCTTAATGTTGTTATGCCGCCAGACAAATGTTCAGCACGTATAAATTTGGGATTGAGGTTTTTTTTTAATGGAAGGTACCTCTGTCTGAATACTTGTCTGCGCGGGCACTAAATTGTTCACGTAAAGCCATTGCTTATAGTCTCGAAATGCCATTTCAGACCCACTACGCTTATTCAGAATGAGACGAGATGAAGCAAACACTTCAAAGAATGCCGCCACCTGAAGCTCTGATTACGTTGAATTACCTGGACAGTGAACAGCCCTGCTTAACAGAGAATTGCCCTGGTCAAGACAGCGGACGCATCGCCACCGCTTCGCCCCCGCACTGGGGTTGAATAACAGACCGCCAGCTACGTACACCTACGTCGGCACATACAAAGGGTAGACGACCCATCGTCCAAGTTCCCAGCGTCGGAACGTTACGTCATTGTTCGCCACCGCATCAGACAGCTCCAGTTCATCGTATAATCACTCTACGTGGACGTCTCAACCAGCGTTGAGATGAGATTGTTGCGTCATCACATTGACCAACGAAGTTACGCATACACCCGCCTCACGGGAATTTACATCAAAACTCGCCACAAACCACCCACCACAGAGGAACGCCAACAATTACATAACTTACACCTACACTTACACTGCTTGCTGAGCCGTTCAACCAGTTACACATTACCACTAAGATTGGCTCAAGGCCAGTACATGACAACCTAGCCAGAACTGAGTTACACATGATTGGATTCACACATACCATAATATTGACATACATTATCAAGCAGAAACACTACAGACGTCAGGATACCTACACAAGAACTAGAACAATGACATTTTTTTTTCGGGAACACAGACACAAGATTTTATGTTTTTGTAAACTGTGCTGTCCCATTTTGTATTTGATTTACATGATTCATGTTAGGGATAGAATAGAGTAGTAAGATAGATAGTTGTTGATGTATTAGATTAGTAGCAGACGCTGAAAAATATAATTTGTCAGCTACAGAAAGGGAGGGAGATATGTGATGACGCAAGATTACGTCAGACATATTTAGCAGATATAGGTTAGCAGAAACAGACTATAGGCCTAGTTGGTTGGGTAGAGAGGCCAATGGGCGCACAGGGCTGACCGGTCACGTGGGACGGTCAGCTGACCACTGAGGCGTGGGCCACTGTGAGGCCGGGAGATCATGATTAGCTAGCGAGGGCAGAAGGTTAGGAAGCGGTCAGAGACGGTCGTAATATATAGAGCTGGAGAACGGTAGTTAGTGTTAGGATTGATCATGGGAGTGCGTAGTAGTAGGTAGCATGTGGTATGAACAGTCAGTAGTAGAAGTAAATAGTACAGTGTAGATCAGTTAGGTAGAAACTTGAACATATATATCATTTTAATAAAGAACAATTATAGTTGAACTTGAACTGTGTGTTGTTGGATTCATTCGTGACGCCCTCATAAAAATCCCCACCCTCACACTAACATTGGTTTATTCATTAAAATAAACTGGATTTAATAGTAGGGGACTCACCACTCAGGTTTGACGTCTGTGACTGTACGTATGTAATTTTTTGTTGTAAGCACAAACTCATTGTAGAGAACCCAGTCTGGTTTGTGATCTAGTACTGTAGACGGGTGGAGTTGTACAACCTGGCTATCTTTTACTGTTAAATAGTGACCTGTGCGTTCTAGATGTGCTACCTGTCATGGGGATGAAATTAAAAGACTGAAGTGCGTTAATATTTGTAAACAAATCTGATGGTAACCATGATAGCTGTTTTTAATTATTAATAGCCTTTTCTTTAAAGGTATTAGGAAATAGTAATCAAGCTACTTACTTGCATAAAGAATCCAGACACCAAAGCTTTTCTGATATTAATATAGTAGTCACGAGATGTGAATTCTGTGCTGGATCTGCGTAAATTGAAACGGTCCATAATTCTGGCCAGCTGTTGACGAACATTATCTGCACTCTTCAATGACCGGTAATTCACAAAGTTATCATAGCACCACTGAGGATCTTCATGATCTGAAATACAGATGCCAAAGCATGAACTACATTTCTAGTCAGAAGAAGTTTTTATAAATAGTACATAAAGCACACACACTTGCATTGTTATAAATATCACACTATTAACTAATAAACAACATGAAAATGTAAGATAAAGCTAGATTAACATTAAACTTACTTTGCTTGAATGCATGATACACGTTCAGAAGGGTGAGGTGATCGCCGTCTATGTGAGCGAACCTCATCTTAGACTCATCTGCAGCTTTCTTGGCTTCCATGGGTCTGACAAAACACTGCGGGACTAAACACGAGAAGCGGGTGGGGCCACACGGCCCATCCCCAGCGCCATTAGTTCAAGGTCACTAAAAGGAAGCCAGTATGTTAGAAGTGCACTACACCCCTAGCTATTAAGGTCTTTATTACACCAAAATTGTGTATAGCCTTTTAACCTGGACATTTTAATGGAACTTAGGAATTCTTTAAAACATTTTATTTTTCTAAATAGGAAGAACAATTATTTGAAGTCATTCTACAAGCATTAAAAAAGTTTCTTACTCTTGCTAAACTGGCATTTGCCAAGTGTAAAAAACTTTTTCATACATATAAACAAAAAGGAAATAATGCTTTTTAATAGCTTTAAAAACGCAAAATGAGGTGTGTGCACATTCAACATCTTATAATACATATCTTATAAAATAATTCTTAAGTACCACTAACAACAAAAAAATCAGCAGAGGATGTAAAACTCTTGAAATTAAATGTATAACCCCTTTATACCTGAAAGCATAGCTGTTATTGAAAGCACTTCATTGGAACAGTTGTTGTCACAGCTAGCAATAACCATCTTAGCTAGTTGAGGATCAAGAGGGAACTCCGCCATCATAGAACCAAGCTCAGTAATTTCACCATCATCATCAAGAGCAGCAAGATAATTGAGCAACTCCAGAGCTCGCATAAGAGTTTCGGGAGCTAGAATACAGGGCAGAATTTTTAAAAGAACTTTTAAATTAAACAAAAAGCAGTATGGTACAATCCAAAATTGAATAAAATGTAGTGAGCTGACTTAATTTAGAATCTTATGACTTTTATACAGTCAGTAACTTAAAGCACAGAAACATATTTGATGTAGGCAGAAGTATTCAGCCCATTGTGTGTTAAGACAAGCAATTAGAATATGGAAAACAATGTTGATAGGGAAATTTCATAGAAAATCACTGCTATTAAAGCAAAAATGTAACAAAATATCTGTTGGGTAAATATATTTTATGTAACAACCCTATTAAAACTTAATAAATACCTGGTGGATCCATAAAATCAAAATGCACTAAATCATCAATTCCTAGTTTTTTAAGCTGTAATACAACAGTACCAAGGTTTGATCTGAGAATTTCTGGATATGTGTTTTCCTGCATTTCTTGTTTGTAGGCTTTTTCTGTGTACAAACGAAAACATTTGCCTGGCCTTGTACGCCCTGCTCTTCCCGCTCTTTGTTGTGCACTGGCTTTAGAAATGGCAGTGACGAGAAGAGACTCCACTCTAATACGAGGGTTATATACCTAAACAGAATACATCAATTTTAAAAAAAACTATAATCCAGACAAATTCTGAAATGTATAGTTATTTCAATACAGCGGCTTACAAAAGTTCTCATGAAATTATGTTTAGAACTAAAACAAAGTAATGCTTTTAAAAAAATTTGGTTTTTACAAATACATGAGGTACTATTACCTTTTGCTTTGCAAATCCAGGGTCTATAACAAATACAACACCATCAATGGTTAGAGATGTTTCTGCTAAATTTGTAGATACAACTACTTTTCTGCCTATAGCACCATTAGCTTTTTTTGGTGGAGGAGGTTCAAAAATCCGTTGCTGAAGATTTGGTGGTAAAGTGGAATATAAGGGAATACATTTCAGATCACCAACATCCTGTCCAAGATTATCTATTTCTCTTTGTATTCTTTTACATGCTTCGTCTATTTCCTGTACAATAAAATAATTATAAAAATAATAAGCATGTTTTAAATACATTTTGGGGTTATAGTCATCTAACTACTTGAATATAATAAGTGTTTAAAATCTATATAGATTACGTTTACAGTAAAACTCATGTATTACAACCTTGGATAACTTGTCGCCTTATTGGTTTTTGACACAATTAGGTTTGACTGTATTAGGAATATTTTACATTTTGAATTTCTAGTATTTAATAACTTGAAAATTTACCTCTTGACCTGTGAGAAACAATAGCATATCTCCTTCCGTCTCTTCACACATATGAATTTGAATAACAGTTCTGATGGCTGCTTCCAAATAATCTCTCTCAGGTTCAGGTGTATAAAATATTTCTACAGGATGGGTTCTTCCTGGCACACTCATTAGTGGTGCATTATCAAAGTAAGTCTATTGAGAATAATTGCGTGAAATGAAGCTGTAACTTTTTAGACAACAAATGTAGTAAAATGTGAACTAAGCTATTTAAAATTAAAAAATAACATGTTAAAACAATTAAGTATCAGCTACACAGTAATATGCTGAGGTCACAGAGACAGGATAACTCTACATCACTTGCCCCATGGACCGCCACGCTTGAGAAGTTAACTTTACACAATAATTTTTTACTATGAGAATTTACTTCAAAGACAGGTATTCTTTAATTTTTATTAACATAGTTTTAATAATTTTTTATACAATATTGTGTGACCACAGTAAAACAAGTGGGTTAAGTTGAATCATAATCCATAATCCAAATTAGAGTATGCCTTAGAAGTTACCCAATCTTCTTCCACAGTAGTAGGCCTACATACAATAATAGATATATACTTTTTTTTTTAAATTAAGTTACCTGAAACTTGCCAGCATCCAAAGTTGCACTCATGATGATTATTTTCAAATCTGGTCTTTGCTTAGCAACTTCTTTTAGTAAACCCATTAAAATGTCAGTAGCTAAAGTACGTTCATGGGCCTCATCAAGCATAATGATTCCATAAGCTTCCAACAATGGGTCAGACATTGCTTCTCGCAGAAGCATACCATCTGTCATGTATCTAAAAAAAAGTTATCAGATAAGTTTTTTATACACAAATTAATTTAGTTACATAGGCATGTAAATATTTAAATTAAAGTTATTACTAAATATCAATTTATAAAATGAAATTTAAATGAACATAATAGTGCACTATCTGTCTTAAAATAAAATGTTGAATGGGATATTAAAATACTCTTATTTTATTTTTAAAACTAAGATTTTTTTTTTTTTTTTTGCAAACAGATCCAAAAAAATTTTGGTAAAATAAATTATATTGGCTTACTTGAGAACAGTCTTTTGAGATGTACAGTCTTCAAACCTAATGCTATAACCAACTTCTTGACCTAAACATACATCCATCTCTTCTGAAACACGTTGTGCAACTGACATAGCAGCTACTCTACGAGGCTGTGTACATGCAACACCTTTTTTAGGATTTCTAGCTCTAACCCACTCCAGACACCATTGTGGTATCTGTAAAAATATTTATTAAAAAAACAAATAATATAATAAGTAGGTTTATAGGCCTAATTACAATAAATTTTAAAATTTATATTAAACTACCTTACCTGAGTAGTTTTGCCAGATCCAGTTTCACCAACCAACACAATTGTCTGATGTTTAGTTACCATATCAACAAATCTTTCTTTGTATTCCCAGACAGGTAGAGTAGAACGCTTACGAAACAACTCATAATAACGTGGGGTAAATGGTAGACCTGCAAAAAGAAATTAATGCAATAAAAAAATCAGTGCAATTTTAGTCACATTTCTGAAATTTATCTCACTAATAGTCTTCCACAACTAACTTCATTAAGTAGTACTACCACTTGTTAATGAAGTAACAAGCAGTTACATGATAAAGTTTACTTTTTCATATTATAATTTATGCCAAACAATTTTTATTCAACTTTATCACAATGTAGGCCTATTGGTAAAGTATTTTGTCATGTTGGTCAGGCTACATATATCCAACTAAGCTAATTTAATGTAATTCAAAAGCTAATTAAAAAGTATATTTTACCAGTAAATGGATTAAGCTGAAGTGTAGGCCTTGGTATGTTGAACTGTTCAAATATTGATTGAGATTTTCCACCCTTTTCATCTTTTTTATCTCCACTTGCATCTTCATCTCTGGTAAAAGCACATTTTAGATTTTACTAGCTGAACTAATGAATAGGGAATATTCATTATTTTAAAAAAGTAGGCCTATATACTAGGCCCTCTAGCCTAAGGTTAAACTCTTTTTAGCATTAATTTTATTCATTACTTATTTTACCAAAATCTGAAGCGAACAATGTTTAGGCCTATTATGTGTGTACCACTAACCAAGTATGCCTATTTATCTTCCTTCAAATTTGTATACAGGCCTAAAAGTAATTTATAGCAGGCCTAGGCCTATATGATTGGGTGCCTAATTATTTAATAGAATCCCAGTCATGATATTTGATCAGTTTGGCCTAAACACACACTATCTCTTCATATGCCGAGGTCACAGAAACAAGTGAACTCTACTTCACTTGCCCTATATACCTTCAGGTTTGAAAAGGTAACTTGTGGCTTAAACAGATTCTGCAATATCAGATGCACTGGTGTTAATGTACTATTTTTATACTTCATTTGTTGGATGCTAAAACAAATTAACCGTAATTGAAAAGGAGTAGGCCTAGCCAATTCAATAATTTTTTTTAAAATTCCTTAAATTGTTATAGCGGGATATCGATTATCACATCAACTAGTAACAGACCTTGAAATTGAAATATTTATAAGACGTTACCATTACACCCAGCCTGGTGGCTAGATGTCATGATATTCTTTAATTATACACATAACATGGAGTATAGTTTTGGATGATTCTAGCCAGAAGAAGACGCGCCTTTTGAGGCAACTTTTAACATTACTAGCCTAGGCCCATTTTACGCACGGTAATTTACATTCTGCTGCATTAATTATTGGCTGATACAACCACAGAACCCAAACACCAACCCTAATCCTATCCCTAACACTAATCCTAATCCTACCCCTAACCCTCATTCTAGCCCTAACCCTAGCCATAGGTCACTGCGCATGCGCAGAGCTATCTTTTGCCGACTAAGTGGAGACGTTGGGGAGAAAAATCTTCAGAGTAGTCACTTCGTTAATTATTTTACTTCTATTAGGCTAAACCTTTCTTTTTCATAAGCTGTTTAATATAGACCTAGATCTAGGATTAAGATTACATCTTTTTAAAGAAAGATTTAAATTATAGAGAATCTAGATTATTCTAGATCAAGATGATTGAATTTTTTCCTCAGGTAACATTACTATTATCGATAATGGGTAACACAATTTTAGGCGACTTTTGTCGAGTTAATATCATTAAATACAAAATTGTTTTATTGACAATCGTGATAAGTAGACACTAATACTGTGTATACGAAACCTATTTTTCTTAGTATTGGACATGCTATCTCCAACATCGATTCGACGCTTGGACATTGTGTTTTTTTCTCTGTTGAACTAATCCAACCGCTCAATTTTTCTGTGAGGCATAAACGTCAGTACTGATAAAGCTTACCCGAATGTCGATTTGGGCGTTATGCAAACTAAATATGAAGAATATTTAGGCCTAGAAAAATTTACACAAAATAAAAATGTTGTAACTGGTTGTATATCATTTTATCTTTATCAAAAGAATTATATTCAATTTATTTTTTAAATTCTCAGGGTAAGCATCAACATTTATTGGTATTCTAAAGTAAAAACAATATAATACTGTACACGCTGCTTCTTGAAATTATTTTTTCATCACTGTCCTTTTTGGCAAATGATTTGTGTAGTAGGCTAATAAATAATTAAATAGGCTGGGGAGGTATCATAATCAAGCTAGACTATGTAGATCTAACTAGTAAATGTTTTTATAAGCTTAAATTTAGTTCACAGTGTCTGTTCCTTGTTTGTGGGATGTGGCAAATGTAAGTTAATTTTTACTCACTTCTAATGCAGCGAGTTAGTTTTAACTTCCCAGATTCATTCATCATCTCTACAATGAAAATAATGAAAGAATAGAAAAAAGTAGGCCGTTCTATTTAATAAAAAAAAAAAGACATTAGGTTAATCTTTAAAATTTTACTTTAAAATCAGAGTTTCTTCCAGGCATCTCTTCGCCCCCCCCCCCCCCCCCCGAAAAAATTTACCGCCCCCCCCCCCCCTTGAACGAAATGAAATTTATATAATTTATATAGAAAATATATACTCTTTTAACAGTGTCCGCCCCCCCCCCCCCCCCGAAGAAAGAAGAAAGTCTACCGACCCCCCCCCCGAAAATTTCAAGTGCCCCCCCCCCCCGCGGAGAAAAAAAGTCTGGAAGAAACACTGTTTAAAATGTACTAAATTCAACAATAAAAGGGAAAAATAACACGATTAAATTACAGCGTTCGCTAGCCGGTTTTCGGTGGTTAACTTTATTCACAGGTGAGGGAATTATATTTTGCCCAGGCGTCAACCACGGACTAAGAACTGGGGGGGGGGGGGGTAATAGTCTTTTAGAAATTAAAATTTACTAATTATAATTTAACCGTGTTTTAACGCAAATTGTATAAGTCTTTGTCTATGGGGCTTCATCGTGGTGTAGACTTCATTAAGGCGACATCTATAAATGATGATTTTTATCTCCTCCTCCCAACCGTCACACATAACACATTGTCATAAAGAAAAAGCCAGACCTCGCCTAAATATCAGTTTTATTTTTTAAAACATCGATTGTTTCTAAAATATTTACATAATTTAATTTAGCTCCAAACATTACACAACATAAAGATCTCTAAATTTTTCCAATGTTCTTATATAACAAATTGCGTACCCGTCCGGCTGGTTGCTGCGAGCTCATAAGAAAGACTACCGCAAATATTTAAGAGGATTTCATCGATGCGTTACAAATCGTAATTTTTTTTTAGACGCGAGACATTTTTTTTTCTAAAACGGAAATATTAAAATGTAAAAAAAAAAATTCCAGCGCTGTATTTGTTGGATCATAGTTATAATGGCCGGGTTTGTCCACACTACCGCCAAGACGGTCCAAGGCGTGCTGTATAAAAGCCTTAAGTGTTCATTAATCACCCTCTGTAAAAGTGAGGTAGAGCACACCTCGTCGAAAATGCCTGATTCGATTCAGTGAATAATTATTTTAGCCTTACGTGTCCATAGTGTATCGCACTTTTTAAAACAAACGTAGGCAAAATGTGGCTTACGGGGGGGGTGGGTGGCAAATCGCATCCTGCTGGGACGCCGGAGGACGCGCCTTATTGATTTAGTGAACGATTATAGTAGTCTGTCGTGTTCTTAGTGGATAGCCTTTTTTTAAACGAACGTAGGCGTCACAGTGCTCACGGGGGAGCTCGGGGCGCTCTGTGTCATTCAGTCACGGATGCGCCTCGTGCAGTTTTACCGTTGAAATCAAGTAATAACCATGACACTCATCTATGTAGGACGCTCAATCAACGGATAAATGGATACCAAGTGCTAAGATAGCTACTCTGGAACTATGGTGCCAAACTGCATTTGACTTTAATTTTTATATACCGTTTATAGAAAAAAAAACCAACCCTGAGAGTATTTTTTTTTGGCAGAAACCTTGCCATGGGTATTTTCACCAAGTCCCCAAAGTTTCATGGCACTCGGATGAACAGTATAGAAATGCATCAAAGACACACACACACGCTTTCAATCAGTGACGTAGCTACCGTAAAGCTAGCGTAAGCAGGGCATAGGGGCCCAAGGCATTTAGGAGCCTTTTTCCCTCTTTAAAAAATGTTTGATTTTTAAATTGGAATTTTAATAATTGTTTTACATAATTTAAAAAAGAAAATGAAAATCCAGTTTCTTTTCTATTGTAGAAATCATTTAAATTTCCAAAAAGGACCCCAGTCCTTTCTTACTTTACAAGTAGTGGGGGTCGGTCGAACAGGGCCCATCCGTAGTAATATCACTATAAATAAACTTTGACTCTTTTGTGAGATCGGAATCCAGCACCCGTAAATTTCAATGAACTTATTAATCATTTTACAACATTAAAAGCATGAAAGAAAAATTTAAATAAATCATGAGCAGTTTTTTTTTAAAAAATGTGTTTGGTTAGTGGTGTCACAAAGTCGGGTGTTACCATGTGCGTTTACTAAAGGTGTCAATCCATAGTCCCCAAAAACTTTGCATTTTCCGTAGTGTGTCACTCCTCTCTCACTAATCTTTATTATTTTAGCTCGATACAACAAAGCTATGAAAGTAAGTTTTACAATGTTTAGTCATGGTGTCATGACGTCCATATGTTGTCATCCGATGCGGACTGCACCTCTGCCCCCGTCCTATGAAGCTACTGTGTTTGTTATACCGCGTTTACACTTACGACATGTATATTATACATTTCTAGAACACAAAGCCTGTCCAAAAGTTATTTTTATCTGGAATAATTTTCTCCACAGAACATGTATACTTTAGCGTTCACACTTACAGAAAATGTTATAGAACATTTTTATAAAACAAGCATGACCTTTGACCCGGAGCGTCTGCTATATACATAATGATGTAGTATATATACACAATCGTGTATAAAATATAAAAAGTACACTGCTTTCAATATATATATATATATATATATATATATATATATATATATATATATATATATATATATATATATATATATATATATATATATATATCGGGCTATAGAAATGTAGAAGCTTGTGAACAAAACCATTCGTTTTTCGAGAAAACACAAATAGGCGAAAAGAATTGCGCACCGAATGAACGCATACAAGTTATATTCATAGTGTGTATCATACAGCGGAAAATAGTACTTTATAAAGTAAATACTAATTAATATTAAAAAGTTAATTGAACATTTAATTAGGTCACATTTTGTGTCGTATTGCATTGTCATCGAGTCTTGACCAATGTTAAAAGTTAGGAAAAAAATCTATTGTTAGGCATTCACTTGGTGCGCAATTCTTTTCTCTACGAGGTTCTATTATATTTTTAAAAAGTTTAAGTAGTTAAAAAGTAAACTTTTTCGAATATTCTTACATAACACTACGGGGGATGGCAACTCGGGATACAGACATGATTTTTAATAGTGCGGATTATTATTAGTACGCTATAAATTCACATGCGCTTTTTGAGGAATCCGAAATAGCGTAAATTACTATTTCTGGTCAACGGAAATAACTCAAAATTTGACAGAAGGCAGAGAATTAGATCTTTTACTTACATGTGAAATATCATTTATCTATCTGAAACAGTACTCAATTTATAGGCTTTAGAAAAATTGAAAGTAGAAAAGTTCCACTTCCGGTTATCGGAAATCGCTGAAAAGTTGATATAGATCTGCAAATTTGATATAATACTTATATATGAAATTTCATTAACCTAGCTGTAACGGTACTCAAGCAGAGTTTCTTCCAGCCCCCCGAAAAAATTCTACCGCCCCCCCCCCCCCCGAACGAAATGAAATGTATATAATTTATATAGAAAATATATAGTTTTAACAGTCCGCCCCCCCCCCGAAGAAAGTCTACCCCCCCCCCCTCGAAAATTTCAAGTGCCCCCCCCCCCCCCCCGGAGAAAAAAGTCTGGAAGAAACACTGTACTCAAGTTATCGTGTTTACAGACATAGACACACACACAGAACAACGGACAAGATTGCAAAACTATGTTTTTTCAACTCAGGGAGGTTTAAAACGTCGAGATTTGCAAAAATCTCTCTTTTTTTTGCACGATTACAATACTTTCTTTATACTTTTTATACGAGAAAGTAAACATGTATTAAAAATATTGTCTATATCCCGAGTTGCCATCCCCCGTAGTGTTAAATAAGAATATTCGAGAAAGTTTAGGGGAGATCACTCGCGGTTTATTTAATGTCGAATCGTTAAAAATATTTCGAATAAAATAAATTATAGGCTATATTCTAGAATCTAGATTAAGCCTAGAATATTTGGATGGACTGCTAGTGTGCTAGAACCCCTGGGAGTGTAGTGTACGTCATTCATGAACGACCCCAAAATATAATTGGCATGAGTGTCGTTCTTCACCATTAAGTTGTTATTAAGGTTAGGTTTAAGACGTTTAATTTATTGCGATACATGTGGGGTGGTATTGGTGGTAGTGGGTCAGACGTTCCGAATGAGATTAACTACTGCGTTTTAAAACAAAACCACGCAAAGGGTCACACATAGCTTGCGTGAAAGTGAAAAATATACCTGGGCTTAGTTAGAGCCAAGAGACTGTAACGCGGCTAAAGGTCAAAGTTCAGTTTACAATGATTTGGCTATAGTTTGCGGAATAACACGGTTGTCGTTCGTGCTTTTCAAGGTCTTTGAAGTGACACGGTAGTGTTGGACAAAATAAACTTAGGCTGTAGATCTAGAATCTAGTGGACTAGATCTAGACTACATCTATTTAGACCTGTATTTATATTATTAAAGACATTGAAGGTGTAACGTTGGATTCCTTCAGTAGTTTAAATTAATCCAAGGTAACAAACATTAAACTTTAAACATAGAGTCTACACTCTCTCTACAGTGTCATACAGTTCAGTATTACTAGATCTAGATCTATAGTAATTTAGTATTAGACCCTCTAGTTACTATTATTTTATTAGGTCTATTATTTTTATATTAATTTCCTACTTTAATATCTAGATTATTTCTTCTTTTTTTGGAATGTTTTAGTTTTAGAAATGAGTTAGACAAGTGTCATAAAATAGCTACTATGCATGAATAGTTGCAGCTGTTGGGGTGTTTCTTTTCCATGAACTGAAACCAGAAGATCTGATTCCTCTTATCTTACTTAGCTTGTAATAAAGTTGTAACTCAATGCAAAGAAAATGCTTGCCTGACTGCTCGTAACTAAATTGTGTATGTCAGGGCATTCGTAAGTCAAAGTAAAACTGTTCTAGTCTTGTAACCTCATGTTTAATATTTTGGTCAGAAATGATAAGGGTTAGGGTTAGTGTTGGTTGAGGCCACGCTGGGGGGGGGGGGGGGGGGGAACGACGACGACAATCTGTCCGGGATTCAAAGGGTCGATTCTAAATATCATCCCTGTGCTGTTTGTTCTACCTGTGCCAGGCAGTGTTTCTTCCAGACTTTTTTCTCCGGGGGGGGGGGGGGGGGGACACTGTTAAAAGTATATATTTTCTATATAAATTATATAAATTTCATTTCGTTCGGGGGGGGGGGGGGGGGGGGCGGTTAAAAAACTCTGGTGCCAGGTCATTTTGTTCTACTAACCTGTAATGTTACACTCCTTTCAAAGGGTCGATTCTAAATATCATTCCTGTGCTGTTTTGTTCTACATGTGCCAGGTAGTTTTGTTCTACTAACCGTACTAACCTGTAATGTTACACTCCTTTTAAAGAAGATTCAGTTTTTTGTGGCATTATCTGAAACTGGTAATACACTCTCTATATAATATAAAAAATATTCTAGATAAAAAAATAGTTCTACTTTTACTTAGAAATATAATTTTGACCATAACACTAACTGAATCAGAGTTAGCAATACTACTTACAGTCTACTAACTCAGTAACTGCATCCTACAGTGTCTCTTTCTAGATCTATGTTGAGCGTAACCATATTTTGATGTCTTTTCTCATCCATACTGTGAAGCTGTCTTTTCATCTTTTCTTATCCATTCTGTGATGTTGTTCCCATCTATTCTTATACATTCTGTGATGTTGTTCCCATCTATTCTTATCCATTCTGTGATGTTGTCTTCCCCATCTTTCTTCTGAATGCCATTTTTAGCGCTATTTCCATTCTGGAGAATTGCGTTTATTAACCCGTCATTTCTCGATGGATGGGTGTGTGTTCGCAGCTTTAAGTTGTATCTCCTCCTCAACGAAGCAATATCGAGGACTAGTTCCAAAAGCAATTATGTTAAGCAAGTTACGAGGATGATAGTGGGCCAAAAAAATTCCGGAATTCCTTCCTGGATTTCCCAGAAAAGCCAAAAAAACCTCGAAAAAATGCAGTTTTTGGCCCATATCTCGGCAACCAGACCACTTAGCGACTTGAAACATTTACCAATCGATTCCTGCCATAATTTAGAACAATATTGCCGAAGAAAGTTTTCAAAAATATCCTTTCGTTCGGTCACAAAATTTTTTTTAAACTTACATTATACATAATACACTACAGTACTATATAGCAATATAGTTATATGACTAAAAACCATTGCGCGCCTACTGAACGTGATGGCGCAGCCATGGAACGTGATGACGCATCTATTGAACGTGATGACGATTTAAAATTGTTATGGATAACATAAGGAAGTTGCGCTTAAATTGTCACTAGACTTTTTAAATAACTTGTTTTGTTTTCTTAGATTTAATTAAAGTTTAAAAAACAAATTACATAATTTAAATATACAACTACTCTTTTGTTAAGATGGATATTGTTTAGTATTATGGGTAAGGATATTGATATTAAATAATCAAATATCAAGGTTTTCTGAAATTACTGTACTCTTTAAATAGGTAGTGCTTAGTTGTTATGGTTTAATATCTTATTAACAAAAAATTAGTTTTGTAGCTCTATGAGGAACGTAGAAGTGCCTCTATGTTTTATCCATCTAGTGTTTACCCTCTAGGTTGTTGACTTTCACAGTTCACAGGATAGTGCACTGCAAGGAGTTAAAACATTGCCTGTAGTGTAGAAATAGTGTCTGTAGTGTAGCTTTTTCACACTCTATCTCTCCCTTCCCCCACTATGTTGTTTCTTTATTGGTTTTTCTTTCACTAAGGTATTCGCTTTTTCTTATATTATTCTTTAAATTATTATTTTTTTAAAATACATTTTATAATTTTATCTATATTGCAGATTTAAATACATTGAAAATGTCTGTGATGTTCCATATTCTTACTACTGAAGAAACTCAAGATCTTAAACTTCAGCTCCATTTAGAGTTGCCTGGGTCTGCAAAAGTAAGAAAATCCTCCTAAATAAAGATTACTGATACCTCACTGAATAAGTATTATATTTTCAATATAAATAATTCATGTATTAGATTTAATTTATTACAGTTCTGCTTCAGGCTCACATAACAACAAAAAGATTTTGCACATATTATAATTACATTTTATACTAAGCCTCTCACCGTACATTATGATGTATAATTTCTATTTTAAAAACACCTCCTTATATTTTAACATTTCTTGATACCACCCTCCCACATCTTCTACATCTTGAAGTTCTAGGGCAGTGTTATATATCTGTGCCCTAACAACAGAACAAAATGATAATCAGAACCCGTTTTAACTTGAGTTAAACACTATTTTCAATATTAAACAGAAAATTAGTTTTTTAGGTTTAAGAAGCCTTTTTTAAAATGTATAGTTCTTTTTTAAACCTAACCCTCAGATTTACTACATATTGTGTAATCACCTTGACAACCTACTAAAAGGATTTGAAGTGGTAGTAGATCAGTGGCCTCAGTGGAATTGCCTTTTACTAAGACCACAGAACAATGATTTAGTAAGTCATTACAATTGATCATAGAATATAGCCCATAGACATGTTTTAGCTATTATATTCACCTCATTTTAATCGATTTTAAAGATACAAATTTTATGCTAAAATATGAATGAATGAATACTACATTATTTTATTAAAAATGTGAATTATTAAAAAATGAATAAATTTGAATTGTGTTTGTTATGGCAATACAAAAATATTTTGATAATTAATCCACACTACCAATTTTGTAATCTTAGGTGCCAAGCTATTTCCGACACTACTATATGTGTCACACTCGAAGTATAAAAGATTTCAAATTTTTTATACAACGTCCGTCTATAGTAGATTGGACAAAGCCTGCCATATTTACAGGTAAAGAAATTTTCTAGTATGCGAGCTTACTGATTATTGTTTATATTTATATTCAGTTAAATTTTGCAATTTGTTTGGGTTTTTTTTATAGAATTTAAAAATTGATAACTGCAACACGCACATGAACATGTAAAATTTATGTTAATTTTAAACATTTACATTCAAGGAGTTCCATATGATGTTGTTGGCTTAATTCAAGAAAAAAGCAGAAAAGAATTAGGTGTAGTCACATCTGTAGAGCATAGATTTATGTACGCTTGGATTAAACCAGAACCACCTCAACCAGCTGTGTGAGTTTTTAAAAATATTCTTTATATTTACAGGGTTTTTTTCATTAATGTAACCATAAAATTATTCACTGTTTTTATTGTCTTGTTACATTTTATTGGCCAGATTAAATGTGAGGTCCTTGACCTACTTTGTCTGAAGTTTTTATACTCAGTTGGTAGTTAATGTAGATAATAAGACAAACACTCTTTAATCAGAAACATTTTGGAAGATGGCCAATATCTTTGATCTTATTGAGAATCAATTCAATGATGATGATGTTATATTATTAAAAGACAAAAACCATATTCTGGTTTAAAAACTGCTGTTCCTTTCTCAGTTTTATTGAATGGTAATACATTCACACATACAGTGTATTTATATACACAACCATATAGCGATTTTTTATATAGCAGTCTTTTCCAGTAAACTTGTCTAATTCAAATTCAATAACAAACTGATATTAGTATTGGGCCAATTATGTTGTATTGTTAGGGTTGGAACAAAATAGTAATTTAACGGTTAGTGTTAGTATACTCACAAATCAAAGACAATTAGAGGTAGAAACTATTGGAAAGTGGTAAGTAATTGAGGTGTAAAAAGTAATATTAATGTTAATTCAGCTACCATTTGTATGTTAATTCAGTTAATTTCTTAATTTGTCAAGTTACCATGTTAGTCCCTTACATTACTAAATGTGTATGGTGAGGATATGTTAAAAGCATACCAAGAATACTTTTTTTTGATCTTTGTAATTGTGTATATGATGCCATCTGTACTATCTCAACCTTATCAATGCAGTCTCTCTGCCTTTAATTCATATTGTAATCACTAAAACCAATGAACTCACTATTCTTTTTACAAGTAATACCACCCTTACAGTGTTAAACCTCATAACATATTATATAGGTTGTTTCTAAGTCTTTATTATATTTTGCTTGGTTTCATAAGTAACTCCTTGTGAAGTATGAATTTTGTTAAAATCTTTGGTCTAGTGTTCCTGATCATCTTGAGCTAACAGTGCTAAAGAAAGACCATGCTGAGACTGTCTGTGATCACTGGAAACATTATCGCACCAACGATGGACTTGTGGAATATTTTCGTCAAGTAATTGAACATTTTGAGAACAGTGCCATTATTACAAAAGATGGTAGATTGGTTGCTTATATATGCATGCAGTTCAATGGGTCCATGGCAAACTTGTTTGTGGATCCAGAATTCCACAGTGAAAATTTAGGTGTTATTCTATTAAGAGATCTCACTAGAAAACTTCTGGCTAAACATCAAACAGTCTATGGTTTTATTAAAACTAAAGACTCTTCATTTATAACTACTTGTCAGAGTATTGGTTTTTCATGGGTTCCACAAGGAAGTATGTCCTGGGTCCATTACCAGCCTCGCAGTGTAATCATAAATGACAGAATCCCAAAGGTTCCATCCTCTAGCAAAATTTCAGAAAATGGGTCTCATAATGATTATGAACATCCTAGCAAAGAAAAAGATTTATTCCTTAATGCTTTACCACTGTCTTGTAATGAATGTTCTGGAATTCCTGCTATTGGCAAATCAGCCTGTGTGCATGTAAGCATTAGTTAAGATGTTTAGTTTCATCATCAGAAGTTATTTATTCCATCTCTGCATATCTTAGTGTCAGTTACGACAATCTCAAATCATCATAATAGAAATTAAAAGAAGGGAAACCATTGTTTCAGTCCCCTAAATATCATGAGTAAAAACAAGTAATAAAACTTATAAAACTAATAATACCATGGTTAGTGCAATAATTTTATAAATTTGTTCACAAAATAGTTAAACATCATTGTTTTATTTCCCTCAAATGCAAACATTCCTTACACTAAGATTTACTGCCAGTGATGATTTATAGTGTATAGATAACCTCAGCTTACAAGGCTGCTAATTGATCCCCATCTAGGATTTAAGATGGTTAGATTTGTGGGATGTAAGTCCATTTGAAATTGGTGCTCCATTTATAAAGCTGTTTTTTTTTTAAAAAGTTGAATCATTTTGTTGTGAAAATGTCTGTGATAATTGATTACATGGGTTATGTGACTTGCACGTTATTAAGTTTTCATGAAAGCAGACATTCATTCTGGTAAAATTAATCATCATTCAACTAAATTCTTTATCACCATTTTCTACCTATTTATTTACTGTTGATAAATTATTGTTATATTTTACCTATTGATCACATTCAAAGTTATGTGTTGCACTAGTATTCTGATGTTACTTTTCACCATATTAACTGACTGACTGTAGTGTATATGTAACTATATACTATATAAAACTTCAAATAATCTTTACAATAACTTAATAATTTATCAGGTGCTTATCTTAATTTTATACAATTAATATGACAAATTATCATTCTTGATGACATGAAAGTAACTAATTTTTCATTAGATGTCTGTGTAAATGTTTAGACAATTGCTTTGTCATTTTATAAAAACAGTAATTATTTCATTTACAGTAATTATCTCTTTAATATTTTACAATATAGTAATTTTACATAGAATTGGTAGTCATGAAATTTAAAAAGTAAAATGAATACTTAAAGTACTTTACATTATAGTGTATTTTATATTTTGTTGTTGGAATTTATTCTTTCTCAAAGGAAATGCTATCTTTTTGAAGAATGAAAGATTTATATTGGTAAAATCATTAAGGTTTTTTCCAACTGTTTTTATTTGTATGCTATTTTACTGTTGCTGATTTGTTTTCACATTTCAACCTGTTCACACAGTAGGTTTAATTTGTTGATATAAATAGCAATAGATAAAATACAAAAATTACTGCAACAAATTTTATATTAATCAAAGCAAAGAAAGCCACAGATTAATATGAAGTAAAGGAATGTAACTGATAATAAAGGCTAATGTGATGCCCTTTTTTAAATTGACATTTATAAAATCAAAGTTTTTTTGATACATGAATATATTTCTAGTCCTGTTATTGTGTTATTTCAAAATGGGAAATATAATTTTTGCCTTGTAATTATTTGTTTTAATGAATGCATTTAAATGTATATATGTATGGACATGACCAATCAGTGGTGTAAATTAAGCCTATGCATCTTAAATTTGTACATGTTTGTATAGACAACATTATTAAAAAATAATGCAAACCCTAAAAGGTAAATAAATTGTAAGATGAAAGCAAATTTAATTTCTTACTTTTTATTGCTGATTAACTTACTGTATTTACTCATTGAGCTAAACCCAACCCTCCTCCACTTTTTGTAAAACATGCTCATATAGATTTTGTATGGTCAGCAGATGATGCAGTAACTACTGTTTCATTCATGGTTTCCAATCTCACTCTCAATTCCCCTAAACTCTTTCCCAAGAAAGAAATATTCTAAAACAGATGAGCTTCTGCATGAGCATACAGTAGTTAAATAATGGAACTTTTACATACTAATAAACATGCATATGTAGTTAAATAGAAACATATTTTTATATGTTGTAAATTTCAATTTGAGAATTTCGCCCATTATTATGGCAATTGAGATGGTAGGAAGAGATTTCTAACCCCATTCAATACATTTTTTTGTCTTTGGTGTTGGTAATTTTAATTTCTTTTTTTATTTGATTTAAACATTTTTTAAATTGAGTGCTTGTTTGTTTGTAGCTATAAACCCATAAATGATTGGTTTAGCAGTGTCGTCCCTTTGCACTGTTAATTGACCTTCTTTCACATTAAAATACTTTTTATATTTTATTGCCCATAACTTGTTGGGTTTGTAAACTTAATTAAGATTGTTGTAATTGGCATTCAAACGATCACACATTTTTTCTTATGTAATTTTATTTTAAATCATTTAACTTGTAGTGCATTCATTCTTCAATGCAAAGAATATGTAATTGGTTATAATCAAGATGCTTTTTATATATTTTTAAAAACTTTATTGTCAAGCAGGGAACATTTATAAAAACACATGTACATTATTTAACATGAGGGTAAGAAATGGAGTTCATTTAGTATAGTTTGAATTGCTACATCTCATATTTAGCCATGACTTGTGAGCATGTCATTTTAATAATTTGATTCAGCATTTCTGTAGAGGGGTCATCTTTGTAAACAGTGTGTGCACAAAATTATTCTTTCACATTCCTTACTTATACATTTAATCAAGTTTTTTAAATGTCTACTTTGTTAAATATAATTTGAAGATAAAATATTTAGAAAAATTAAATTCACTGTATAGTAAATAGGACCTCCTTTAATGTTTTTTTTAAAATGACAATCTTATACCATTAGCTTGGTTAGATTTAAAAAAAATTTTTTTACTAGGCATAAACATAAAGTAAATGTAGTGTATAGGGGACACAGCATAAATGAATAGCTGAGTCCAATGGGTTTTTATGTCAATTTGAAAATGTTTTACATATTTTTAGTTGGTTTCTCGATGTCAAATATTATATTTTTAAAATAATTTTTGTATTTCTTAGTTTTTTTTATTCTCTGCACATTCAATTTCATTTAATATGATTTATGTACCAGTCATTTTTAATCTTACAAGTGTCCCCTTTTTATTATTTAGGCTCTATATCTCTTTACTAATACTTGTATTTGAAAACAAAACAAGGAAGCAAAATAAGATCAACAGTGATGAATTTGTATTAATAAAAAAAAATGGCAGTACATGGAGTTATCGAAATTTGTCTTGATTTTATTATCATTTATTAATCTGTTTTTTGTTTTCAAGTTATGAAAACCATCAAGGTTAAAAAAGAAAATCCAGAAAATATAAATTAGTTCAATTTTATAGCATGTTTAAAACAAATTTACCCATGACATTTGTTCATGCCAAATAAAGTTAATTCCCTTAATTTATTTTTGCTCATGCTTTTTTAATTTGAATTCAAGATTTTTATCACCATTACTAGTACTATTATTATAACCAGAATGACATCAACATTAATTGTAAAGGATTATTTGTTTTACTATTTATGGGTTGTTACAACAGAAAAATGATGGGTTTTTAAGTTTGCAACCAAATATTTTTATAAATTCTTTGTAATTGTTTGGGTTTGTTGACTATTATGTAAATAGTGTGTAGATCTCAGTTAAAATGTTGATTGCGGTTTTAGTTGTTTTTGGTGCAATGACCAACACAGGTACATGGTGATCTAAATACTTATGATACATTTCCCTATGGATTGAATTAAAAACTTGAAGTCAATTACAACATTGATTAGTAAGAATCAGATGCTAAGAGTTAAACCTATTTTGAAATAATTCTCAAAGTTGCCGTCAGGAGACATTGTCATATTAACAGATCTTAAGCCATGTATCACTTACAATTAAATATTTATTTAAAAGAATTCCCAAATGATACCTGTGATTTTGACAACATATAATGTACATGACTTAATTTAGTCTTGATGAAATGACTAAATATTATTATAATTTATGTTTAGAATAATAGTGACTATGCATAAATTTGATCAGTTTTAGATATAATGATCAATGAATGTTCTCATTGTTTCCTAATTATGGCTTAAGTGTAAAATAATGTATTCTATGCTCTGTAGCTGATCTATAAATAAATATTTGTTATGGTTCTCAAACTTTTGTCTTGAAAATTATTTCTTAAGATATGTCATTACACATTTTTGAAATACGTTTACAATTATGGTTGCTTATGTCCTTGTTTACATATCTTAAATAACCTATAGCATTTTATCACTTCATCAAAGTCAACTAGAAGGATTTAAAACTTCCTGCAAAAAATTTCCATTGACATAAGATTTGTACACAAGATTAAAAAAAAAAACACAACTAAAGCCAAATATATGCCAACTATTTTTTAATTAAAATAATATTGCTGTAACATGGCTGCCTTGTACAAGTACATATATTTTTTTTTAATAAAGGAATAGTGTTAAAACTTCTATATAAATCTAAAGTAAAGTATCTAAAATTGGTATTTCAATCAAAAGACAAATGAAATTTGATTTGTTACAAATAACGATTTGTGCTAATTCAAGATATTTAGTTAAAATGAGAGCTATATCTTATTAAAAAGTAAGCTGAGAAACAAAAATGCTCAATGTGCAATAAAGTTTTCATATGAATGAACTTTACTACAACTGGATGAAATACAAATGTTAAGTAGGCTTGTATAAATAAATAAATTTCTTCCCCAACCCCCACAGGTATTTTTTAAGTTAAACTGAAGCAACAGTTTTACTTTGTATTGAAGTTTATAACAGTTTTCCTAATTTTAAGAATATTCTAAAAATAGTAGATGAAAGGTAAATAATTATATAATACAAAGCCATTTATAGCTAAAACAAATTTAAAAGTCTTTGTGTAAATAATGCAGTATCTGATATTAAAAATATCAACTATAACTTAATGATTGCCTAATTTGTAATTTTGACTAACTACTTAATGAAATTGAATGCATTAACATAATTCTTGCTTCAGTCACTCTACTCATAATAAACAGTCATTTTAAATCATTACACATTTTTAAAATATAACATATCAATAAACATATAAACATATCAAGCGTAAAGAAGGCTTTTGTCAACTTGCTGTGCATTCCATATAAAAGTTATTCAACTGTCTATTTGTAAATGAAATACAAATCTTGCCAACACAACTTAGTAAACAATTAGGTATCACAGTTTTAAAACAGAATGAAACTTGCAAAGCTGAGCTTTAAAGAAAAATTGCATAATTTAAAAATATATACATGGTAGTCAACATGTACATTTTAATTGTTGCATGTTTAATACAAAAAAGTCTAAAATAATTTTTAAGAAATGATAAATATGCACACCATAAGGTTGTATTTAATTTTCTTTATACAGCAACATGAAATTATATCCTTAAAGTAATATTTAAGTGCATGGACAAGGATCCTATGAAATAAGGAATGTGTGTCACTTATCCTGTTAAGACAACCTTTACACTCTAGTATTAGTCATATTTCTTTGTTCAGCTGTGCCAATCAGGAAAAAACAACATAGGTGGTTAAGTCAGGTATGTGAGCACAATCAAAAGAAATAATAATAAGATTAATTACAGGTATAGAACAAATAAGAATTTGATCGAAACCAAAGTTATTTACAATTTTGCTAATTTAAAATTTATATGTTTTCGTGGCAAATGTAGAATGATGTAACGAAATGGTAATGGCGCAATATAATCTTAAAACATGTATTTGACTTTCCTAAATAGCTATTTTACTAAATGAATCTATAATTCATAGAATCTCTGATCAGTTATTACTTAAAGATAATCTTTAATCAAATTATGTAATTAAAATGGATCTTTAGTAATATCATCATGTTTTGGTATTATAATGAAATCTATAACATTTCTTCCATCATTTTGCATTTCAAGCTGGACAAGAATGATGTGTAGATAAAATATGTAAGTAAAATTTAAAAAACAGTATTAAAATCACAGAATGCTTTTTTTTAAATGAATAAATTGACAAATTAACTGCCAGGTACAAGCATAAAAGCAATGACTCAAGTAATGACAAACTAGCAAGAAAGATATTTTTTCAAGTAGCGGAATACTCTTTACATGGAATTGAATTATTGTAGTAGAAACAACCATTTCAAGGAAATTATTCCCAGTATAAGAAATAATTACGAACAGTATTAATTTTCAATTAATCCACTTGCACTGAAACCTAATCTTATCACTGCTCTGAGGTCATCACTTAAACCCGGTAAGAAGATCAGCTCTGCAGAATTCGCCAGTGTCCAAGTTTTTCGCCATTAGCTGGTTTGGACTTGCATTAGGTATGTTGTGTTTTACATAAAGCCTATGAAGACAGCAGTCCTGTTGAGGTGAAAAATAAAAATTTTATTTTATGACAAGTTTGTATTTATTTTGGTAAATTTGAAAGTAATAAAAAAATATATTCAGCGACAAGAGATTACATAAATAAAATTCATATGGTTTCATTTTTGCTATGCCATATTTTATTTAATTAAAACTGCAAATAGTTGTATTAGCAATGTGCCATCCTTTTAAGTCTAGTGAGGCATGGTGAAGTGACTGAACTTACTTTCAAGTACTGAACAGCCACTGGGGAGACATTGGCGCAACCATTTAGATAAATCTCCTCCAACTGAGGACAGCTGCTGGCTAGACAAAAGATGCTTTTATCTGTGAGGGCATGCAGACCAGAGACACACATACTTTTAAGGGGACAGCACCCACTCAAGTAACAAATAGCTGTATCTGTTACCTGAAAAAGAAATTCATTATGTATCACTCTTTTTTATTGTGGAAGAGAACAAAGGTGATGACTATTTCTTAAATCAGGTTGCGTATATTTTGTACAAGTATTTATTTTAAAATATTACATTGCTTAATACAATATTTCTATTATTAAAAAATGAGATGAAATTTGATTAATGTCTAACCTGCTTGCAGCCTTTCAGATTAAGCTGGGTCAGTTTAGGTGAGTGGTCAGCCAGTGTGATAATCATGGCATCTGTCACTGAGGTCAGGCCTGACACATCCAGCATGTCAAGGTTAGGACAGCTGAACATGATCTGGTCTAGCAAATTAATATCCATCTGAGGAATACGGAAAAAGATAGTAATTGCAACCAACATAAAGTTGATAAAGACAACTAAAAGAGAAAAGTACTTTAACAATATAGTAGTAAAACTTTTTGATCTTTACTCTAATGAAACTCCGACATTAATTAAAAAAAAAATTCCGAGTTTACGTGATTTTACAGCAGTAACATTCCAACACCATTTACCTAATTTGAAGGTTGGTGGTTACCACAAGAAAGTAAAGTACAGAGCGAGCAATGCTGCAATGATAAAACTCTTACACTGTACAGGATATCTTTTTTGAAAACTTACAATCTTAATGAAACCCTAAGACTCTTGCTGCTAATATTGACTGCCAAACACTTGACTCGACTCCAAAACTTATTTACACTTCTCTAAATACTAATAGCCTAATCTCAGAATCTAGTGATATGACTAGTCTAAAGCAATGAACAACAACTTGTAATCACCCACAGCAACCCACATCTCTAGTAGGGTAAAGAAGTCATTTACAAAGGAAGTATAACACCAAAACAGCATCTTGATATATTTCAATGTTGTTAATCTACAAGGGAATATTTTTTAAAATGTTTTTCCTTACCTTTTTACAGTTAGCAGCAAGTGTCTTAATCTTAGAAGCTCTTTCAGGATCAGTGAATATTGGCATGAGTGTTGAGCCAGTCACTTCCCTTAGCATGCTGATATGGAGAGCATCTAAATGTGTACAATATTTGGCGACTGATTTTAGTCCTCTGTCTGTGATTTCATTCACACCAATGCCACTTAGATTTAAATCAAGAATTCTGTGGCCAATTTTCTCAACAATCTAGATTAGAGAAAAGCACTTAAAAAGTTATCTTATAGAAACTAAGCTTAAACAAACAAATGTAAGTGAATTTAAGATGCAATAATAGCCCACATAATGTTGTGTAAAAAGAAAATTTTTTGGCTAAAACTTTTTAATTTTGTGTTATAGATGTTGCGATGAAATGAGAAGAGATCAACCTCAGCAAATGTATACATGTAATAATAAAACATTCAAGCATTCTTTTAATTAGAAAACAAAACCAGTGAAATTATACTTTTATATAGATATTATTTAAAACTTTTACCCAAGACTAGATCCAAACATTAAATGTCGACAAAATAAATTAGTTACAGATGTGCTAACAATTTGAATCTTACTCGTAAAAATGTATCATCTGTAACAGATGTCCTAACCATCTGAATTGTATTTGAGATAATGTATCATGTGTAACAAGTGCTAACTGACTCTTACTTGTGACAATGTATCATCTGTAACAAATGTACTATCCTAAACTTACTTGTGATAATGTATCATCTGTAACAGCTGGAACACCGCAGAGTTTGATTGCTGTGACACGAGGTAAACGAGTGATGCACTCAACAAGAATGTCCCCATCTTGTAGCATCATCCCACACAGGGAGAGTGAGGTAAGAGATTGTGGGAGGGTCCATAACACCTCACACTCAGGAGGTGAAGATATACGACTGCAGTAGCCCAAATCTAATGTCACCATTTGAGTGCATGCTTGAAACAGCTAGAAGAATGTTAAATTAAAAAAGAAATTATTTATACTAAAAAATTTGACTTATTTGAAGCATTAATGTGGTCAGTTCTATGACCAGCGGCCTTTACTTTCCCTAATAAGAAGTACCCATAAGAGCTAAGTAGATTCAAGGACCTCCTGTAGATCTGAGTTCAGGAGCTGAACTTCAGGCTTTCAGGTTAGTAATTGTGCCCTCTACCACTCAACCATGCCAACCAATATTATTGCACAAAAGGAGAAAAATCCAACAACTGGTTATAAAATATTTACCTTAATTAATGATTCTTTTCCAATAGATTTTGCTCCATTGAGGTCAAGTCTAAGAAAGTAAAATTGTACATTTTAGCATAATTTAATATATCAGATACAATACTAGCAAAATCGCCTGAAAACAATTTTAAATGTAATGAAATATTCTTACTAAGTCAGACATTTGCATTCCACTTGAGTTTTACATTAAATAATATATATTTATATACATATATATATAATTACATAATTAAAAAAAAAGAATCCTAACTTTGAGTTGTTTTAGTAAAAGTTTATACAGTATTAAAGCTAAAGTTTACTATGATGTTCATTTAAATAGCTTTTACTTTTTTAGATTAGGGCAAAAATCTGCAAGTGACTCTATACTTTCATCTGTTACCATTTGAAAGCTGGTGTTAAGTTCTTCCTGCAAAGAAAAGACACCAGTAACAAGAACTTAAATAAAATAATCAAATCAACTTAAGTGCTAAAAAATACAATATTTTGTTTTAAAAAATGAAAAGAGTTTTAGAACAATTTACATTTTAAAACCCAATATTTTTTAAAGACATTTTTTAAAAATTTCTCAAGCACTTTACTTACTAAAGACCCTTTTAAGCACTGGGCAATGACTGGAATGAGTTCATGATTTATGGATATCTTCAGCACTCTGATTGAAGGGTTGTGAGACAGAAAATTTGACAGTGCTGTAGATGATATTTCAAATTGTTTTTTAACAACACACACAGCAAAGTGGTCTTTTGTTAAAACTGGGACAAGTTTACATTTATAGCATTTAATTACTAAAATTTATTTCTGAAAATGGCTTTGTTTAAATTGCAATCTATAATGAACTTACTAGCAGCATCAACCCAAACTTTACTAGAGTTGTAATAATGCACAAGTTTCAGAGACCATAATTTTGGTGCTACTATATGGTTAAGAGCAGCCTGAGTCATCTGTTTTAAGTATTTGAAGTGAAGAACTAACAAACTAGACTGTCCTGAAGTAATGGCTTGAATCCCAACATCTACAAGGGAGCATAGTAATAGAGTAATAGATAAAATGTAATTCTTGTAATGCGTGTAATGCATGAAGCCAGTAACTGTTATATAATAAAACTGACTACATAAAAAAATTCATCTTACTATTATTCTCAATTATTAAATCTAGTTTGTGATTATGTATCGGCATAGATAGTATGAAAGTAACTAACTCATTAAACATCACAATAGTGAGTTTAAAGTATGAGGTTCATACTGATTGTTTAATGATAGTCTTCTTAGTAATTAAATAAAGTAAGTTTTCATAATTAATGTAACAATGTCAAACTATCTCCTCACCTGTTACATTGTCAAGTTTATTTAAAACTAAAACTTCTAATTTACAACCAGATTGTCCTAATAACTGGAGAACTGGATCTGTGATTTGAGAACATCTGAAATTGATTCATTTTAATTTTTAAAACATCATTTTCATAAATCAGATTGTATAATTTTTATCTATACAAGTAAATACAAGTAAATAAAATTAAATACCTTTGTAGATTAATGTGCCTCAGTGAAGAAGTAAAAAGATTGCTACTTATGCAACCTAAATGTTCAGGGAAAAACCTATCATGGCAAGAAAGTCTCTCAATAAGCATTTCCTTGTGTAATGTTGTTAAATTTGAACCTAGATCTGGATATCGATGTAAATTTTGTTGAACACACTGAAGGCACAAGTCACTTAGTTTCCAAACCATTTTTTGGTTTTCAAATTCTTATCTCAAATGATTTCTGAAGAGAAAGAAAAACCAGGATTATAATAAAATAAAAGTGTTTTTAAAAAATTAAATTTAAATATTTTCTCAACTTATTAAATTAATCAACAACAAAAAATAAAAAAACTTGAAAAAAAAAAAACTGAAAATGTTTTCAATGACCTAAAAATTTCTTTGTCAAAGGGTAGGCTTCCACTTGACTAAGTCAAGTGCATTAAAATGAGAGTGAAAGTGAGATCATTGAAAAACCCAAAAACAGGCATGTAAGGATACCGCTACAACAATTTTAATGACCATTGGTTAAGATTTGGTTGAGAATATAAATAAAAAGTGTTTAGATCAGATGGTTACTGTCCTTCCCCCAATTCAAAATGCATAAGTGTTGTCTTCTTCTTCTTCTTCGTTCTTAATTATTAGTGTTGAAGGGGATTGAGATTTATCTGCCAGTGGGTTTGAACTCGAGACTTTGTTCGAATTTATCAACCATGAGCTTTTTGCCGACTCGACCACGCCTTCAACACAATTAAGCGTTACGTGTCAACCGGTTATGCGCCATAGAGGCCATTGACTCCGATTTCAGCCTGTTTTTCTTTTTGGATTTGCTTCCATAGCCTTTGTCCAACCAAGAACAAACTACAAGGCAGCAGTTGTTTAATTTTGGAGTTGTCTCTCCTAGAAGAGTGGCTGTCCCCAGCTAACGAGCCTCATCAGCCCGAGGGTTCGAACTCGAGACTTTTTGGTTTAGCAACCATGAGCTTTACCGACTCGACCACGCCGATTTGTTTTCTTTTTTTAAACTTATCACTATAACTATTAGGCTTCTTAATTTTGAACTTAATAAAACATTGGGGGGGGGGGGGGGGGGGGGAAGGGGGGGGGGAAGGAGGCGGTCATCCATAAATGATGTCATGCTTTACAAAATGGTAACAAAACAATCCAGGCTACTCTCTAAAATGCAGCCACACCTCAGTCAAAAATGATTTTAATCTATAAATATAAAGAAAAGTGGTTGGGTGCCTGATCTGGCACCGCAGGCGCTTCAAATTTAGCAGGCTCCTGTACAAGGGAGATAACTTTTTAAAGTAATAATTTCAAATTATTTTTATCCTATTTTCAACAAAAACAGAAAATAATACAGTATATCATTTTTTTAAATAAGAAATTTGTTATAAATTAAGTTATATATTGTAATCAAATTGTAAAGTTCCCTTTCAAACCTGACGATCTATGGGGCAAGAGAAGTAGAGTTCACTTGTTTCTATGAAGGGATAGTGTAGTCAGCACTATGCCCAGCCACCTTTACTTTCCCAAACGTGAGTTAGGTACCAATTAGAGTTGGGTGGACTCAGGGACGGTCTACTGACTTACCCAGATTCGAACTCACTAACGGGTTAGCAGTCTAGCTTTCTACTGCTAGGCCACAGGGGGGGGGGGGGAGAGATAATTGTCCTTCACGAGCTACTGATAGTGTTTTAAAGCAAAATATTTTCATTAGCAGTATTGGTAGTGTCGAATTCACAAATTATGTAATTCCTAATTTGTGAATTCGACAAATTTAAGTATTAACTTAAGCAAGTGACAAAGTCAAAAGTTAGATCTAGATCTAGAATTAAAGTTGGTAATCTATCGTTTTAGGTACGTAAAATCAGCCGAGAATAGTAATGTGACAAAAAGGTGACTCATTAAATTTTAGTAATTATTTCATATTTTTAGGAGGATTTATATTTTGAGTATTACAAAAATGTTTTCAAAGTTTCATTAATGTACCTGTTTTTAAACAATTGTATTAAAGTTTTCAGTAAAAAATAAAGACTTGAGCAGCCATCTTGTTATAAGTTTTTTTTTGGTAAAATTATAGTTAGAGATTCAGGGGAAACCACTCTAACTTACAGATGGCCGCTTTCTATACATAGGCCTATTAGTTAACTATTAGTATTATAGCAAATCCTGCTCGCAAACACTGCTGTTAATTTTTTGCCTATATTGAAATTGATATAGATTTAGCCATTGATTGATGTTGGTTTATTATTCAGTTATCTATATTCTATCTATAATATAATAAATTTATTAAATAATATTTGACACAAATAGATCTAGACCAGGGGTCTCCAAACTTTTCAGCCCGAGGGCCGCATTAACTATCAAATATCAGTTCGGGGGCCAGCAGAGTTTCTTTAAGGCATCTCTTCAGGGTCGTGCCCCCCCCCCCCCCCCCCCCCCCGTAGAACGTCTACCGCCCCCTCCCCCCCACCCAACGAAATATAAAAATATAATTTATATAGAAATATACAAATTTCAAGTGTCCCCCCCCCCCCGCACCCGAGGTCCACGTTTGTTCTCAAATTGTTCTTCACGTATTTCATTCTTGAAAATGTTTGTTTACACAGCATGTTGTTCGAAAATTTGAAAGGTACTTTGATGCAAAAGTTTTAATGTTAGGAAAGTCTTCCTTGTGCAAAAACGTATGAAAAACCATCCACCTTTCTTTGAACGTGTCTATAAGGAAGTCATTTTCTTGCAATTCAATTACCTCCAGCTGCAGTTCATCTTTGCAACTGGCCACATTTGCTTCAAATGGGCTTTGAAACAGTCTCACTTCTTCTGCCTTTAAATCCAAGTCAGAAAACCGCTACTCAAACTACAGCTGGAGGTCTTTGATGATCTCGTATGTAAATGACGTGGGGAACTCAGTGGTTGCTTCACCCGTAAAGACCTTGCACTGCTGAAAGTGTGTCAAGTTGTTAGCCTGTACTTGTTCCAAAAACATGACAAGTTTGTATCTAAAGGAATTTAGGTGGGTGTATAGATCAGAAACTAGATTTCACTCTCTTGCCGTTTTAGATTCAGAAAAATTAAATGACTAGTTATGTCTGCAGCTCTTCATCAGACAATATATAATGGCTGTGACTTGCCTTTACTATCAGGAAGTCACCTATTTCTTTTCTTAGATACTCTGCTCAGAATTTTCTCGCAAAATTAGCAATCTTACTGATGTAAATATGGTAAATCTTGCGATTTTGTGTTTGTCCCAGAACTATCTATGCTTAGATATCCTCTTCGTTAACAGTGTCATACATTATATGCAGGGAAGCCAGCTCTTGTGTTATGTTCATGTCTTCATCCGCACCTCTAATGAACGCAGGCAGTTGAGAGGTGGAACAGCTGTCCAGCGACTCATCTAAATTTGCTTGAATTTTCCGCTATTTGAGTCACGATGTTCTCACCAATGTCTGCAACACGGCGAGTAATTGTATGTGCACACAAAGCAACATTTTCAAATATTTTTGAATTTTCTGTGCAAAGCTCTTCGGCCACCTCCAACTAAGATTTATTCAGTGGACAAAAAGATTGTCGCGGGCGGATAAAATGACCTCGCGGGCCGCATCCGGCCCGCGGGCCGTAGTTTGTAGCGATGTCGGCATCGCCGCCATCTTGCTTTAAGAACGGCAACCGGGGAATTTCGCTATTGTAAAATTTCGTCGATTATCTTCCTTATTGAAATACATAGTGAGAAAATATAGGGATTTTAAAGTAATCGATTCAATTTCGTAGTCGGGCCAACTTTTCACCAATTTAATGAAATAATGTGTGATTTTAAACTGCTAACTGCATTACTTTTCTCTCTTCCTTCTCCAAGTTATAATATTGCGAAACGTGGTCTAATTTTGTGCGTGTTTCAACGACAACTTTTGATAGAAAGGTGAGTTTATCAAGCTATCTCTTTGTATTCTCAAAAATTACATTATGTATATTATAAGTTAATAATGATTTCATCTAATTTGAGGTACGTTTTCTAGTGGTATTTTGACCGAAAAAAGGGTGTCTGATTCACCACAATAACGCCATTTTATAATAAAAAAATATGGCGAGACCGGAAAGCCTAAAGGGGCGTGGGGGCCGGCGTCGCCTTCATAAATGTTCACTTGTTCCTTAATCGTAGAGTTTATTGCAAATAAATGATTGCCTTTTAAAAATAAAAGATGTATAAATATGTTAAAGGCTGTTGAAGAAAGCCAGTGGGTTTTTTTTTTGCACATCAAGCTAATAACCAATAATAAATTACCACTCAAGAAAAGAAATTATTTTAAGCATATATTTCCTTATCCCTTACTTTATTATGCTACACACTTGCCTCTATTAAAACAATAAATTCTACTTTTACAGTAGTATTAATGTTGATTTCTTTTCCTCTAGATATATGATCAAGAGTATGGATGAGGAAATGAATACTTCAGCAGGTGGTAAATCTACAGGCTCTGGGAGCCCTGATAAGCATTCTGCCAAAGATTTACCAATTCTGATTAATCAGTATTCTGACTTTCGGACAGCAGCTGGCATAAAGCAAGGCCATATAATTCATGTATGGTATGAAAATAAAAAACAAATTAAAAAGGCAGTGCAAGTTTTGGAAGAAATAATACCAGCGTCAAGTAACAGTCATCAACTTTTTAATAAAATCAACAGATTATGTGTTAAATTTAGATCTCTTAAGCCACAAGCACAATGGGATAAAATTATAAATTTTATGGAAATGCCATTTCAAGAGCCTGTACCTAAAGAAAAGGGGATTGTCTCTAAGTTAGCACCTGAATTAATAACAACACTAATCCCCCCAAAACAAGCCTCACCTTTAAAACTTAAACAAGATTGTGTAAGTTGTGCATACAAAAGAAAGTCTACAGAACAGTTATTGAAATCAAATAAAAAATTGAAAACTAGTTTAAAATTCTATCAAAATGAACTTCAATCAAATAAAGTTTTTCAAATTAAAGATCTAAATAAAAAAATTAAACGACTCACTGACAGACTCCTCAAACAAGAGAAAAAGAATAGACAGTTGGAAGCAGAGAAAGTAGAGATTAAAAAAAAACTTAACTGCAATCCGTTTGCAGATTCCATCCAATACAAAATGAAACTGAATCAAGTTGCCAGTTTAAAGAAAAAATTATCAAGAAGAGAAAGAAAAATTGAAGCACTAGAAAATGTGGTCAAGATCAAAAACAAAACCATCAAAAATTTAAAATCAATGGTCAATGATTTAGAATTAATGTATGATAATGCCATCAACATGCAAGAACCCCAAGAAGAGGGACAAACTATTGTAACCAAAGAAGGAAAGCATTATGGTACTTCTATGAGAATTTGTATGTACCAATCTTTGTTGAAAAATGTTTCTGTGTTAGCTGCTGGACAGCTATTACAGTTTTTCCTGGAGCAGTAAGCTGGAATGAAACTTGACTGCGTGCCTCGCAAATCTACAGTGGCTCAAATGGCTTATGAAATAGGCATTTTAGCTGATCTGCAGGTTGGCGAGGCACTTGCATCCCTTGATGGTGCTACACTGTCATGGGATGCAACCACCATTGATGGTAGTCATGTAAATGAAATCCATATTTCTGCTGCAGGTAAAACTCTTGCTGTTGATGTAAAACCTTTACCTGGTGGTAAAGCTGTAGATTACATAGAACATATTAGTGTTAAGTTAAAAGATATTGTAAACATATATTGTAAATACATAAATCATCCAAATTTAGAGCAGCTGTACAAAACTCTTATGTCCACCATTAAATCCACTGTGACAGATAGGGCAGCTGTGAATCATAGTGTTGTAAACCAGCTGAATACTTTGTTACAGACACACCTGCTGGAATTGAATTGCAATGTTCATCCGCTAGATAGTTTTGCTGCTGGTGCCTGAAGAGCATTGGAAAATGATACTGAGATAGGCAACAAGACATTGCACTGTATTTTGAGTATTTCCAAGCTCAGATACAAGCAATCCAGTGGAGACCCTAGCGGGTTCAAGACCTATTTTAGAGAAAAAAATATTCCAGTGGGAGTTTTCCTTCGGTACGTCGGTAACCGGTTGCACATTTTATTCCATTCAGCTGGAATTATAATTTTATATCTGAAAGAGCTGAAGAAATTTGTTGAATTAGGAGGCACCAACCTTAAAAAAAGCATTAAGGAAGAGCTGGATGACCCTAGGGTTGTTGCTCAATTAATTGCACTCGGGTTAATCGGGAAAACAGTCACAGGGCCATGGATGACTAAATTCTATGCAAATTCAATGAATTTAGACATGGTCCCTGTGATACAAAGCTCTAAAAATGTTTTGGACAGGTTTGCTGCTGAGCCAGAAGAGTTGTTATGTCCCACTGTGAATGTTTTTAATGAACCCATTGATGCAGCTTCAGACATGGTGCTGACAGCAATCATCAACAATATTGAATCCCACAGGGATAAAGTAAAGCAAACTTTGAAGCAAATATTACATGAAATTGTTAAGGTCTTTGACCGCCAGTTTGTTCGATATACCAGTGGCGACCTTTCTAGCCCTACAGTTGAGCAGTTGACGCAAGCTTCAACTGCTCCTTCACACAACATGGCAGCTGAGAGAATATTAGGAATGACTGACTATTTATGGCGTCGGGCCCCTAATGCGACAGCTGGTTTTGTAGACGGAAAGGTGAGAGGACGGACAAATGATACTGTAGGATGGCTTCTGCAACAGGACAAAATGACCCAACATAGATTAGTTTATTTTGCAATGAAAGAGGGGTACAGAGCAAGGGAACTTGCAGCACAAAGGAAGAAGATGATGGAAGCAGTGATGATGCGTCGAATGCTAGAAGCTGGTCAGAAACATGAACAATCCAACCGTAAGGCTCTAGAAAAAGAGGTTGCTATGGCTTTGAGTGCTAAAGATCTGAATGCTAGTGTGTTTTCATCTGCGTCATCTGAAGTTATGGGCCTCATTGCAATGTATATTACTTCAGAAAATCCTATGTCTGAACTGACTGAAACCTATACAGGACATCTACTTAAGCATTTATGGACAGAGGAAGGAGTTGATAAAATGTATTCTGGCAGAGTGGTAAATTTTAAGCAACAGAAGACTAAGACAATGAAATGTACAATTACTTACTGGGGACCTGATGAATTGGAAACTGACAGTGTTGACTATGACATGACAATGACATCTCTAGTCACTGATTTACTGACAGGTGACCTTGTG